AATTCTAATGACCTAATTTCGATTATTAAGAACTTATGATTATTGTATAAAATATTAGCGCACAGCTTGGTTATGACCCGTCCATTTGAAGACTTGATTAGGAGGCTTGTTGATGTCCTTTCAGGCCAATTTAGTTCTGGTCAGCGAATCTCGAATGCTTTAAATTTTTGTTCATGTTCGTTTGTTTAAAATATCATTATGGGGTTGTGAGCACATGTACAGTTCGTTTCTTGACGCCATTTTATTTTGTACTCGCTCCATTTCCTTTTCATCGTTCCCATTTTTGAGATTCGCAAATACCAAGAAAGTAGTTAGTTTTACGTACTTTCTTTTGGCTTCTTTTCAATTTTACTTTTAATTAAATGTAATGACTTGCACAACTCTACATGCTCTTTTATTATGGTTTAATGATTGGTTATATGGACTGAACTTTGGGTTTTTGGGTTTCGATCCCCACTATCTGTATTCCTTGTCTTGTTACTTTGTTAGGTAGAAATAGTACCATTGCTAGGCTGTCTAATTACATTTTACCTTGAGCAGTTCTTGGCGAAAGCACCAGTTCATGATGAGTTTGGGAACCCATTTATCACAAAGACTGACAATTCCAATCCCTGGTGGGGCCTGCTTCAAGATGCCATCCAAAGGGCCGGTGGAAAACTTCATGAACCTGGGATCTTTCCTGCCTCAACCGATTCTCGCTACTTTCGACGACTGGGATTGCCTGCATTTGGATTCTCACCCATGGCAAACACCCCTATTCTGCTTCATGACCACAATGAGGTGACTCTGATCTCATATTGTCCGTCTTCAATCATTTGCTTGCTTATACATGTACATGAAATAGTCTAATATCATCTTCTAATTGACTCTATATATGAACTAGTTCCCAGATGAAATCCTAGATAATATAAGGCTATATTAAAAGAGCTTTCTGGGTGATGCAGAGCACTGTGTCCCGAACGACTCTGATTCCCATGAGGATTTTCAGTTATGGAATAGACATAGTGACCAGACTGCAGCTAACCCACCTCAACTTTGATGTTTTGCTAAACAACTTCCTGTTGTTTTCATTTTGGCGGAGAAACCTGCTCAAGCATTGAGTATTTGCTAAAAAGACACGTTTCATGTCAAATGTTACCATCGACGCAATTGCCTGAAATCACAAACCTCAAAGAAATTTCCTCGAGGAGCAGTGTGTTTGAATCAAGTTCCGCAAAATCCTTAGTTCTATAATCTCTTCTTACATTCTTCTCCCTTCTTCTAAAGTAGAAGGGGTTATTTGCTCCTTGCTAATCTTTAAACTGCAAGTGTCATTTATCATTGCGTTAAAGTATGTTATTGCTTTCTACCCCGGGTCATGTTTGTTCTTAGTAATCTTACTAATTTGTTTTTTTTCTCTTTTATTTGGGTTGTAACTGAGATCTTTCTTATTCTTGTAAGCAACCCTCTCTGGATTTTCTGTTACTGAATTTTATGTTTGAATTCCTCCCCTGTTTTGCAGTTTTTGAACCAGGAAGTGTACTTAAAGGGAATTACAATGTATGAGTCAATAATTAAGGCTTATGCGTCTTATGTGGAGAATGAAGGAAATAGAGCATCTGCAGGTGATTTATGAGCAAGTTATGAAGCATGTTTTCTTTTGACTTCTGGAGATTTCTGCGGTGTATTTTATCTAATTGGATTGTAATGTAATATTCCTTATGAGCGCGTAGGTTCTTATATGTAACAATAAGTATTGAATAAATGTTTTCATGAATAAATGTCCTGTGCCTGATCTTCTCACGGGGGATCACATTGGCTTAACATGAATTATCCCTCTCTCCCTCTCTCTCTCTCTCTCTCTCTCTCTCTCTCTCTCTCTCTCTCTCTCTCTCTGTGTCACACACACACACACACTCTCCTAGTTACAGGATCCAACGACTGTCTTCATTTGTGGCAAAACTCCTTGAAGTTATTTTGCTTATAAACTCTTTATAATACGAAATAGGCTATTTTTTGCAATCTCAATTACAGTTACACTAACCTTTGTGGTATAATCTTTTTAATAAGAGAGAAGGTGCTTAAATATGCTAGAAGTATCCACAAATGAGCACCCAACACTTGGAATTTTTTGGTTCTTATATGCCTTGAAAGTTTATTTTTGTAGCAAAAATATCCTAGTCGTTATTCGCTATTAAGTTTGAATGTTAAATTATGTAGTTTGACTAATGTCTTTAGCGGTTAAACTTAACAGCAGATAACAATTTAGGATAGAAAAGCTACAAAATAAAATATTTGAGGCATATAAGAGCAAAAAAAAAACTTGGAGATGTTGAATGCTCCTTTGTTGATACTTCCGGAATATTTAAGCACCTTATCTCTTTTAATAATTAAATTTTCTGATGAAAAGGTTAATAGCCATGATACTGCTCAAAATGAAATCTTATTCCCTTAATTTTTTAAACTAATGTTACCAAAACAAGCGTAGATAGGTTTTCTTTTCAGATATTGACAGTGATATTTATTCAAGTTGAAAAAGGAAACCTAAAGATTCATATGATTATAATAAATTAAATCATTCATGAGCAAGGACAATAACATGTTTTTAAGGATTACAACCAATGAAAATTGTTTCTAAAGTTGCAGAGCCATTCTCAAGGTAATATTTGGGGGGGGGGGGGCGCTTTGGCATTGATTTGAAGGAGTTAAAAAGGTCTACTTCGGGTTGTGTTTAGTTTGAGTATTCTTAGTAATTTTGTTCGTTTGATTTGGGTTGAGGTTTTGGGGTTCTGAGGTTCTTGGTTTTAAGGGCTAAGGGTTTTGAGGTTTAATGTTTAGGGTTTTTGGGTTTTAGTGTTTAGTGCATTATGGTTTTAAACTTTTGGTGTTTGGGGTTGTGGTTTTAGGGTTTAAGATATCGGGCTTTCAGTTTTTGGTTTTGTTGTCTAGGCTTGAAGGTTTAGTGTCTAGGATTGAGGATTTGGGGGTTTAGGGTTTTATGTGTAACAATTTGAGGTTTAAGGTTGAAGGTTTTAGGGCTTTAGAGTTCTATGAATTTAGGGTTTTAAGTGTTTAAGATTTGGAGTTTTTGGGTTTTATGCGTAAGGTATAGGGTTTTTTGGTTTATGGTTTCGAGTCCAAGGTTCTTAGGTGTAGGGGTTTAGGATTTTTTTTTTTATAAATATTAATGGCTTTAGGGGCACACTGGTTTAGGGTTCTATGTTTTAGGTCAAGGGTTTTGAGTTTTAAGGATTAGAGTTACTAGGGTTTTGGGGTTTAGAATTTTGGTGTTTAGGGATAGTTTAGGTTTTTATTATTTTAGGATTTTTGGGTTTAAGGTTTAATCTTTTAGGGCTTTGTATTTGGGGTTTTGGATTTGAGATTTTGAGGTTCATGTTTTGGGATTTTGGGTTTTGGTTTATTGCATTTAGGGTTTTTGTTCAAGGTTTTCGGTTTTGTTGTGTAGGATTTAGGGTTTTATGTTAGAATTTAGGATTTTAGGGCTTAAAAGTACTAGGAGTTTAGGGTATTGTATTTATGGTTTAAGGTTTAAGGGGTGGGGGCCTTAGGTTTGGAGATTTTGGGTTTTTGAATTTAAGGGTTTAGTGGTTTAGGAAGTCCTGTTTTGGGATATATAATTTAGAGTTTAGGGTTTAAAATTTTTAAGCCTTAATGGTTTAGAGTTTAGGATAATAGGATTTCGGGTTATAGAAATTCAAGGTTTAAGATATAGGGGTTTAGTGTTTGTGTTTGGGTTATAGGGTTTTGGGCTTTTAGTTTTGGATTTCCTCTACTCCATACTTTAATTACAAGTTAAAGCCATAAACCCCAAAACTCTAAACCTAGACTCAAAGTCTCAAAACCAAAATTTCAAAAACCCAATCATAAACCTTAAACCCCAAACTTTTAAACTAGACCTTATACCATGATTCTAAAAACCAACACTTTAAACCCTAAAACCTAAAGTCTAAAACCATAAGCCTCAAACTCTCAAGCCAAAAACACTAAAGGCTAATAATCCTAAACTCTTAAAATCCCAAACTCTAAACCAAGAAACCCTTTAAAAAAAAAAAAAAAAAAAACCCTAATCCTCTAACCCCCAAAATGCCAAAACCAAAGTATAAGCCCTAAACTCGAAGCCCTTGAATCCAAAACACTAAAATTGAAACCCCAAACCCATAAAACACTAAACATTAAACCTAAACCTTAAACTCCCAAAACTCTAAACCCTAAACCTTAGATTTCAAAATCCACAATTCAAAAACCCTAAACTCAAAAACTAAAATCCCCAAACCCTAAACATTAAGACCCAAAACACCAAACCTTAACTCTAAACCTTACACACAAAAACCCCAAACTATAAAATTCTATACCGCAAAACCCTCAACATAAAACGCTAGACCCCAAAACAATAAACACTTGAAGAAGTCGTAAAATACTTTACTGTATATATTTCATTTTGAGCAAGGATTTAGGGTTTGTGGTTTAACTTTTGGGATTTAGGGTTTAGAGTTGGGGCTCATAATTCAAGCTTATGCACCTTTTGTGGAGAATGGAGGGAATGGTTTATCTAAAGGCGCTTTATTTGCAAGTTATGTGGCATGTTTTCTTCTGACTTTTGGAATACCTACAATGTATTTTATCTAATTAGATGACATGGCTTGAGTTTTGATATGTAACAATTAGTACTGGGTAATTCTTTTCCTGAAGAAATGTTCTATGCTTGATCTTTTTATGTAGGATCACAATTTAACATGGATTCTCTCTCTTTTTCTCTCACCCTTAGTTACTGAATAGGATATGGTTTAAGTGACTATCTTCGTTTTTGGTTAAGGCAATTTATTTTATGCAATCTCTAGTAAAGTTAACCTTTTCGTGGTATAACCTTTTTAATAATTAAATTTTCTAATGAGAAGGTTCATGGTCATGATATTGCACTGAAATTTATATAGTAATGCTTCTTAACCCCTATTTTTGGGACCAGTGTTTACAGTCTAACAGAACGAGCATAGATAGGTCACTTTTTCAAATATGCAGTGACATTTATTCAAGCTGAAAAAGGCAACCCAGAGATTCAAATGATTACAATAAATCAAATCATTCATGAGCAAGTGCAACAACTTGCTTGCCAGGATTACGGCCCGTGAAAATTGCTTCCAAAGCTGCAGGGCCATTCTCAAGCCCTTCAGCAAAGGCCTCCACATAGGACACCTTGCCCTCTCTAATATATGGCAACATCGTCTCCAAGAACTTGGGATACAAGTGATAATAATCAAACACTGTGAAAGCTTCAATTCGGACTTGCTTGTATACAATAGACAGCAAATTCTTGATGGGTTGAGGCTCTGGAAGATCATATTGGGATATCATTCCTGCCACTACTATTCTTCCTCTCCTTCTCATGTTCACAAGTGCCGCGTCCAGCATCTCACCGCCAACATTCTCAAAGTATATGTCAATCCCTTCAGGGAAATACCTATTTGAATCGAAGCCACATGTAAACAATAATTTTTTAACTTATTTGAATCCAAGAAGTTTGCAGTGTTCTGGGGTATGTGTTGATTGGAGAATAATGCAACAGAAGGGACTTTGTTCAAGAGTTACTGCTAAGGGCAGGAGAGCAACAGAAGATTTTCATTTATATGTATGCCAAATGAATTTCTTGCACTGACCTTTTCAAAGCTTCATCCAAGTCATGCTCTTCCTTGTAATTGAAAGCTCCATCAAATCCAAACTTGTTCTTTAAGATTTCAACCTTTGCAGTGGGAAAAAAAGAGTTAATTGGCGGGTTCTTTCTGAAAATAAAAGGTCCGTGTGTAATATTTTCTGCAAAGTCAAGAGTATACCTACCTTCTCTTTACTTCCTGCACTTCCAACAACATAGCAGCCCATCAATTTTGCCAATTGGCCGACTAGTTGACCAATTGCTCCAAATGCTGAGGATATGAACACATATTCTCCTTTCTTTGGGGCACCAATTTCATAAAATCCCACGTAAGCACTCATTCCAGGCATACCTGCGTGTCGCAAAATGGAATCATATTCTAATGGGAACAATTACAACACATTAAGATCTGAAGTATATTCAGGCCAAAAAAAAAAGATCTGAAGTATATGCATATTGCTTTAGGGCAATTTGCAAGTGATGATTTTTACCTAGAAGTCCTGTGTAATAGGATAATGGGACATCTGTGTGCTCAATTTTGAAGAAAGATGGAGTGTTGGTGAGGATACTATACTCTTCCCATTTGGTGACTCCCCAGAGCAAGTCACCAGTTTTGTAGTCAGGGTGTTTGGATTCCAATACTTTGAAAACTCCATAGCCAACTATTACCTGAAATAACAATCCAGCCCATACAAATTAGATGATATTCAAAAGAAACTTTTTCAGATTTCACTCACCACTTATACTCGTTCGGTCCTAAATATAAGAACCTTATATAATATATACATTATATAAGGTTCTTATATTTAGGATTGGAGGAGTATATCAGTTAAAACCCATCCTAATCTCTGAAATTTCGGTTAATGGTATCATACATGAATAAATGACAAGAGAGTAAAGCAGAAGCAGAGAACAAAATTTTGCTGAAATTGAAAGCGAAAGGAAGAAGGGAAACGGAAAGGGCATACAGAATCAGGAACGAAGGTGTCAAAGAGGCGATCTTTTTGAGGTTTCTTATTGCCTCGCATGTAGGGATCACAAGAAAGGTAGAGATTCTTGACAAGCACCGCATTGGAAGCCTCTGGAGGAAGTTGCAGGCTGATGGTGGAACTGCTCATGTACATGTCTGTTTCTTTAGGATTACCGGTTATGTAATCCTTGGCTTTCACCTGCTTGTTCCTTACTTTCTCTACAACCTTAGTTTCTGCCATTGCTCTTATCCTCAAAATGTTCTGATCTCAGATGTCCAAGCAACGTTCTCTACCGGACATATATATAGTTGTAGAGAGGTAGCAGAAAGGAACTATGATGTCATTGCCCACTTCATATTCAAAGCCGAAGCTCCGTGGCCAAGTCTCTTTTTTACTGGGGAAAATTCAATGTTTGACCAATAAAAGTTATCTCGTGGCCACCTTCATATGCAACAAATTCCCGCTGAGTTCAGATATAATTAAATTAGACAACAGCCGCCCCAATAATTGGAACAGGAAAGCAGTTAGTTATATCCATTACAACGCAGAGTGTTGTGCAATTCCCTGCATCCATGTAGCTACTGTCCGCCTTGAAAAGTAGGTGAGCCTGCCGTATATAATTGAAAAGAAACAAAGAAATAATGATGCAATATGAACATCGCGTTATTAAATTCCTTGTCTGACCAATAAATATCAGGATCTCGTAGCCGCCAACGGAAAGTAATTAACAGAACCATTATTTAATTGATCGGTATATAAAATCCACATACAAAGCAATTTAATTATATATGGCACACCCAACAGCATTTAGTTTGTATTGACCAGACCCGACTACATGAAATGTAACGATGTAGTTGGGTCTGACATATATAACTGAAAAAGAAAATAAATAACGATGCAATAAAAGCGTCCCGTTACTCTCCAATCCTGCAATTGCATGTCATCCGATAAATTACGGGGCTCACATTTCCCATCTCACCTTATGATTTATTACATTCAAATTTAATACATTAACTCAAATAATGGGGTCAATCAATATTAGTTAATGATTTTAGATTTGAATCAACAATCAATTATTTACACTGACGTTTAGTTTTTTCATTTACAAAATGTTACTGAATTTTTTTTCTGCATCATCAGCGTCCTTGCATTTATTAAAATATCCATAACCCAAAAGAAATAACCTGAAAATTAATTGCCCAAAGCAATAAAAAATTTCAAAATTCAAATTATGTTATCGTATTTGTTTCCTGTCATTTGTAATCTTTAGAAGAGTTGTTGATGAATTTCGCAGTTTGTGTTTAGAGGCCACAACAAATCAGTTCAAAACTTTATCTCTTAATTTTACCTTTGTAAAATACATATCACTGGGGGTACATAACTCATTGTTGTAGGCTCTCAAAAAGCTTCGAGAGGTTTGTAATTTTATTTCACTGTGTAAAGGAATTCCTAGATCCACATGTTGGTTGAAATTGATTTTTATATTTATACAGATAAATGGGTTTCCGATATTAGAGAATTCGGATATAAGCATACTACTATAAGTGCAACATTTTTGTGACTCGTTCTTTAAATATAAGCAAAAGACTTTTTAGAAACCAATCCTTCGATATGGCGCCTGGTTGTAATCCATTTCGTCACTTTATTATGGATGATCCGAGCAAGATCCAAGAAGAGAATTAAACAAGAAAGACTAATTTCCTATCACTTGGTTATAAGTAAGTTCTATCTGATATCACGTCGATAACCTAATTTTTTTTACAAAAAAAAAAAGATGAAACAAGTTAAGTGAAGATACATTGTTAGCTCTTATAAAATTGATCCATCCATTTCAACAGATAACTCAAGATGGAAGGAAAAAAACAGATTACTATGTGACAGAATTTATAGATACCAGAAACTGCTATCTATTCAATCCATGACTAGATATCAGATATAATATCACGGATATGTGATAGAAATGATATTTGGACAACCGACCACATGGACAGAGCACCAGATGCCATAAACAAAGCACAAGCCCAAAGAATTTCACTGTTCTTTTGCTCTTTTCCGTGCCAAAAAGCGTTCTTTCGCTGCAGCAAGAGCATCGTGAGTTCTCTTATGATGATCAGGCTTTGGTTCAGAAGTTGATGATGACTGGTTTGCAGGAGCTCCTCCTTCAAGAGAAGCCTCGTGACTTGGCTTCATACTCAAGGGGTCGATACTTCTGTCAGAAGGATTAGAAGTTCCCCCTTCGCCATTATTCTCTTGTCCAGAAGATGAGTTATTCAGCGATTGTTGTGCTCTTTCTAATGATTCATCATTTTGATGTTGATTTAATGGATCTGCAGTCATTGCCTGGCGTGTCTCTGGAATTCTTGCTTCAGCCTGATCCTCATGCTTCTTCCCCTTGGCATCTTTTGCACCATAAGCTATATTTTTATCGAGGTTTGAGTAAAAATCAAGCAAAAAGTCCTTCTTCTTTGTAACCTACAATAATTAAAAATTGCCAGTAAAAAAGTTAACAGCTAAGCATTTCAATTTCGCTTCAAAATAGCACATATGTTCAAATCAAGAGATGAAAACATGAAACAGAAAGCACCCGCCACCTAACAACATGCTACTGCCTGCCTTGGCTGGCAAAATGTTATTGGCAATTTTGAATCAGAATGATAGTGTTGAAACAAATAACAAAGAAATCCATAATGCTTGACCAAGTTGAATCAATTATTCCATTGACTTTGGGACCAAACGATGCAATCAACTATTGCTCGCTAAATATTAGTCCAGAAAATAACCAAGTCTTCAAAACCCCATCATACTAATGTGAAAACTTATACCGTGTTGCTAAATTTCAATATTAAAAAACTTAATGGGTAACTGAATCTTTTCTTAACAAAGCACTCAAACTAATTTTAATATGCTCCTAAAATGGAATTCATAAGTTGTAGTAATTGCCATTATATTTTGTAATTACATCGATAGAAGGAAAATAGGTGCATCTTTCTCATAGTCCCCACACCCAGATCACTTGAACACAGGACTATCTCGATCCAAACACGGCACACAAAAAGGCCACTTAAAAATCTAATATCATTCAGCTGACAAATGTATAACAATTAATCCATCCACATGCAAGGCTAAAAATCAAACAACTTACATCGTCTCTCTCCTCTTGTAGTTCACGCAAGCGTTCTAACTCCATCTGTTTCTCCCGTTCAGCAAGTTTCTTTCTGTAAGCTTCCGTGACAAATTTGTCTTTGTCAGCATAGAGATGATCATCCTTGCTTCTCTCTTTAGCAAGCTTTCTCTCATAAACAATATCACGATACTGCTCCCGCTCTTTTGCTTTTTGCATAAGAGTTCGAATGTATTTTGGCTGCACCACAAAAACTTTCAGGTTGTTCAATATCATTTGGAAATTGGCATACAACCCAAAATGAGCAGATTTTGCTACTTTAGCATCCATAGAAATAAAACCAGAAATCTTGTTTACAGCCAAACCAAATAAAACAAAAGTCAACTAATCCACTGTAAAGTCAGTCTGAATGGTCTTCATTAGTTAGTCTAATAAAAAAATGTTGGATTTGGAACACATGCACCTTGTAAGGCTACTATAGATTTTACAATGCATGAATTTAATATTTGATTGGCATTCTTGAAGCTGGCAGGAAAAAAAACAGATTGGCATTCTTGAAAGTCAAGTACTTATATTGCCATGATAAATAAATCAGTCAAAGATAGTGATGAATAAATCGGTCAGGTAAGTAAAATATTGTCATGATAAAGTATATTAAAATTTTAAACTGTGAGCGTGTGGTAAACTTTATAGTCATAAAGTAACTTAGCAAAGTTACAGATATTCTCCTATGTGCTTCTCCACCAAGTGATGAAGATAATACAGTGATTAGTGGAGTGTAACTAAATACCATTTCACACTATTAGTCATAACTTTATACATCAAATTGGCCATCTTAACATATCATTTCTGACATCCATAAAATGAAGAACTTACTAGTTATCAAATACATGAAGACATAGTTGTACCTTTCTTTCCTCACGGTCTTGAACCAGTGGACGTGCAATTTTTTGTTTCATTTTGTCATAAACTCCATCATAATCAAATACAGTCGGATCTTCTTCCAATGCTTTCTTTTGCTGCTCCTCAATCTTGAACATGCAAAAAGAAACCAAGATATAATGTAATTAACTAAACAAACAATACTATGTATATGATATTTGACCAAAGCATCAAAATACATTAAACATCCCGAAGACTACTATTCAGCAAGGTCAACTTACTTCCTTGAGAGCCTTATTTTTGCTAGCCTGTCGAGCAATTTCTTTCTCAACATCATTCTCATCATCATTGCTAAAGCCAAAAGGAGTGGCCAGGGGAGACCTAACTGGCTGCTTCTTTTGAGCATGCCTGAGGTTTAAGCCATACTTGCTCATTTTGCTCAGCTCCTTCTCCACTGTAGTTCGAAAACAAAATGAAGCTGTCACACTCAGAAAATTGAAGTGTTACCCCGCACTAGAGTACAAGACAAACCTTACTCTGTAAGTCATGTTTCTCATATCAAGAAATTCCTATTTTTCATTTCAAAGTCACTTATTCAAATAAACAGGATTGAATAATAATTTCCAAATAGAAAGGTTACACTCAACAATTATAAGTAAATATTGGGTGCCTTTCATATCATTCAACCTAGGCATTACTGTTGCATTCAAATCGTTCTTAATTCAACATTTACAAACTAACCTCAACACGCAGAATCTAATTCAAGTAGCTTGATCTGTAACTAATAATTCTAATAAATCCACGAGAACACATCCCAGACGCTCAGATAGGAGGTTGAATGTCACATAAATTAAAATCAGAGGTTGCAATTATGAGGGCTAGAACTACATTTCAATTGTGGTTCTCTTTTTCTTTCAAGCAGTATCAAACACTCCGTGTGCACTTAATTACCTCTATCATGGTACTCTAGAATTCAAGCCTCTGCCCAAACAACATGTAAGCATAAATCAAGGTCTACAACACCCTGAAAGCAATAAACTTGCCAATTTACCATTCAACAATCAAACAAAAGTTTTACCAATTTCTAATTTCTAGCTCAATAAGAGCCTTTCAAGCAGAAGGCAAAAGAAGCAAGATATATCTATATATGTATATATATGGAAACACTATTTGAGGGAGTATTAGCGAAAATACCTGATGAAGCCAATCTCAAAACCCTTATTATCAGCGAGCACCAAACTCAATTTTGACAAGGAGATCAATCAGTCAGAACCTAGAGCTTAGGGTCTTGGAGAGTACGCAGGAGTAACTGAGTAAGTAATCTTCAGCAATCTAAGAAGGCGACAATCAATTTCAATTTTACCCGTACGCTTGTATGAATTTCCCTGGTTCAAATGTACCCATTCAAAGAAGAGAGACGAACCTGCGATGCACGACAAAACACCAGGGGAAAGAAGAGAGACGGGCGGCTGCAAAGAGTGGGGACGGATACGATTTAGAGCTTCTGAGGGTAAGGCGAAAATGGCCGAATCTGAACGGGCTCAGCTTCTCTCCTCTGCCATTACCCTCCGCTGCCGATAAACAGCAATGCGTTTGGAATATCTTGTGAAACGCGGAGGAAGGGATGTGCAGTGGCTCTAAAGTCCAAAGCCCCGAATTAAAGAAAAGGAGGAAGCCAATCTCGTCTTTGATGCAGTGATTGTTAGATGTATCTTGGGAGGATACCATCAGCAAAATTCTATTTTCATCTTAAAAAAATTATTTGTAAATAAACAAATATTCCTGTTTAACCTAATAAAATTCTTTGCTAAAAAAAGCCATATAAACTAAGTAATGAATCCCATTAAATAATTTTTAACAATAGTTAGATCAAATTTTGTATATTTATTATGTCAAGTTTTTTAACCACATATAGTTATACATCTTATTTTTAAAATATTAGGATTTAATAGCATTTAATTATAAATCTATATAAAACAAAAACAAATATACTACCTCCGGTTCTAATTATAAGAGCCAGTTAACTAATTTGAAGAGATTAAGGAAGTAAGTTGAGTTAGTTACTTGTCCTAAATAAGTATTGTCTTTTCTAAAATATCCTTATTAATCAAGTATATTGACTAGAACTATCATTGTTAGAATGGCTACTTTGGAAAAAATGTATAAATATAAAAGACAAAGTAGATTAGGGTCTTATATTTAGGACCAAAATAAAAGTCAAACAGGGTCTTATATTAAGGACCGGAGGTAGTATAATCATATGAAATTGTAAAACTTGACATATAGATATAAGAAATTTGATCTATATTTTTTCTATTTTTTTAAAAAATATATTAATTTCAATTCTTAATATAATAGCTAGTTAAAGATTTAATTTGATTTTAGATATAACATCTCAGTTTACTTTATTTTTAATATTTATTTATTTTATCCTAAGCAATTCCCATGATAATAAAATAATCTTTAATTAAATTAGTCAAAATTAATTGGTACCCATATGAAATCAGATTTATCAAAACTATAAAAATTACGTTAACATAAAATTTCGAAAGAAAAAATAGAAGTTGAAAGGTATTGATAAGTTAGGTGAATAAAATATGAGATATTATGATTTATTAAAAGATAATTATATTTATTAATTTCATATTTTCATTGAGAATTTCAGTAACTACTAAATCCTTAATATAAAAACTAAATAACTAATTTGTGAATATTAAATAAATTAGTTACTAAGTTAATTATTTATAATAAATAGATATTATCTTTTCTAAAATATATCATTAATTATGTAAATCTGAATTATCTCTTGATAGTAATTTCTTAATATGTTCAATTATTATAAGGATTATTTGAAAACAAAATAAATAAATATTAAAAACAAAATAGATTGAGATATTATATTTATGATCAAATTAAATCTCTAAATTAAAAGTAATTTATTTTTAAAAACGTTTTATTAAATAAGATTTACTACTTAACTGAGTATTTGCCTTTTAGGGTGTGTTGGATGAAATCAAACCGTGGTTTGAAAAAGTGATTCTGGAGAATAGATTCTGAGGAGAATAGATTCTGTGAAGAATAGATTTTGTAAAAAAGTGATTCTGAGAAGTGAGAGTGTTTGGATAGTTGTTATCAGAAGCACTTTTTATATATACAAATTACTAAAAAAAAGACATAAGTTAATATGATAATTACAGAAAAAATAGATTTTATGATATATTTTAATTTGAAGGAATAAAATTGTTAATAATACATTTTTACCAACATAATTAATAATACATAAGATAATATAATTAATAAATAATAATATGTATATATATTTATAAAATATAAGATTAAATATGTTTATAAAAAATATGTTTATAAAAAAAATAACAAGATACATATCATATAGGCTCTCACACTCTCCCTTTTTCTCCAAAAGCAAAAAATTTATGCTTTTTTCAAAACCATGGTTTTGGAGTCAAAACCATGGTTTTGACCTAAAACCACGGTTTGCCCAAAACCAGTGGGTGTTTGGGTGACTTATCACCCAAACCATGGTTTGGGTCTCCAAACCATGGTTTGGGGTGTCACCCAAACGGAGCCTTAGAGCCACACCACATCATTCCTTTCGCGTTTCACAAAATACTCCAAACGTATCACTGTTTAATCGTTTATCGGCAGCGGAGGGGCAGCAGAGGGTAATGTAAGCGGAGAGAAGCTTGGCCCCACAAAAAGACATACTCCTCCGGTCCTAATTATAAGACCAAATTGACTTATTTGAGGAGATTAAGGAAGTAAGTTAAGTTGGTTATTTATAATAAATAAATGTTGTCATTTCTAAAATATCCTTGCTAATTAAGTATATTGGCTAAAACTATCATTATTAGAAGGATTATCTTGGAAAAAAATGCATAAATATAAGAGACAAAATGGATTGAGTCTTATAATTAGGACCAAATAAAAAGTCAAATTGGGTCTTATAATAAGGACCGGAGGAGTATTATCTAGCTTTTAAAATTTTATCTCGACCGTCCAATATATTATAATCGTAGCCGTTCGTTCAAATCCTGTTTTTGCCAAACCCCACGATCAGTTCTCTTGCACTCGCGACATTCCGTTCTCCTTCGCAACCCTCCTCGGCTTCATGTTCTCCGTCTCCCACTTCGTCACTCCAAGTACGGCACCTCTTACTCTTCCGTTCAACTCCTCAGATCAAATTCTAGTCAGCATGTGAAGCAGTTGCAGGCCTTTTGCGATCCCTAACTTCAGTCAATCTATACAGGAATTCGGTCAGAGAGCGGAGCAATAGAAGAGGTAACTAGACCGCTGCGGCAGTCTTCCTCGGCTACTGAGGTATAGGAATAGGTATGTTACCACTTGCATTTATCCATATTTCTTGCTGTAGATCATTGGGGAATATGTGGACGTCATTTCCATAGGCAAAGGAGCAGGGTATGAGTGCATTGTGAAATTTACCTGTGGATGAGAAGCTCCTCATTAAACTTAATTGCTAAGTGTGATTTCCTACCATTAAGTACCTTGAAGGCGAGGATGTAGAAGTGAAGAAGCTGCAAGAGGCATGTTGTCAAATTTAGCTTTGAGCCACAGCATTTTGGTTGAAGCAGGGTCATATAAAACTGGCGAGACTTCCCGCTGCCTTTCTTCATCTATCCATCTTCATTGACATTTGGTGAGCATCTCTCTTAGATCATATCGATTTTCTTGTTTTGATATTTAATTATTTAAATTTTTCTAAATGAGGTAAAGGATTTTTTTTTTTGCCAACAGAGAAAGGATATATAATTAGATTACGAAAACAAAATATACTTGTTATAAGTGTTTTATTTTATTTATTTTTGGCCATCGTCTTAAAATTTTTAACAAAGTATCTTTTTGGCACAATTTAACTAGAGCCGGGAATTAGGGCCGGCCCGGCCCTCCAGGGCCGGCCCTTCAGGGCTGGCGGGTTTAAAAGAGCCGGCCCTTCAGGGCTGAAATTTTAAAAATACCCCAATTTGCTAAGCCCGGCCCTTAAGCTACAGGGTCAGGGCCGGCCCGCGGGTTTTTGGCCCGTTTAAGGAAAAATACTATTTTTTTATATTTATCAAATTTTTTTATAAAAATAAACCAATGAAATTATTAATAAAAGACATAAATATGAATAAAATTAAGTCACAAATATAAAATATCATCATATATAAATATTCATCAACATCTAAGAACATCTAAAACATTCATTAACAAGATAACAATATCTAAAAGTTTTATCTATAATGCAATTGTGCAATAAATAAACACTATCATTAATCTTTTGAAACTTCATCATCACTATAATTAATTACTTTTCTTCATAAGTATGCTTTTCTTTCGTAACAAAAATATCAAGTTTTTCTTCTTTATAAGAATTTTATTTTTGAATTTTGCAATCTAACTATTATTTTACTTTAATGTGAGAAACATTGTTGTTGAAACTCATGAATTTCTAATTCAAATTATAGAATCACAAGTTATATAAGTATAAAAATATTCTATTATCAAATATATATATATAGTTTAAAAATATCAACGCATATAATATAAATCAAATCATTATTAAAGTCTAAATTAACCGATTTTTTAAAAATTTAATTGGATAAATTATTGGCTAAAACTAAATTTAATTTTAAAATGATAATAATAACTAAATATTTGAAATATTATTAACAATGTAAAAAATTAATAACATTAATATTATATAAAAAATTTAAAAAATAAAAAAATTATAAAAGGGCTTAAAAGGGCCGGCCCGCGGCCCTCCAGGGCCGGCCCTTTTAAGCCCTCGGCCCTCCAGGGCCAGCCCTCCATGGCTTGTTTCTCATTTTAAGAGAAAAATATCAAGCCCGGCCCTCATAATTTCAGGGCCTAAACGGGCCGGCCCGATGGGCTTGGCCCGTTTTCCCGGCTCTAAATTTAACTAAGCATTTTTATCTTAATATTAAGAAAAGCAAGTGGGATGGGCCCACCTAAGTGCAAATTGCTGAATCAGGAACCGGAAGAAATTTATGACCCGTATTCGATTCGTTTCGTTCCAACCACGTATCCAAGTTCCCGTCTTCCTTTGGAAGCCTTCGCTTCCGTGGTCTCCTCTGGATTCTAGTTAATCGAAGTTTGTGGGCAAGATCATGAGGGCAGCTAAAACCTTTCCCGGCTCACTGCAGATTGATAATTTGATATCCAAACGAAGAGAGGTACTATTTTGCATGCCCCTTTTTCCTTCTGTTTTCAATTTAGGGCATTGACATTAACGAGTCTGGGATCTGGGTGGATTATGTCGATGCTTTTCCATTTTTGGAGGGTTATGTATGTCTCATGGGATGTCTGAAGGCTTTCATTTTGGGGCATAACCTTATTTGAGCTCGGTTTCACATGTCGCGTCGATGTTCACGAAATTAGAGACAAGCTAACCCACCGCAGCGTTCTTCTTATGCTCCTAAGGAAAGGAAGACGAACTGAGTATTGGGCGGACAGCAGTAACTTGCTTCTTCCCGGGCGGTTCTTGTTGAACTGAACTGCCTACTCTCTTGAGCATCACCGGCGCAGGGAGAAGAAAGCAGAGGCCTTTGTATTACAGAAAAAGGTATGTTTTTGTTGTATATCTTGCAGAAATTTTTTTCCTGATTGATCTTTCATTTCAATGAGTGTATTTGAAATGCAAGGTAGTTTGAATATGTCCATTGCGTATTTGTGGATTTGATTAATTGATTTAGAATTTTCTTTCATGACATGTAACATAATTCCGATTAGGAGTATCATGTCGAAGTACAATTTAGCAGGCTAGGGTGTTCCCAGATTAAGCAACAAAGCTAGCAACTTAAGAACTAAGTAGTTGTGGTCAGTTGCCAGTGAAGAAGGAAAAAAATAAAATATAAAAGAGATATTTAACATGAGGATTTAATTTTGATAGCAAACTTTTGATTTTGGTTTGCTGTGCTTATTCAACAATATATTTCAGGAATCAAATGCTTCTATTTTATGGATTATTATTTTCCTGTTACACAGTAGATGTAAAAATCTAGACAGTAAAGTTGTGCCCAGATCATTCTTTTTGGTCATAGTGAACATAAAAATTGAAGCTGAATGCATTGCTTGACTTTAGTTCTTTCTCTTAAATCAAGAATTTGAAAATTATTTTATCTCGGCTGTAGTCTCAGGTGTAGTGAAGTGCGAGAAGGGGGATGTCTCTTCGAATAAAAGCTGTGGTGGATAAGTTTGTGGAGGAGTTGAAGGAAGCATTAGATGCTGATATACAAGACAGGATCATGAAGGAGAGAGAGATGCAAAGTTACATTAAGGAACGTGAGCGTGAAGTTGCTGAGCGTGAAGCTGCATGGAAGGCTGAGCTTTCTCGTCGGGAGGTGCCCACTTCTCATAAGTTCTATTGTTTTAATTGACAGAAAGGAATATCATAAAAGTTGTGATGACTTTGATCCCACTTCAAGTAGCTAGATCTGCTTGGTGTTGTTAAAACAGTTTTCAAACTTTTGAGGAGTTATTACTGCTATGACTTTTTACATGCCAGAAACTTGGCTTTAGTTCTCAGTATTTACATTTTAAAAGAGTTAATCACGTGCTGTGAGCTTTGTTGCTGAAAAATCGGGATTTTCATTCTTGGGTTGATGGTTTTATGAAAAACTTAAGATGCTGAAGGGTTTTTGACGTTTTGTTGAAGTTCTCTTATAATGATGTCTGCTGATGAAATTAGATCTAGGAAGTTGATAAAACAGAAGAAAATTGGGTTGAAAGAGAGGAGAAACCTAGGCGTGACCCATATATTTTGGTTTTGATTGCAACACACGACCAGGATAAGGGCAATTTAGGGGCAATAATTATTATTCTCTAAAATAAAATATCAAAGTAAATAAACATATTGACCTTGTAGAACTTATCTTAAAGAAAGTGAGGAATTGAATCCTAATACTTAGGATGTGCTGGGATTCTTAGATTTCCCTAGGAATTCCATCCAGGAAGCTAAGATGCTACTCCCTCTGGTCCTTTTATAAAACCCTATTATCTATTTTTATATTTGGGTTGGTTTGATCTTTATGCTTGTTCCTTTGTCATTCTCCAGTCCTGTTGTAGGCAAGGCAAATGAGTACAATGATGTTATTATGTTATGCTTTCTTATTGCTTCGAAACAGAACCATGCTGCATTCTATCATCTATCATTCAGTGCCTAGTTTTATCTAAGATTATAGCTGCCGAATGGCGTAATCATTTATGTTGCAGGCAGAGATTTCTCGCCAAGAAGCTAGGCTGAAGATGGAGAGAGAAAATCTTGAGAAAGAAAAAAGTGTTTTAATGGGAACTGCATCAAATCAGGATAATCAAGATGGGGCTCTTGAAATTACAGTCAGTGGTGAAAAGTACCGTTGCCTCAGATTTGCCAAGGCCAAAAAATGAGGCTCTACTGGCTTGGCACAAAGCGAATGAACACGAGTCAGACATTAGATTCTCCAACAGATAGTAAGAGGCCTCAAATACGAACTATGGAGAAAAATTTTCGGGAAGATTCAGTCATCTGGAAGCTAAAGCCAAAAATCACTTGTCATGTTTTCGTTGGAAATCTTGCAAGTTCTATCCAGTATTCTTTTTCTTCGATCAGCTGAGGACAAGACTGTCCATATAACTATTGTCATGATGGTCCCTCCAAAAGCCTGTACTCAGTTTAATTCTGGAATTGTGGTTTATTATTGGTCGCAGGTTCTGCTACTGACACGATTGTTTTTTTCCCTTGTAATTTATTTTCTTTTGGTACAAGAAATTTTGATTTGTGGCAGATTGTAACATATTTGGCCGAAAGGATACCAAATGTTGGGTGCCGTATCCATTAACGTAATGAACTATGAAAAATTCACAACAGTTTATAAATATTGGCGGGGTTGGGGACCATGCGTAAAATATTATGTAATGCATAATGATCCTTTAAAATTTTTGAATGTAAAGCCTTCGTAGACTCAAGACTGAAGAGCTTGTACTACTTATATCAGGGAAGAATGGGGGAGAACTCTTGAAAAAGTAATCCAAGTCTCACACACTCAAACACGCAAGCTGGCGCAGAATGACACGGAACCCATATCAACCCAGCAGAGTGGTGCATGCAAATGCAATGGAAGGTGGTTGCGTTAAAATACAAGAACAAAACTTTTAGGAGCTAATAATGACTCAATCATTGAGGGATTATTTTTCAGTGCCTTAGAATAATATTCTTGGTCTTCTCACCTTCGCGTGCCAATTTGCTTATATCATAACTCCACCCGGTTCTCTTTTGGTTTCATATTTTCCTGAGATCAGCGGAAACGTGCTTAACAAGTCTCTTTGCAGAGCCTATATAAAATTAAACTGTCCTTACACGTTTATCTTCTACGGTACAAAATCACTTGAAATAAGCTAAATAAAATCATCCCACTTTTGAGGTTGTGCGCGTGTGTTCCCATACATATATAATGAAGGTGAGGTTTTGTGAAATAAAATAACATGCATATGTACGTAGCTGTGGCGTGGTGGTGGAGTTGTCCCACAAGTATTGCACTGACGAATTTGATGTCGTGGACAACAGAAAACGCACTCTTACATAAATTAGCGTATACAAGCACACTGCCACTACCACACCAATGTATTTATATGATTGTGCATTTGTGCTGTTACTGATGACCATAAAGCTAGCTAGCTACCTGCATGACTTCCATCTTGTGCCATTATTATTATTAGTTAATATTGATGCATATATGCATATTTTAGAAAAAATAAGGGAGCATGCACATATTCAAATGATTAGATGTGCAACTTATTGTGAGACTTTGTCATACCTGCCTTGTCGTTTCCCCCTTTTTCTGCCTTCACGCTTCAATTCCTTCAACCAACTCCCTTTGTTACCTTTTGGTTCCATTCTTCTCGTATTATTATCTTTTGCATCATCTCTCCTTTTTTTTTCTTTTTCACCCGTTAACAAATCAATGATTATTCAAGCCTTGGTATACATTGCTGTGTCCGTATATTGTTTTGAAGCAAGAAAGGGCTAAATATTTGATCAAGATATTAGTGAAGGGGCCGCAAGGAATCATGAGAAATATATACGCAGGAAGGCCATTTAATCAGGAAATATAAAAATATATATCCAAAGGGCTTCAACTTTCAAGGCGATAAAAACTACATTTAAAAAAACTTTGACCGCAATTACTTTAATGGGGAACTAAAAAAAGCTACAACGTAAGTACATGTTAATAAATTAATTAGTAACCACCCATATACATGTATATATTTACACGCATAAACATATCATGCGCATGCTGGGTTACAAGTATTTTATGAGTTAAAGCCAATTGAAGCTTCTCACTGAAAAGGCTATTAGGTGATTTAATAATTAACATTATAAAATTTAAGGCCCATAACATTATAGTACCTTTGCAAACTCATCAAACTAAACACACACACACACACACACATATATAATTAAGTTCCACTTTTGAAGCTTTACACTGCTCAAGCAACTTGTTGGCTTAAAGAGAAAGACACTTTGTCTTTTGTCTGCATTCTACAAAGTCACAGACGATCCCACCAAGCTGGCTCATATCTTAATGACGTTCATCCCCTTCCTCTGCTCAATTAGGACACAAAAGGAAGAGAATCATTAATACTACTATTGTGTATGAATCTGTATTATTAGAAACCAGTGTAACTAGTTTGAGATAAATTTTGGTTCCGCAATAGATCGGTATATTACTATTCATGAAATGAAAGCGAAGCTTCGCTGTGCGTGCCCAACAAATTAATAATTGCACAGCTTTGCCTTTATTTCATGGCAAAATTTAAATTTGTACTGTCCACGACATATATGCACCAACACCATTACACCACCCGCCATGTTTGGCACTTATCTGTTAATGGGGATGAGAAGAAGGAGCGTGTTAACTTTAAGAGCTTCATTTCTTTTGGGGGGGGGGGGAATAGTTAGCTGCATCTTTACTGAAAAATAGCTTGAGAAACAGATGAGAGAGGCAAATTATACGAGGAACATGTTCTGTTTAGCAAGCTGATATTGTTGTTAATTCGGGTGAAAAATAATATTGCTGGCGACCCAAGTTGAATTGCCTCGTGCTCATTTGTTAATTTCGCTGGCCAAATATGAATTGAATTAGAACAACGTGTAATACGCAGAGAGACATACATAATTAGGCTGTCGTCCAAAGTGTACAAGTAATATTGTTGCGTTGTGAATTAAGTGGGAGAAAGAGGAATTGGCGCGGGGAGAGGGGGGGTGGAATAAACATAAAAACATGGGTCCCGCACAAGAGGCCTTACCTCGTCGTTTTAACTTTTGCGCACTCTCGCTAACGCTACTGAATATTCCAAGCGAGAAAAAGGAAAAAGAGAGGTGAAAGGTGTGGCATATCGAATGGTACGAAGAGATTTGGAGAATTTTACATTTATAGTAGCGGGGCAGGGACAGGGGCAGGGGCAGGGAAAATGAAGGATAATGGGTAAGCGAACGTTGATAACGTATTTTCAATGGAGATGTCTGTTATTATTAATTAAAACTAAAAAGGACATGTAAAGTAGTAGTAACGTGTTGACTTGTGATTGTAGCGGCGAGCGTCGATTTTGGCTGAGGATATGGAAAATAAGAATGAAATTGAGGAGCAGGAAAAGAAGAGAGTGAAAATGTGAAGATGCAAGGGAGAGGAGTGGATGGGATGAGAAAGACGGGGGAGTGGTGAAAGGCCGGATGATGCATCAAAAGAGGAGATGTGAATAGCTAAGCTTTCAACATGGTGTGACCCAGCGAGTGATTGAGTGACCTCTCTCTCTCTCTCTCTCTCTCTCTCTCTCTCTCTCTCTTCTTGTCCAATTTTATAATTAATTAATTAATATATTGCTGGAAACCATAATCCTGATTTCATGCAACCCCCCCTTGACCTCCACCTTTTCTCTGTACCTGACTCCGTCACCCTCCTTCCTCCTCATCTGCCTTAAAAAAAAAAAAATCATCATCATCATCCAAAATTAACCCCGTTCTTAAAGATGGAAATCTAAAGAAAACATATATCCTCCTCAGTCACGGGTCTCTGCAAATACACCCCTCGCCCCAAATAAAAAAAAAACATTTATTGAAATTCAAGTCGACATAATCTCAGGCTAATGATAAAGTACATTTTCTGCCCCCCATTTTATTTTATAATTTTTGTCCCTGCAGATTAAACAAAACCCCGGCAAATAAATGGGCACATCCATAGCACCCACTCTCTGCGCGCAGGGGTTCCGCTTCAATTCCGCACCACAATGATGCTGCTTCCCCTTCGCTCCCTCCTCCTCCTTCACTGCCTCGCCTTCGCCGCGGCCTCCCTCAACCTCTCCTTCCCTCTCTTCCAACAGTTTCACGTTCAGCAGTCTCTCGTCGACGCCACCCGACCTTCCCCTTCCCGTTCCCCTTCCGCTCTCAACCGCACCCACTCCGACAGATGGAGGCTCAGCCTCCTCCACCGAGACACCATCTCCCGCGATGCCCACGATCACCGCTCCCGATTCAACGCCCGCATCCAGCGCGATTCCGCCAGGGTCGCCTCACTCGTCCGCCGCCTTTCTCCCTCTTTCCGCTCTGAGGCATTCGGCTCCGACGTCGTTTCCGGCATGGATCAGGGCAGCGGCGAGTACTTCGTCACCGTTGGAGTTGGCAGCCCTCCCAAGAGTCAGCTCGTGGTCATCGATTCTGGAAGTGATATTATATGGGTCCAGTGTCAGCCTTGCAGCCAATGCTACCGTCAGTCTGACCCCGTTTTCAACCCCGCTGATTCCGCCTCCTTCTCCGGAGTTCCCTGCACCTCCTCCGTCTGCGACCGCCTCGAGAATGCCGGCTGCCGCGAGGGAAGGTGCCGTTACGAGGTTTCTTATGGGGACGGCTCCTATACCAAGGGGACACTCGCCCTTGAAACTCTCACCATCGGTCGGACCCTGATCCGCGACGTCGCCATCGGCTGCGGACACAAGAATCAAGGCATGTTTGTCGGAGCCGCCGGGCTATTGGGTCTCGGAGGTGGGACCATGTCCTTCGTTGGCCAGCTGGGTGGCCAAACGGGGGGTGCATTCAGTTACTGTTTAGTGAGTCGGGGCTCTGGATCGTCCGGGTCGCTCGAGTTCGGACGCGAAGCCATGCCCGCTGGCGCCGCGTGGGTCCCCCTGACCCGCAACCCGCAGGCCCTGAGTTTTTACTACGTGGGGCTTTCGGGTCTGGGAGTCGGAGGCCAGCGGGTGCCCATTTCCGAAGACATATTCCGGCTGAGTGAATTCGGCGACGGAGGCGTTGTTATGGACACCGGCACTGCCGTGACGAGGTTTCCCACGGCGGCTTATAATGCGTTCCGGGATGCCTTCGTCTCACAAACAACAAACCTGCCCCGGTCATCGGCAGCATCCATATTCGACACATGCTACGACTTAAACGGGTTCGTAACGGTTCGGGTACCAACCGTATCATTTTACTTCTCGGGAGGACCGATGCTGACACTGCCGGCCCGTAATTTTTTGATACCGGTAGATGATGAAGGGACGTTCTGCTTCGCATTCGCAGCTTCTCCTTCGGGGCTGTCCATTATAGGGAACATTCAACAAGAAGGAATTCAGATATCCGTGGACGGAGCCAACGGGTTTGTGGGATTCGGACCAGATGTTTGTTAGATTGCGAGCTACGTACGTAAATTTTGGCAGTCGTAGTAATTTTTAAATTTTAATTTGAATGGCTACATGTGTACTGTAAGAAGATTTTATTATTTACAGAGAAGGGGCAGGAAATTAGACGTGGGGGTGGGACACGGGTGTCGGCATTAATCATTGTAGTGATGTATGAGGGTTGCTTTTGATGAGGTGCTAAAAGTGAAGAGTAAAAAACAATATGGGCTTGTAAATGGAAGTGGTTTGATTATACAGTGATGCGTTGTGACAATTTACGGTTAATAGAGTTACAGATATGCGACGAGAGCCAAAGGGGGAGGGGGGAGGGAGAGAGAGAGTAGTCAAAAAGAAGAAGGGAAAAGGGAATATCGGTGAACCCCCGAGAGTGATGATAAGGAGGATCCAAGAGAGAGGCTTTTGTACAGAATGAGTAGATGGAAATGATTCAGTGTGTGGGGACAGGCTCACAGCAGCGCACCACGCTTTTTTAACTTTGCTTTTCGTTCTTCCATACGTACATGGGGAGGCCTGCCGAGCCCTTCCAGGCTCACACTTTCTCTTTAACTCCTCGTCAATAAGGGTGTCCTCTAAAATTCAGTCCATGCATCATATATATATATATATATATATATGTATGTATGTATATCCTCCCCCCCCCCCTCCGTGCCTCTATATATTATGTTAGAGGAAGGGAATGAAGGGAGGGAGCCACCAGCAATAGATGACATGCATGTGAAAGAATCAGTAGGGTTTGTGGCGTAGATGATAGAGGAGCGTGACCACTTTTGCAAAGCCAATTTTCCTCTCTTTTCAGATGTGTGAGATTGTTGGTCAACAAAATAACAGACATTGAGATCAAGAACAGCAGCGGGCGGAAAATGACTTTTGCGCTTGCTTTCTGCCCTTTTCAATATTTGATTTTGCGGTTTGTTATGAAGGAATTGTAATTAAGAATATGAAATGACATGTATGAATGGTGGAAAAATGGGGCAACATCATAATAATGACGGGGTTGGTGGGGTTTTTGGAGGAGGCCCACCATAAAAGTAGAGAGAAGTTGATGGATGGCAATAGCCAAAACCTGGGAATCCATAACAGATACGCGTGTGCGCATTCAAGCTCGACGTCAGAGATTGCAAATAGAGTACTCTCCTAAAATCTCTCACTAAATTTTAGTAAATCAAATAGTAGGCTGTAGCAAAAGACTGTGGATATATAATTTATACATATTAACTTTTCTGCAAATACTTTTTTTTTTTGGGAGGGGGTGGGTTTTTAAAAAAAATACATTATTTGTAATAAGAAAATAAGGTTGAGGCCACTGAGAAGCATTTCCCGAAACGCTGGCCATGAAAAGTGAAAATGAAATGGCGAGGCGGAGCGTCATGTGTCTCCCTTGTCATTTCCCCAACACCCCATATACCTATCGTTTTGCTGTCAAATTGGGCCGGACCGGCTTTTATGAGCCCAATCTTATTGAAGCTCATAAGCCCAAATATCCCAAATTTAATCAATTTCCTTAAGCTGGGCTCTAAGTGATCGGACCCGGAGCGAAGCCTGCATAACTTTTTTTTTTAATTATAATTATTAAAAAAAGTCTTGATCTTAATAATCTTGAAAAAGAAACCACAAATAAATATATGAAATCTTCAAAGAACCACAAATAAATGTATAGAGTAGCAAATTAAGCTCCGAAGTCCAAACTAGATGACAGGACAAGTTTTAATCCTCCTTATCATCCAAAAACAAAATATTCAACGATTTTACTGACTTCATCTTCATCACCACTTGGTTCTTTCCATATTTTATCAATATTACAACAATTAAATTATAATATTAACCCTATAACTATGCATAAAATTAATTTCAAATTTTATGACATTCGATTTGAGGGTTAAGCACTAGTTAATATGAACATATGATGGTGAATTCAAAGTCTGCACAGTAACAAGTCGCTTTTGTTATCGAATATTTTGCTGAAGCAAGCACTTTTTGGGGTTTTCCCCAAATTAACCGATTTCTGACTTTCTTTCTCTGATCGCCATAATTAAAATAATTGAAGAATGGATAAAGCAGCTGGGCATGGAGTTTCGTCTTTGATTCTTTCCTTGATTGATACCAACGGTTTACCGTTCTAATTAGTGTGGAAGCGACGCTTTACTGTTGTTGTTTTTGTTCTTTTGAAGCGAGGCTACCTTCCCGTTTATTTCATCAAAAGATCACCAGAATTTCATTCTTTTCACCCAACTAAAAATCTTTATCAAGTCGTCGTCGTCGTCGTCATCATTGTTGTTCCTCTTATCTAAACTGCATGGGAAATATAGCTTCGATTGAATTAACATACTTCAATCCATGCAGCGAGTCTAAGGTATAAAGAATTCTGTAAATATAATAATATAAAAAGAGGAGGTCGGCTGCTCAGGGAAATTTTTCACAGAGAATCAAAATCACTAACTGGTATATTTACAGACAGCTTTATACTACACAGCTGTTGCCGCCCGGGGGGGGGGGGGGACAAAAATGCCCTTTCAGGGCTTCATAACCTATTTTGAGGTAGGACCGCGATAAACCAGCCTTCCCTATCCAATGTCACCGACCCATAAAGGGACACCAAAAAATGCAGTCATATATAACCGAACTGCCCGCCATATCCACCCATCTTCGACTACATACCTTGCTGTCCACAACAAAGCTTGGACTGATTCAGATCATCCAACATGACTGGAACAAAAAGCAAGCACCATTTTCTCAGACCATGAAAAGATATTTTAGGTCATCCACTGTTAGGCGCGTTGCCGTCCCACCGGCTTGATCTTCACCAAAAGCTGATGCGACCATTTTTCTCTTGTCTTCCTGAAAACATGATTCAGCAGAAGGAGCTCAGTTGTAGAAAATGAGTTGTTCCATAAAAGTGATACCGCGGTACGGAAGTGCAAATCCAGATTTGCATGTTGAATAACTGAAGATAAAACAATAATATAACAAAACTCCAAAAGGCACTACATAGAGAAAGCAATGCCAAACAAGGTGATGGCGTGCTCGGAGTTCCACCTGCGTATTAGCTGTATGATGGTCACTTGGGCCACAATAAACCTTTTCTCTTGCATATTTTCAATGAAGATAAAAATATTAAAAGAAAGAAAGAAAAGAAAGGGAAAAGAATAAAAAAAAAAAAGCAAATTACTCTGAACCTTAAACAACTAGAGACTGATACCTGGAGAGCCAATATTCTATCTTCAACTGTATCTTTTATAGTGAGCCGTGTCACAGTAACAGGGCGCGTCTGTCCAATCCTGTGAGCTCGATCAACAGCTTGGTCTTCGGTTGTTGGATTCCACCAAAGATCTAAAAGAATAACATGACAAGCAGCAACCAAGTTCAAACCAAGGTTTCCTGCTTTTAGCGACATCAGCAAGACAGTTACCTGAAACAAATTTCAGTTAGCCAGATATGAAAGAATCCAATACAAATCTTATTGAAACATGACAAATAGGGTGCCATTTGGCAATTTTAACGAGGAGTCATACAAAATCCTACTTCAAAGTGCATCAAGCATTATCATTAAGTTGTTAATGGAATGCCTCGCATTCCACAGTACCTCAGTATCTAAAAAACAAGCTTACATATTAACCAGCTTTAAGGTTTGGTCAAAAATCAAAATATTAAACAGCTGTAGAACTCTTGAGGAGGGCAGACCTCAGGATTAGTATTGAAATCCTTAACGGACTTATCCCTTGCAACCAGTGTCATGGTGCCATCAAGTCTCCTGTATCGAATGCCAGAGTCCTTCAGTGAATCTTCGACCAAGTCCAACATGCTAGTCCACTGGGAAAAAACAATAGCCTTCATTGGTCCGTCAGTTGTGCTCTCCGAACATTTTCTTGTATGCTTTGTAACAATCACATCAGAATCAAAGTCTTCAGTATCTGAAGTTTCAGAAGGCAGTGAATTTCTAGAACGGCCAGAGCAACTCAAATGTAGCTCCAGAATCTCAAGGAGTGCCTTGATTTTAGATGAACCGTAATTACTCTGCAGCACAACTGAATAATCAAGACGTGAATCTGAAGAACCATTATCACGATGGTCACCAGAGATGCAACTTCTCAATGTAGCTTTGGAGAAGACAACATCATCACCAATTTGTTCTTTACAATCAGCAGCCGGGCACATGTTTTCATAACCCGTCAAATGTTCTGATACACACTGATAACAGAAAACATGGCCACACATGGTAACAACTGGATCATCAGGTGTATCCTGTAGAAACCACAGTACAAGAAGAATTAGGTCTCTTACTAAAAACATTTATACTGTCTACTACGCTATGACTAATCAATTACACCTATGTGTTCTAGCCTTCCCCATGCGGGCATCCTAGTACCCTCACCATCTAAGAAACATACAGCACACCAGGAAAAAAAGAATCATATTTTCCACTTACAATCTTAGACATACCATAGGAAAATTGAAACTTGTGATATAATCACAAGGAACAGTAAATCAGTTTCTTCTCGCAATTATTGACAAAGAAGGAAACAAACATAAGAACATCTCGTATCTGCAAAGAACTCACATTGCAAACTTTACATATTGCAAAGGACGCTTCCAAACAATTGAAAAGATTGACTAGCATCTCCCTTGGAAGGGTTCTTGCCATTTCTATCGAATTTTCCCCAACAAAATCAGAACTATAATCTTTAACAAGAAGTGGGTGGTCGCAGGCCTGACGGAGACGTAAAAGCATTAAAAGAATATTTGCATAATTTTGATTGACGGTGCCAGCAGCAGCATATGCCTGCAATGCACAAGCTTGTTATTCCAACATTCTGATGTTTGAATAAACAAAAGGCATTCACAATAATATCCATATAGTTGGTTTAAAACCTCATCAGCAGAATGACATTTACCAGTTTCTATTCATAATAATTCATAACGGTGATAGTAGCAGCACCCATTTCAAATTGTGCATGTTGAAATAAAAACTGAATAGAAAAATCAACCTTAAATTGACTGCGTGACTCTGCTTCCAACTTGGTGTAGAAGTCCCGCTCCTCAATGGAGAAATCCACCTTGTTCAGGTTAACAGTTTTAGGGGGCAGAGTGATTATAGGCTGTCCATCAATCAATGTTCCTAGACAGGCAGAAAGTGAAATTAAAAATATTAAACAAAAAAGAGGACAGGGTCCGCTAACATACAATATCTGTGACTCCACATTCTTGGAAAATTCAGATCAAATGTCAACAGACCAAAATCTTGATGGTTGAAGTGTACTTCAGACATCAAAACTGTGAACTAATTTTTAAAGTTCATATTAAATTACTATAGTTAAGAGGAGAAGCAAGATATTACCAAGGACCTGAACCTATACATATTCAACCCATCCAAAATCAGACAGCAAAGAACTGGCCATTCACCTTTAGTACGACGTAGCATTATAGCCCTAAGAACCGCTTGAAGCTTCTTGTAACCTTGAATAGAATTTTTGGATATCGGCACTTTTATTGTGTTGTAGAATGATTTATATGCAGCATAAGGATCATACTTGAGGAATCTGAAGTAGCTATAAAGGTCTTCAATAGCATTTTGAATAGGCGTTCCAGATAAGCACCACCGTCTTTTGGCTCGAAGGCTGCAGCAAGCTCTAGCCACCTGAGTTCTATGATTCTTTATTGTTTGAGCCTCGTCTAGAATGACCCTGAACCAGCCAACTTTTGCGAGGGCACCAGATGCAGAATCAAAAGAACTGTCAATTCCCTTTTTACCTTTTTTACTCTTTTTATTTGCATTATAAGCCTTTTTCCTCTTTTTACCAAAAGCAAAGTCAGAGGATAACCCAAATTTTTCCCCCATTTTTTCATCAACTTCATCCTCTTCAACTAAAGGTTGCTTTGGAACCTCATTAGTTACAATCGAATATGTTGTGAGAACAACATCATATTTTGCAAGTTCGACAGGATCCTTAGTCCTATTACCCCCATGATAAATCAACACAGAGAGCTTAGCTTCATCTCCTACTTTGTCATCCAACTCCCTTGCCCACTGTCGGAGAACACTGGCAGGGCAAACAACCAGTGTACCAGCAGCTGGTCTTTTCCTGCTAACCACCCTTGTTGAAGATGAACTAACTGATTCAGGCATAGGTTTTATATCATCTTCTTCATTATTTTTAGATTTTTCCACAGTACCACCAGCATCATCATTTTCTTCCTCCTCATCCAAATTTAATGCTTCAGCTTTATGATTGCTCGTCTCATCTGCTTTCGATTTCGACTGCAATGACCTCTGCATTTGTATGAGGGCAATCATCGAAATTGTCTTTCCAAGACCCTATATGAACAAGGCTTTTATGTCAAATGAAACACTTAAATGTATATGTCAAGTCATGTTAATCAAACGAACAATAAAAACACACACTATAAAAATCCGCACCTGATCATCAGCCAGAATTCCCCCCAAGCAATGCAAACTTCTCGTTTCCTTCTGAAGCATCCAAGCCAATGCAATTTTCTGCAACGCACAACAGTTAAAGCTCTAAAACATGTAAACAACCTGACACACAAAAGAATCAGAATAGACAAGACATAAAACCTGATGCCTCAGAAGCGACACAGACATTAAACCATCAGGTAAATTAGCTTCAAATTTTGGCTGGTTGAGGTCCTGTAACAACCAAATTCATTCTCAAGAAAACAAGGTATCTCAAGTGACTGTCGATATTAAAATTAAAAAATAAACATATAAGTAAAGCCCCACAAGGAAACATTGAAATATAATACCAACCACATCTTCATCAAATTACTTATAAAAAAAACTATTATGAGAGTCAACATTTAGTTTTCATTTATGGTTTTGGACATTACCAATCTGGATGCATGGCCATGAGCCAATAGTGACATCACAAAAGTGCCATATTCATGCATGCCTTTGATTCATTATTACTACAAATTAACAGGCAGCCACCCACAAAAGTATGACCAAAGAAAAACAAACAAGGTCCTCAAAAACCTCAACACCAAAGGTAATCACCAAAAAGATTCGTAAAACATGTTACTTAGCATTGAAGATTAAGAAAAATGACCATATCCTGAAATACCATCATAATGTAAGAGATATATGAATCTTGATGACAATTGATTCTTAACTCAACAACCTAATGTCCAGCATATATAAAGATTTCAACACCTTCAAGCAATAAAAGTGACAATTAACATCAAAAGAAAGAACAAAAGGTCATAGCAAGGGGCGCCATAATACCCCTTGTTATATCCAGCATATCCTTTTAGTAAATGTTAATCATCTTTAATAGGCCCAAAAAATCAACTCCAATCATGTATGGCGTATAGGAACAAAAGGGGGAAATAAGTTTAGTTAACATATTTCAGAAGAGATTGTGTTTTAATTATAAATTTCTACATAATAATAGTGGGAATATCTGCATACAACTTTAAGAGCATTGATAATTGATAAATTTAACAACAGCAGTGATAATACCTCCAGTGCCGCCTGATAAATTAGTCTCTCATCATTTTCCGAGGCCCTTTCTTCCCCTGGCCCAGAACGGTATACAGCTTCACTTGAACTAGCTAGCTGTGTGTTCGATATAGACTTTCCATGAATCATAGGCGGAGGAAGAATCCTAATCCCACCATTTTGATACATCACACGTTCATCATTGCCCCTTCCATAGCTATCACGCAAAGTGCTCTGCTCACTGATCATGCTACTTCCTACAACATGAGGAGGATTTTGATAAGCGTCATATATCTGACACCTGCTCACAAGTTCTTTTAAGTTGATTAATCAAGTACCTGGTGCAAAAGACTGAAGAGAAGATGGAAGTGGTTTTGTTGCAGCTGGCAGAGGCGATGACAAAAGGGTCCTCTTCAAAGCTTGTTGGGATGGTATTTTCTCATAATCAGCACCAGAAGATTTAGCAATTCGAGAATTAATTGTCTGAAACTGACTTGTGTTTCCATTCTCGGAAACATTGAAAGATCCATCTCCATATGCAACTCTGCGATTAGGCATATAACCGCTGGACACTGGTTCAGTATAGCGCTCAGATGGTGAATGATTATAAGCACCAGAAGAGCTTGCATTTGAAGTATTTGCCCATCTCGAAGAACTATCAAGTGTAAGCCCTCCCCCATAACCTGCAAATGAGATTAAATACACCATGAAAGTTAATGATTTATAGAACAATTTCATTCTAAGAAAGCTTTCACTAGATTTCACTTCTCTGACTTATTGCAAAACAAAAAGCTTTCACTAGATCTCCACCAACCAGAATTGCTTTCACGAGCAGGCCAACCAGAACGATTTCCATAATTTGGATTTTGTATCTCCTCCAGATCCAAGTCATCATCTGATGAACTAATGTATATACACTCCATCTGAGCCATAAAATCTGAATACCTTTTCTTTCCTTGGCCAACCAGAAATAGAATTGTCATATACTATATCAATTAGCTGTGAAAAAGCATCAAGAATGTCTCTGGACATGACAACGAAAAGAAAGGAATGAAAGCTTCTACGTACAAAAATGTCATTACAACTCACCACGTCTCTACTAGGTTTTGATATTAGGCTAGAAACTGAACCATCTGAAGAAAACAAGCTCTCCAAGGAGAGTTGATGGAATCATGAAAATGGCCCACAAGTCAAGCATTTGTCTGGAGCTTGAACCCCATTCTAGCTCCCTTATTAAGCTACCTATTCATTACCAGAAGTCAGAGAAAAACTCAAAAAATGGAAAGCTAGATCTCATGTGACAAAACAATTACAAATGAATATTATATGCTATTTTTCACTTGCCAAATATTAAAAGAGGTAATGGGGAAAACAAAAATTGAGAAAAAGGCAAATGGCTAAAGAAAATGTACAATTGAAAGACATAGCAGAATTTATAAAATTGACCTCTTAACCCTTATTCACACCGTTGAAACTTAAGGTTAAAACAGAAATATGATGTAAGGGGCAGGCTTGCACACACATGACAGCAACCACCCACATACGAATCTTTACAAGTGTCATTGATGTTGGAAAGCCAAACAACAACAACAAAGCCTTATCCCACTAGGTGGAGTCAGCTACATAGATCACACGACGCCATTGAGCCCTATTCAAAGTCAAATCTTTGGATAAATTGTCAATTGAAAGTTCTCTCTCAATGACTTTATTAAGTGTTGGAAAGCCAAACATCTCCATAAATCTCAAATCAAAATCCCAAACTTTTGATGTGAGACTCGAGTCTCATATTTTATGGATCCTGACATTTCAACACAGTCACAAACACCACAAATTGGCATCCACACAGACAAGAGAAGGGCGATAGCGGAAGATTTTAAATCCAATCATAGAAATCTACTGGGGAAAAAAAAAACACGTGCATATGATCTCCCTCAAGATTCTCCCAGGGAAGAGGGCAATACCAAATCCACCAATGCTTGGAGGAACCTCCCTCTTTTATGTTAAATTGCTTGACTCATCTGACTGGAGTCATTATCCTTAGAAGCGCTTTTCGAAATAATTCATTTTTTAATAAAGAAGGGGAGCTCCAATCCAAACTTCTGATAAAAGGCCTGCTGAAACGCCCCTCACAATAATTAGTCCAAAGGACGCTTAAGTTACCTCAGCACCAATGAAGTCGGATTCCTGGATAACACACCCAACATCCACCTGCAACTGCTAAATCGAACTTCTGGTTCAAATTATTTTTCCTTTCTTTAGTTGCCAACCGGCTAATATATCATCGACTCCACTAAAAATTATTCAAATAATAATAGTTCTCAAACCACGCGACGCACAAACACGATATTACTGACTGCATAAGTTATATACATGCATGGCACTAATGAAGGGAATTCATATTCCAAATGAAAATGGCAGTCAAGAAAGAGAAAGTATAGATCATAGCGTACTTCATATTACACAGAGACCACAAGCACTTCACTTAAGTACTTTGCAAAGGAGGGGGGGAACCACATATAAAACTTCCATAGAAAACCTCAAAAACACAACAAAAAAAGAAGAAGAAGACCATAACGAAACCACCCATACTTCACGTTTAAAGTGGGGGAAATCAACCTCTAACAGAACGAACAAAACCAATGGGTAAAAGGGAACATTTCCAGTGAATTGTTGAGAATTACCTTATGATTTACCAAATGTGACAGAAAGATCGATCCTTTAAAGAGCAAATTGCAGGCTGCATCACTAAACCATACAGTTGAGCCTAGGGTTCCCTCCACTTTAACTTCAAACCTCAGTCAATATAGGGAGGAGGAAACAAATGACGCGGTTGGTTGAGTTGACCCGCGCAAAATCTGATTTTTCTTGAGGGATTAAGCAATGAAGAAAATAATGGAACTTTCGGAAAGAACGATGAAAGCGAATCAGCGCCAAGAAGGACAGAATGCATCAGTTTCCGTTGTCCGCTATTTCCCAGATTTTGTCTATCCTTTTTTTTTTTTTGGTAATATTTTAAATATGTATTTTTTATGCATTTTGGTGTGTCTGTATTGGTTTCATTTCAAATATTGTTTCTAAAATTTATTTAAAATTAATTATTTTTCTATTTGTCCAAAATTTTAACAAGCTTTTAATATTATCCTTGTTTAACAATATTATCCTTGAAATTTATTATGTTACTTTTTTAATCTTAATCTCCGTGTTTAATTGATAAAAAGGAGAAGAAAGTCAAAACAATGAAAGCTATCGGAGGAGGAAATAGCTAATGCCGATAAATTAATATTCTTTTATTTAAATTATCCATAATACTCGTGAGTCTCGTAAAAATAATTTCATTAATTTTTTTAAAAAGTAAAAATAATCCTCCACATTTTTAAATACATACAAATAACTTTCAACCACCAATTACATATCTAATTAAATTTTATTTTTGTGCATATAAAATTATCAAACTTTAAATTACGCGCATCTATCTAATATTTCTAAACTTTAAATTATGTTGCAAATGAGGAAAAAAATACAGTTAATGTTAGATGACTTGTTTGCATAATATGAAAGTTTTAATAGCTCATTCAACTCTTTAGCCAGGGAGGAAGAAACTAAACCTATTTAATTCTTCCTCTCTCCCCCCTTCCTTTTCATTGTTCAATCCCTTTTAATCACATTTTTCTTTTCTTTTCTTATTGTGAAAAAAAAAAACTCATTCCTCACAAATTCGGATAATTAATTTTTTAAAAAATTACGTTTTACGAGGTAAGCACATCTCACATACTAAAATAAAAGGATGAGTTCAATATGCCCTCAGGACAATGTTAAAGAAAATAGTTTAATATGGGCCAGCATTCTTTGTCAATAACATTTCATTACCTTTAATTCTTTGTCAATAACATTTCATTCAGTTCAAAAAAATAGGATCCACAGGAGTAACGGGCTGAGCAATGACTGTCCAGTTCTAAAAAATGACTTTTTATCGACCGTCAAACAGGCGCTCCCTTTCTTGTGACCCAGACCGCAAGTTCGTGAGTTTATTTGTTCCTGATGGGGTATACCCTCACCATTAAAGTCAAGGTTGACGGCGGTGGGGTTTCAATCTTCGACAGGATGCTACAGTAGGTTCATTGTTCCTTTTCTTCTGCGTTTCGAATATGTTCCAAATGGGGTTTTTGCTCGCTTTGTTTCTGTTTAACTTGTGTTCTCAAATTGTGGTGGTTCATTTGTGTTAGTTTTGAACCATTTGATATGAAATTATCACTTTCCATGAGAACGTAGGAGGAGCAGGAGAATGTTGGTGGCTTGGGCCTATTTTTGTGTTTTTATTTTTATACTTGTTTAATTAAATATTACTTTCGGTCTTAATTATAAGAGCTAGTTGACTAATTTAAGAATATTAAGAAAAGAAGTTAAGTTAGTTATTTGTAACAAATATGTATTGTCTATCATAAAATATCCTTACTAATCAAGTGTATTAGTTAGAACTATCATTGTTAGAAGGATTATTTTGAAAATATATATATAAATATGAGAAACAAAGTGAATTTGAGTCTTATATTTAGGAATAACATAAAAATCAAATAAAATTTTATATTAAGGAGCAAAGGTAGTACTAAATAAAATTATTCATTCCAAATAACATACTCCAAACAAATATATGCAGCAAAATACTTTTTTTAAGTGTTGGCAAAAAAAACACTTTTTAAATAACAAAAAAATTATAGGAAGAAAACAAATCACTGACATGACATTTTCAGTAGTGAAAGTGAATCTTCCTTTTTTAATACATATGACATATAATTTCAATCAGAATAATAAAATTATGGGAAAAAATAAAAATTAATAGAACAGTTCGTGGAAAAATACTAATTACTTGCCAAGTTTCCCTGTTCAGTAGCTTTTAAAACACATAATATTCATCACACTTAATTTAATCATACAAAATCCATTTCTAACAATTTTTTAACTATCTTTTCCCTAAATATGAAAAAATATATTCGCAACTAATTCTTTATTCTATTAATCCTTTTCTGCACACGTTCCTGAACCTAGTGATAGATTGGAGTCACCGTGCAATCCGGAATTTTTATGCGACACTTTAGAAGGTCAGGAAAATGACAGTTGCGCAAGGAGAAAATTCACCAACGAATGACGATAATATTAATCAATTAGAATATTTACAGGCAGCCTTACGCTGCATACGTGTTACAGTTATACAGTAACAAATACAAAAGTTGGCCCTGGGCGCTTAAAAACAATTGGCAAGGGGCGACAACCAGGATAAACGCAACCCCACAGGCCAGCATGAGCAAAAGTCAGCAGTCACAAAAAAATGCAGCCGCATATGGGAGTTGCCAATTGAATTTAACAACCAGTCAAAAGATCCGTCTTTGACTCAATACAGGACCATCCAAAATAAAAACCTTGGCGGGAGTGCTTTAGACCATGAAAAGATATTTTAGATCGTCCACTGTAAGGCGAGCTGCAGAACCCCCGCCTGGATCTTCACCAAAAGCAGATGCAACCATTTTTCTCTTTTCTTCCTGTCAAACAGGGACATAAGCAGAATTTATCACTTCTCTATCCGTTATAGTGAGACGCATGCCATAACCACAAAGTAGGTTAGCTCAATAGCTTGATGCTATGGATTGATCTTCCCAAGTCAAAAACTAGTCAAGCGACTTGACTCTTGTAGAGTTCCAAGTTGTGATAGATAAAAATCCCAACTAGTTAAAATGTCATCAACAGGTCTGAATGACCATCCTTTATTCCCTATATGATGGCCACTTCAACGACAATAAACATTGCATTTTGTATAGTTTCGTTCAATAAATATAAAAGAAAGCAATAGTCAAAAAGAATGGGAATAGGAAAAGAAAAAGAGAAGACAACTCTAACTTCAAATCACCCCCATTACCGCACCGGCTACAAAGCTTCTCAGATGATCCCCATTTGCCCTCGAGAAAATCCAACTTTTACACAAATTATAGTCATATTTGGAAAGCAAACCAAAATTCAGCTAAGAAGTTGAGATTGATACCTGGAGAGCCAATATTCTATCCTCAACAGTATCTTTTATGGTAAGCCGTGTCACAGTAACAGGACGGATCTGTCCAATTCTATGAGCACGATCAACAGCTTGATCTTCAGTTGTTGGATTCCACCAAAGATCCAAAAGAATAACATGGCATGCAGCAGCCATGTTTAAACCAAGGTTTCCTGCTTTTAATGACATTAGCATGACGGTCACCTGAAACCAACTCCAATGAGTCAGGCATCAAAGAGTTGAAGACAATCCTAACTGAAACACTATGAAAAGGTACAGGATGTCATTAGGCCATGTAACTAATCACATTAGTAGACCTACCCCCAGTTGAACCCAATAATGCTTAAAATATGATCCACGAGTAAAATTAATGCAGCTACGCAACATGCCGCTTCAAAGTGTATCAAGCATTATCATACAGCTGTTATTTAAATTTTAAATACAACAAAAGTCAACTTCAAAAAGGTTAGGGATTGCTAACCTCAGGATCAGTACTAAACTCCTTAACAGCTTTATCCCTTGCAGCCAACGTCATGGAGCCATCTAGTCTCCTGTACGGGATGGAGAACTCTTCCAGTGCATGTTCAACTAAGTCCAACATGCTAGTCCACTGGGAAAAAACAATAGCCTTTATTGATCCTTCAGTTGAGCACTCTGAATATCTTCTTGTGTATTTTGTAGGACGAACATCTGAACAGAAATCTTCATCATCTGAAGTTTCAGAAGATGAATTTCTGCTGCACCCTGAGGAACTCAGTCTGTCAGAACCAGGACTCTTCACTTTACAATATAACTGCAGAATATCAAGGACTGCTTTGATTTTAGATGAACAGTAATTTCTCTGCTGTGCTACTGAATAATCAACGTGATGATAACTTGCAGAACTAGCATCACCAAGGCCACCAGAGATGCCACTTCTTAGAGTAGATTTGGAGAAAACAACATCATCACCAATTTTTTCATTGCAATCAACGGCAGGGCAGATATTCTCATAGCCAGTCAAAAATTCTGACACACACTGATAACAGAAAACATGGCCACACATAGTAACAACTGGATTTTCAGGTGGATCCTGTAGAAACAACAGTACTAGAAGAATCAGCCAAGTCTCTTTTTTTACAGTGTTTACTAATCTATGACAAAATAACTAAAAAATCCAAAGCGAAAATGCTAGAATATGTAATAGCCATGGCAATAAGAAAATCTCATATCAGTAATAAACTCACACTGCAAACGCCACATATGGCAAAGGATGTTTCCAAGCAATTAAAAAGATTAATCAGCATCTCCCTTGGAAGCATTTTCGCCATTTCAACTGAATTTCCCCCAACAACATCAGCACAATGATCTTTAACAAGATATGGGTGGTCACAAGCTTGACGGAGGCGCAAGAGCATTAGTAGAATATTTGCATAGTTTTGATTCACTGTACCAGCAGCAGCATATGCCTGTGGTTTATAAGCAAGTTATTTCAAGATTATGTTGAAATACCGCCCAAAATATTGCACTAAATATTATGAGCATTTCACCCCTGAAACAAGGTGAGAGTCCAAATGGAAAAACCAGAATATGAGGCCTTACCCAAAAACTACACCTGTAAAAAAAAATGTTTAATTGCAAGTTTTGCATGTCATAGAAACTAGTGAGTAAGAAAGTAAGCTAAAAACAGGACAGGCCAATTAAAATAATATGGACAAATATCCAACACATTGTGATAGACAAAGACATAGCTAAGAAACTAACAAAATTATCTGTGGTGATAAGATCAACAAACGGCATTGATAGATGTGATGGGCAACCCAAAAAAGCAATTTAGGCGATGAGACAAAAGTGCATAAGAGTCAGCATATCAGATGGGGATTTCTTCACTCAAACATAGAAGTTTGAAATTTTTAAGAATAAATTTATATAAGCTGCAGATTAATGATATCTAAGTGTTGCAGCTCAGGAGGACCAGACTCAGAAATAAGTTTAAAGCCATCTTAATTTCAATAATTGGCCCTAAGAAATATTATACATATATGCTTCGCAGTATAAAATTACACAACATTGAGTATATTTTGAGTGACCATAAAAAATAAATAACAAACATACAAGGCATTTAAAATCTCCTCAGCAAACAACATTTTACTCACAATTCAAAAAGAATATTTCAATACAAGATAAATAATTCAGCGAAGACAAACCTTAAATTGAGTTCGTGAATCTGCTTCCAGCTTGGTGTAGAAGGCCCGCTCCTCGATGGAGAAATCCACCTTATTCAGCTGAATTGTTTTAGTTGGCAAATTAACTATAGGCTCCCCATCAATCAATGTTCCTAGACAGGCAAAAAATTTAATTCATAAAACAAAATAGGCCCATAGACACCACCCTATTGTATATGCGCCTCCAAGTTCATGGAAAATCCACATCATGTCAACAAAGCAAAACCTTAATGGATGAAATGGTATTTCTTTCCACTCCCTCAGGACAGCTAACGTATTGGAGAACACTTGGAAAAGAACAAATGTCAAAATAAATGCATTCCACATATACCTAGCTAGTTAACAGAAGATCAGCACAGATATTTTATGCTTTGAATATATCAAACAGATAAATCAAAACCCAGAGATAAGATCATTCACCTTTTGTACGACGTAGCATTATAGCCCTCAGAACCGCTTGAAGCTTCTTGTAACCCTGGATAGAATTCTTGGATATTGGTACCTTTATTGTGTTGTAGAAAGACTTGTATTCAGCATAGGGATCGTACTTCAGAAATCTGAAGTAGCTATACAATTCGTCTATAGTATTTTGAATTGGAGTACCAGATAAACACCACCTTCTTTTGGCTCGAAGGCTGCAGCAAGCTCTAGCCACCTGAGTTCTATGATTCTTTATCGTTTGAGCTTCATCTAGAATAACCCTAAACCAACCCACTTGTGCAAGAGGGCCAGAAGCACAATCAAAAGAACTGTCAATACCCTTTTTACCCTTTTTACTCTTTTTACACCCATCATAAGTCTTTTTCCTCTTTTTACCATAAGAGGACTCAAAGGATAACCCAAATTTTTCCTCATATCTTTCATCAATTTCATCCTCTTCCACTAAAGGTTGCTTTGGAACTTCAGTAGTCACAATAGAATATGTTGTGAGAACAACATCATAATTAGCAAGTTCAACAGGATCCTTTGTCCTATTACCCCCATGATAAACCAACACAGAGAGCTTAGCTTCATCGCCAACTTTGTCTTCCAGTTCCCTCGCCCACTGTCGGAGAACACTAGCAGGGCAGACAACCAGTGTACCAGCAGCTGGTCTTTTACTACTTAGCACCTGTGTTGAAGACAAACTAACCGGTTTAGAAGGTTTTATATCATCAGCTTCTTTGTTCTTTTTAGATCGTTCTACAGTATCATTGCCCCTGTCATTGTCATCGTCCTCATCCAAATTTAGTGCCTCAGCTTTATGCTTGCACGTCTCATCTGTTTTTGATTTTGACTGCAAGGATCTCTGCATTTGTATGAGGGCAATCGTCGAAATTGTCTTTCCAAGGCCCTATTTGCACCATCCCTTGATGTTAAAGCAAAAACAGATCTCCACAAAGAAACAAATAATATAATCACACAAGAAATACTGAAATAAAAAAAACTCACCTGATCATCAGCCAGAATTCCTCCCAAGCAATGCAAACTTCTGTTTTCCTTCTGAAGCATCCAAGCCAATGCAATTTTCTGCAATATATTACAGTTAAAGCTTGAAAACGTCTAAACAGAACGGCAAACTAAAAACAAATAGGCAAGACATAAACCTGATGTCTCATAAGTGATACAGACAATAAACCATCAGGTAAAGTAGCTTCAACCTTTGGCTGATTGAGGTCCTGCAACAATCAAGTTCATTTTTAAGAAAAACGATGCATCACACTCTCCTAAAAATAATATTCTTTTTTATGAAAAATTAAGATTCTAGAAACCAAGTAACACTGAAACACACAACACCCAAATCGATATCCACAACTAGAGAAGTTTACGCATTGAGAACACATAAATTGTCATGAGCGTGATTATATAAGGTATAATTGTACTTAAGATATACCATACAACTTAAGAGCGCCAAATAAATAAAATTTAACAAAATAGGCAGCAGGTAGTACCTCCAATGCTGCCTGATAAATTAGCCTTTCATCAGTTTCAGAAGCCCTTTCTTCACCTGCTCCAGAATGATTTTTAGATTCACTCGAACTAGGTAAATGCATAATAGGGAGGTTTTTTCCGTGCATCAAAGTTGGAGGAAGAATCCTAATTGCACCATTATAGTGGTTCCCAGGGGTATCATGAATCTGGCTCCTGCTCATGTTATCTTTTAAACCGTTCAACCTAGTATCTGGTGAAAATGACTTGAGAGAAGGTGGAAGAGGCCTTTCAGTAGATGGCTGGAGATATGATGGAAGGATCCTCTTTGATGCTTGTTCAGATGGCATTTTCCCATAATCAGCACCAGTGTTAGCCATTCGTGAACTGACTGTCTCATGCTGATTTGTTTTTCCATTCTCTGAAAAATTGAAAAATTCATCTCTTTGTGTTACTCTGTGATTCAGTGCATTGTTGCTAGACCAAGGTTTAGCACTGTGCTTGACTTGTGAGTGATTATAAGCTCTTGAAGAGCTTGCATTCGAAGTATTTTCCCATTTAGAAGAACCATCCTGCTTAAGCCCTCCACCAGAGTCTGCAGAAACTACATAGACAGTCAAAACTAAAAGATTGATCGTGAAATTTCATTATAGGACAGCTTTCACGAGAGATTCACCCACCAGCATTACTTCCTCTAGCAGCCCATCCTGGGAGGTTCCTATAATTAGAGGTTTCTGTCTCCTCCAACTCCAGGTCATCATCTGATGAACTAATATATATAGAGTCCAGTTGAGCCATGAAGTCTAGATAACCTTCTCTTTCCTTAACCAACAAAGAAAGAAAACCATTAACTATTAATTCATGTTGCTGTAAGAAACCATCAAGAATATCTCCTGACTTGACAACGAAAGGAGAGGGAAAATCTTCTCCAAACAAAAATGCCCTTACTCACCACGTCTCTGTGGGGTTGTGATATTAAGCTAGAAACCCAACCGCCTACCAGAGAACAAACTCTCCAAGTTGAGTTGATGAATTCACGGACATTATCCAAATTGTGGAGCATCGACTTGGAGCTTGAACCACATTCCAGCTCCTTCATTAAAAGAACTACTCATCACTATAGGCAGGAAAAGCTTAAATGAAAGTGAAAGAAGATATCAACTTAAAATTCCAGTACAAGAGAAAAACCCGTTGTGGAGAAGGGAGAAAGGGAAGGGAGAAAACAAAATATATGATTGCAAGACTGAATGACGATGAGCAAACAACACCGACCTCTATCTCTAACTATTACGTCGCGATCATGCCAAGACAGTTAAAACTTTTACTTTGGGTCCCTAAACATGAAAACTCCCCAGAATTTCTCAAAAAGTCTTTGAACTGATTTATCTATCGATATATTGATAGCTCCATTTCCGTACTACCAATATGTTGCTTTGATAACAGTAAACCAATCAATGCCTGGAGCCTCCTCCCCCTTCTATAAACCAAACTGCTCCGATCAGCTCGTCCCATCAAAGAGGTGGGGCTCGGACCAAACCCATGATAAAAGGCCTACAGAAATCCTTCTCTCAATAAAGAGTCAAAAGAACCCAGAAGGCTCGGCAGCAGAAAGGTCAGGTACAGGGGTAACGCTGCCAATCTTTATTTCTTATCACCCGCCGTCAATCATCGTGTCTAGTATAACTAACTATATGTATCCAACACGGAAGCACAAATACAGTTATCACTATAAAATTAGGTGCATGCATTAGCACTCAACCCAGAAGGACAATGACAATCGTGAAAAATGAGAGAAGCTAAGCGTCGGCAATATATCATATCGTCATCAAAATAGCAGAAATCACAACCAGAGTCATTCAAGTAGTTCCTTGAAAACAGAGGGAAATGAAGAATTTACATCTAATAGTTGAGAATTAAATTACAATGGTTTACCAAATGTCATGGAAAAGTTCGTCAAAAGAGAGCAATTTGTGAGATGAACAGAAAAACCATAAACTGGAGAGTCGAGACCGAGGACTAGGGTTTCCTTCACTTTCCCGCCAAAACGCGACCGCCGGGGCAAGAGGAGGAGACGGAGTCTGGATCACGGGCACATCGCTGTGCACTCCCCCATTAATCGGCCCGTCCGATTCATCTGCCCCATTAATCTGTCCGTCCATTCGTCTACAGTGAAGGATGAGCCCTGTCAGGGATTAGAGTCAAAACGACGTCGCTGCATGCCACCCAAGGTGAATATCAGCCGTTAATTAAGTGTGATCTTAGACTCTCCCCCCAAAACCAACTCGGGTCGGCAGTTCCAGCACTGTGTTCATCTTCTTCATCTGGCTAGGCCGGGTATGCGCTGGTGGGAAATTTTCAGTTCTACGTACTATGGTCTTCGATGAACAATTGGGTGTTTTTGGTAGATTCGCGTTTCATTCCTAGGAATTCTAAAATGAAGAATCAATGAATGAGGGGTTCGAACACAACTTAATTTCGAATCCGGTGCACAAGCAAACTGCATCGGCTCACTGCAAGGGTGTACACGATTCGTCGTTTCCCAGATAGATTTAGATACATGGATATATAGTTTGATTTACGAACGATCACTGAAAACAAAAATATATATGACTGCACAATAGCAGAGGAAAAAATCCCCAGTTTTTTTACTGCCATTCTTTCTCCAGTGACTTGAAAGAAAAATTCCGTTGCTTTTGTGGTTCACTGCTATGCTTAACTTGTTGGACATGGATTCATAAGACATCCCTACTCGTTTTCATTGAAGAGGGAAGAACGCGAGACTGATCGGCGATCAGGGGATGACGCCGCAGCAAGTAACGGAATCAAGGATGGGACCTTTTCGAGGATTCCGTGCGTTAAAGGTCAAAACTATATTTAGATTGCGTTTGAAAAATATGACAAATGCTTTTTGGACCCAAAAAAGTGTCTTGCAAATGTTTATATAAACATCAGGTATTGATTCTCCAGTACGCTGCGTACGATGTCAATGAAGGGCATGATGATGGAATAATGATTTTTGACATAACACTAATGAACTAATTTGAAAAAAGTAAAAAAATTTGTTAAATTAGTTATTTACAATAAATATATGTTGTCATCTCTACAATATTCTCATTAATTATGTGTAATAATTATAACTACTTTAAACAAAAAGCTAGATAAATAGATTAAGATCTTATATTTATAGTTAAATTGAGATTCAAACTAAGATCAAATATATTAAAGTTAAGAATGCGTCTGTTGCGTTAGGAGATGAAATGAACGTGTTTGACCAAACACACAAATAAATAAATAAAAAGCGATCCTAGGATGATTTGTTTCAGCCTTGATACGCGTATTTGAATAATACAATGAGGATTTTAAGCTGGACAAAGACCACAGCATGATCCAAACACCTCAACTCGTGTTCCTGTTCCGCGAAACCTGACACTTGAGAACGATACAGGATACTGACAAACTTGACACACAGATTAACTATTTGCATATAATATAATGGTAAATTAATGTTCAACACGGACGGCTTTGACGGAATGCTCCTTCCTACCCCAAAAAAACAAAAATGTTAGAACTAGACTACTTAGTCAGGATCGCCATCGCCAATTTTAAATTTCTGCTCCCCATTCATTCTCACAGAGCCAATGTTCGTGCAAAGTGCTGCATAAAAAGTCGTCACAGAACCCTGTACAAGCACAAGAACAGGAAAAAAAAAAACCAATAAAGACATCTCTAAATAAAAGTATCTGGTCTCCATACGTCCAAGTCCAAATGATAGTGAAATTTGAGGCCAGCCATGATACTTCACCTTGCTATAAGGATCAGCCTTGCGAGACGTGTTGTGTCTTTCCACACTTGCCAAACATGTGTCTGTCTCCACACTCTTTTCATCTTCAAACGTTGAAAAGAGCTAGCAGATACAATAACATTTTTCACTGTTTCTTACGTGGATGACTGTTTTTGGGGTGCACACGCGAAAGGCTGAAACCCCCACCAGCTTTATTGCAGAGAGAGAGACAAGAAGGCTTTAGGGTTTGCAAACTCAAAGGGACAAAGCGCCTACAGCGACGCTTCATCCTCCTAACGACACGCTTCTGTGTGAGCCTGCGGACGCATTAACTTGGTTGAAAACTACTTGACCATCTTCTTCTAACTGTGACCTACCTTTCTGTCTCACTGCTTAAAGCAAGTAACCGGACAATATGGAGTTATGTTTGAGGGCAATTTTATTATGCACAGTTTCATTTCATCTCTTTTGGTTCTCTCTTAAAAGTTAAGACGCTCCATTCCTACTTCGATTTTTGAAAGCTCCTGTAGCCATCACTTCCAGCCTCTGATGCTCACTACACACCATATTTATCTGCCAACTGTTTTCCTTTTTCTTTCTCGCCATCTTTTGATCTCCAGCGCAGCTTTGGATGATACACATCCATGTGTGATATATATAACTTGTAAGCCTCGCTCGCATGCATGGATGTAACAGTGTTTTCCTTTTTTGAGACTCGAGTTTCGGAATATGGATCGCTTCAGTTTTTTTTTAATACCCCTTTTAAAAATTTGAAAGAACTGTACTTAAAACTAGTTAATTAGTGTGGTGACTAAGATCTAAGACGATGGGTAGAGCTGACCTTAGCCAGGCATTGACATTTAGTGATGATGGTGGTGGCAAGAAGGAAGGAGTTTTGCAGCATGGGATTCCTGTGGCAAGAGAAGGCTATTGTGTCAGTAAGTGGGGTAACAGCAGACAAGGGAAGGTTATCAGTTATGGTCAGGGTAGTAAATGTTTGATTCCTTTTTATTATTCTGCAATTATTTACCTTCTATGTTCTGTTCGTGTCCATTATAGCCGCCCTTACTGTGCCTTCCTTTTTAACTTAATTTATTATTATTCAGTATTATTCCTTGTATCTATAACGTGCCTCATCATGACCACGTTATTGATCTCGATCGATTTTAACCGATTGGTCGGTGTTGCTTTCGCCAGAGCTCAATGCTCCTTTTATTTATTAGGATTCCCATTCATCAAATACTGGCCGATCACTCCCAGATCGGTAAATGTGTTGAATAATTTGACACTATCACTCTCGATCAATGTATAACATAGGCGGTCAAAAAATGTACAATAATTAATCATTTTAACCTTTCATTTTTTTTTTTGGGCAAACCGAGCGTGTAAATTTTTAAAATCCCATAATGTAGATCCTTTTCTCCTAATTAATTACAAATTATATGGCCTGATAACCTAAAACCGATGCCTGAAAAAAGTTTGAATAATCTAGTAATTCTTGAAGTTGAAAATCTAAACATCCATGAACTCTTACCCATTCTCATAATTTATTATTTATCAGACGAATAAATGATTCTAAAAACTTAATGTACGGAATGAGCAGTGACAAACAGGAAACGACGCAAAATTGGGGATGGGGGAGGCAGGTAGAGCAGAGCGGGAGCAAAGAAGGAGAGGAATGTGACTGTGACGGCTGGATTGGGGCCCACTTGTCTCCAAGACCTGTCGTCGAAAGCAGACCCTCCCAACCTTCCGCACAACAACAACAATAATAATTCTAAAAATCTTCCGCCCACACCCTCTCCTAACATCTGCATGCTTGCTAATTGCTGATATTAGTGATCCTGCTGGAGTTACCAACATTAATATTCATCACGAATTGTTAGCCCAAAAAAAAAAACGCTTTAACGGATGATTTTGACACCTGCAAAATTCAACATCCTTCTGTTACACTGTTCACCTGAAGATATTAAAAGGGTGTAATCATAAATCCCCCCCCCCCGGGGGCGAAATATAGAGCCACTCTCTTAACAAATTTCAGTCAAAGCTGCGATTAATGAATTCTGTGTGTATTTGCGCCCCTTTTATTCAAAAAAATCAACGAGACAAAAGTGAAGGACAAGAAAAGGGACATAATTGGAAAGAAAATCGAATCCAGTGTGATCTAATCATACGTCCATCAAATCTCAAGCAAGGGAATCCATCAATCAGGTCACACACAGACGAAGACAGGCAATCATGCACATTGGTGTTTCTCAGCTTCGCTTCCGCCTCCTCAAGATTTTGTTTCCCTTTCACCGAGATACATGTGATGTGCCAAAATAACTGGGAATTCCACTGAAACCTTTCGTCTCTGTTCAGTTGATGACATTATTATTAGCAGAAGAGATGCTGTGCTCAAGTAGGATTAAAGAGGGGGAAAAGAAGTGAGCAAACCACGTGAGCTGGATGTGAACACAGTAAGATGACATATTATGCAGTATTGGCTTGTGTTGGGAATAAAATTTTGCAGATCAGTTTAATATTTAGAGTCCATTTGAATTAGTCATGAATAATAAATTCTACATTATACAAAGTGGATATATATATAGGAAGAATTTTATTCTGTAAAATGTGGAGGTACCTTCTTTTTTCTTTTTAAATTCCTTCAAACTGACCCTTATTTACACAGTTAATGTGAAACCCTGTTTTATCCGAATGAGAGTGGAAAGGCGAGAGAGACGGAGAGAGAGAGTGTGAAAGGGCCATTCCATGCTCGCTGTGGGAAAGGGGAATGCCCTTTTTTGGGGCGATTCTCTGAGAGCCCACAGCAGCGACAGCACAGTGGAGAGAGCAAACCTAGCTGCACCAATGCCTCCCTCGTTTCCTGCCACTCCTCACCTAACCCCCCCTCCCTCTGGCTATAATATAATAGCCTTTCCTTTAGAAACACAGCAATCAAATCCCATAAAGCCACCCCCTCGGTCAAGTCTTTCTTCCCGAAAGTCCTTCTCACTCGCCTCTCATCCGTCTGCACATTTCGAAGTACAGAATAGAAGGGATTAATGGGTGTGAATGTGAAGAGTTGCTGCTGCTGCTTGAAGCTCTCAAGGTGCTTGTGCGTGGCAAGAGGAGGCTGAGGAGCCTGTTTTGGAAGGTTAGAGCAGAGCTTAAGAGGCAGACGAAGTCTGGCTGCTGCCGCAACAACAAGAACTTCAACTTCCACTATGATCCTTTTAGTTACTCCCTCAACTTCGACGATGGCAATTTTGGCTTCTTTTGCTGACTCCACTGAGATTCATCACCCCAACTTGCTGCTCAACCCTCACTTATTTCTTCCTGTTTTTGTCGCCTGTTAGCTTCCTTGTTTTCTTCTTTTGGGGATGGCTTGTGCTTTCTTGTGCGAACCGGGGACAGTGAGATTCACATTCCTCGTGTATTACTACTGCCCTACTCATATACTGTCTCTCCCTGCCATGCCAGACAACTTGTTCTGTTTCTCGAAGAATGGAACGAAGGAGATGGGTTTTGGAAAATGCTCAAAGTCTTATCTTGCCATGCACTGTTGTGATATTATTATAGTTTTTAAAAGTATGCAAAGAAGCGAGAAGGCTAAGACTGAGTTCATCCTGTTCTTCAATGATGGTTTTTTTGTTTTGTTTCCTGGGGTCTATCCTGCATCTGCCGGTGCGTCTTTTTCTTCGACAAGGCATTGCTGCTTGTTTTTGTCTTAGAATTATGGCATACGTGGTAGTCGGCGCCATGTACTCATATCTACTTTGTTGATTCATGAACTTTGTTCTGGCAATGCACGTCTAAAAGCCTTAGTTTGTACTTAATGCAAGCGAATATAGCTTGTCAATCATGAACTTGCTCTGTTGTTAGTGTCCTGAGGGAAGGGGACTTGTTGGAAAACAAAAAAAATAAAAAATTAAAGGATAGAAAAAATACTGATGAATGCGGCAGGGGTTGGGGTCAAATTCTAACTTTCTAGATGGGGTAAAAATTAAAAAAGAAAATCAATATATTGTAACGGTCCCCCCCCCCCAAAAAAAAAAACCCAACCAAATACACACTTGGCATTAGAGAGAACTTATCTGCAACCCATTATGCTACAGATTTACTGGATCTTGTTCCACGTAATCAAGGGTAAATAACACTCATAAAATATTTTTACCGAAAGCTGTATTGACTCAAGTAATTTTTAGATGATAAATTGAAAATTCGCATTCCCAAGAAAGACAGTAAAAATTAGATTTCGATGAAAAATAAGAGATAAAAGAAAATAACAGTGATAGAATAAAAGATACATGGAATATGGAGTATAGATCTGTGGGCAAGGGCAAATACATGTTATGAGCTCCGATTTTGTTTTTTAAATTAATAAAAAGCACATCTTGTTGTGGTGACAAAAAGGCCTTTTGCATGACAGCTTGGTTTTGGATATGGGCCCGTAAACATGTGTAGAGCCCGAAAGCCGACCGGGAATACCAGGGTCCATAGCCAGATTGACCAGAAGAAAAATTCAAATCCAAAATACCATCAAATCTGTACTGTACATGATAGCAAAGTGCGGTAATGGAGGGTCATGAGAGTGCCAGGTCATGGATCCACGTGAAAATGGGGATGCAGAGCGCGGGTCTGGAAAACGAATATAAGCTTCTTTGGCGCTAAAACCAAAAAATCACAATTCGCATTTCCCACCTCGCCGCTTCCAATTTCTCCGTCTGATATATACCCACCCGGTTGCTTACCCATTTCGCCCTCAGCAGCACTTGCTCTCGCTCTTTTGAAGAATCGCATTCTGAAGCAGGCGGAAAGCATTCGAAATGGCGGGTGGAAAATCAATCAGGTCGAACCCGTCACAGGCTAGAAAGAGAGTTGATGCTGTCGATTCTCGCGCTGCTAATGGTCTTGTCCGCGCCAAAGATGGCAGTGCTTTTGCCAAATGGTTTGTTTCTTTCTCCTTACTCCCAACGCTCTTAATCAGTCTCTTGGAGTTTCGTTCGGTTGCATGCCGTATCGATGTTTGTCTCTTCCCTATTCAGATATTGCTTGGTTGGGCTTCACGCATTTATATCTGCTGTCTTCACTTCGAACTATGTGATTTTGTTGATGAATTGTACTTTGCGTTATCTAACGTGATATTCGGTGATTTCAAATTCTTTGGTTACTGTTCTTTGATGATCTTACTGTGGAATCATGCTTGTAATCCTGCTTCGTCGCTATGGTCATGGAACATGATTGGACTGAGTTGTGTTTCCATCGTATTCTGTGGGAATCTTAATTTGTAACACTCCTTATGATGGTCCCGGAAAATTGATTTTATTCTTTATGATGACGGTGTTTTCATTGCAGTGAAGAGTGCAACAAGAATGTTCCTGCGGCCCTCATCAACATGCATAGTTGCAGCCTTGATGCTAAAATTAAAATGAATCTGGGTATTATATCAGTTTCAACATTGTGTTGCATAGTTTATCCTATTAGTCAATGTCTGCTCATTGATTTGAATTTTCTCTTATTCAGAAGCGCAGGTTGTGGAAAAGCCTGCTGAGGTCAAGAAGCCAACGGAGAGGTGAATTGGGTTTCTTGGTCATGTCTTCAGTTTTTCCATAACCATTTAATATGCTTCTGCTCACTCGCTATATGTTGTAATTGGGAATTTGTTTAGGAAGAAGCCTAAATCAAGTGAGCCTAAGGCAAAAAAGGCCAAGGTGGAGAAGGAGAAGGGGAAGAAGGGCAAGGATCCTAACAAGCCCAAGCGCCCTCCTACAGCCTTCTTTGTCTTCCTGTTAGCACTCCCTCTCCCATGCATTATCATTAATGTTGTGCTTATCTTTGATTGTTTTAATGAGTTTGAAACCTTTGTTGCAGGGAAGAGTTTAGAAAATCTTTTAAGGAGGCAAATCCTGATTCAAAGGATGTTAAAAGGGTAATGAGACTTAACAAACAGATAACAATTTTCTTGTTCATTCGGTCAATTCATGCTGGGATTTGCTAACTAGCGTCCTTTTTGAATGGTAATCTAGGTTGGTAAGGAGGCAGGAGAGAAGTGGAAGTCCTTGTCTGACGAGGTGAGTGAAAGATAATTCCCTTGATCAATTTCATTTACCTATTTGACAATTTGATGTTTATCAAGCCTCATCTTATGTTCATAATCGGAGCAGGAGAAGAAGCCTTACGTGGACAGAGCTGCTGAACTGAAGGCAGAATACGAAAAAGCATTGGAAAGTTATAATGCCGCAGAAGACAGAGCTGTATGGTTTTGTTGCTTGAGTTGATATTATTGATTTGATTATTTGTTCTTTTGTCTGAAAATGTGTATCTTATTTTCAGGATCAAGAGGGATCTGATAAGGAGGATGCGGTTGAGGAAGCTGGTCAAGAGGAGTCCGAGAAAGATGACACGACAAAGGAAAATGAAGAGCTCACTGATGAGGAGTAGCGGGACATGCTTACTGTGTACACTAGAAAAATTACCTGAATGCTTGCTGTAGGGCTGTAAATTTGGAAATATGTCGGGGGAAGTTTTTATTTAGATGGTAGGATTGCTATTTTGCGACTTCAAATGCAAAATGATTTTGGGATTTTCTCCATTGAAAAATTCTTTTAAATCATAGTTAATTATAACATGGTTCCTGGTTTTCCACAGGCTGAAAGGGTCATGTCATTCGATTTTGCCTTTTGCCACCTAACCTTTGGTAGAATTTGTGTCGAAGCCACTGATAGTTTGGTTGGACTGCATCATTATGTTTCGATGATACTGGGTGCTGGAGCGATATTTCTTTTCCCGAATCTAAGATTTTTTGAAGGGAAAAAAGAAAGATGAAATTACTGAGCTTTCATTCTCATGGCATATGTTTTTTCTGTGGAACGTGCGGTCGTTAACAAGATCAAATTATCGGGTTTTTCCCCATGGTTTTAATTATCAATTGTCTTAAAAACTTAATCATTATTCAAGTCATAATCATCTGGATAAGAATAAGATGCAATGGGGCCTTGGAGAAGTACAATGTTCTTACGTTAACTTGTACAAATGAAATTTATGTTTTCGCTTCGTTTTCTCATCTGATCAGTGATCACAAAACACATGCGGCATGATGTGGCAACTTTTTAATAAAATACTGTAATATTTAACTATAAAGCGTAACATCTTAATTCGACCAAGAAATCAAGCAGATAGTACAATAGTGTGGGAGGTTTTATTAAAATAATATAATACTATGAAATGGAACAGTACCAATTTGGTAAACTCAGTAGAAAGGGGGAACAATTTAAAAATAATATTACTAGATAGGTGGTTCTTGACCCAATCTGGAGCCCAATGCTGATATAACAATGGTCACAAGGCATGAACATTTGAACTAGGTTGGTTAAGTCAGAACCTCACTGACCCATCTTCCCATCCTTCTTTCCCTTGCATGGCGGCAAGGGTTTGCCACATAAACAAAGATTGTGAGCATAAGCAACCGGAGGAAAGATGTTGAATGGTCTAGTCTGTGGTATTTCTCCACAAAGCATGTTAGCCCTGAAGCTTGCATGCCTTAAACCAACAAGCTGTGACAGAGTGCTCGGAAGTTTTCCTGTGAGTCCATTAATAGACAGGTCAAGCCATTGCAGCTTCAGCAACATTCCTAAACCTGGAGGGATGGTTCCCGATATGTGGTTCCTTGAGATGTCAAATCTCTCAAGTTCAATCAAATTTGAGATTGAAACAGGGATTTGGCCTGATATATTGTTGCCCCCTATATTTAAGACCTTCAATGTCGAGCCTGCAATGAATTCTGGAATTCGGCCTGAAATTGAATTTCCAGACACGTCTAAAACCTCCAGGGAGCTGGTTGTCCCGCTGTTTATGACTGACGATAGTGAACCCACGAGCAGATTTGCATGCAAATCAATGGAAGATGCCCCTGTGGACAATTTGACTTCAGAAAGATCAAATTTTAACCTGTTGTTTGAGAGCTTAACTTTCTGCAGGCTCGACATGTTTGTGAAGAAACCTGAAATGCCACCAACCAAGAAGTTATCTGAGAGGTCTACGGTGCTCAAAGAGTCGGGGCTTGTGAAGATTGGAAGGGTCCCCTTCAATTTACACCCGGCTAAATTGATATCTTTAAGTGGCTTGGTTCTGATCCAATCGGGAACACTTCCCAAGCTGAGATTATTGTAGGACAAGTCTATCGATAAAAGAGAAGGGATACCCTTGCTAGGGATAGCTGGCAAGGGATCAGAGAGTGCGTTTCTAGATAAATTAAGGCACCAGAGGTTTTGTAATCTTGATATGGACAGTGGAAGATGACCTGTGAGCTTATTACCACTTAACTTAAGACTGGTCAAGGATTTCAAAGTTCCAATCTGATCTGGGATGCTCCCTGTGAGCCTATTATGGCTCAAGGACAAGTCTAAGAGAGTGGCCAGGTTGAACAAGGAAATGGGAATTCTCCCCGTCAATTGGTTATCAGAAAGATCAATGAAGGTCAAATTTCGCAGCTGCCCTACGAAATCTGGGATGGCCCCGGATAATATATTACAGCTAAGATCAAGGTACTGCAGATTCTGAAGAGTTTTGAGAGACAAGGGTATAGGACCTGACAGAAAATTTCTTGCCAAATTGAGTTGGACCAAGCTTCTGAAATTTCCCAATGTCGGAGGAATCTGCCCTTTCAGATGGTTCCCACTAAGTGAAAAGGTCTGAAGCAGAGGTAAGCGACCTAAACTTGGAGGGATGGTCCCTCCAAGAGAATTGTCCTCCAAGGCCAGTTGGGTAAGGTGAGTCAAATTTGAGAAGCTCTCAGGAATTGGCCCGGTGATGTGCTTCATCCCACTTATTACCAAAACCTCCAAGAAACGCAGATTGCCTAGTGAAGGAGAAAGAGAGCCCTTCATGTAAAGGCCACTATTCCTATCACTATCAGGTCTCTGTATTTGCAATGTAGTGACTCGTCCCGTGGATGGATTGCACTCAACTCCTTCCCAGCCACCATCGCAGCAATCTCTGCCCGTCCATGAAGAAAGAGTATTTGTTGTGTCCTGAGAGATGCTAGCTTTAAAGCCCAGAAGAGAAGCCCTGTCTTCTTCGGAACAGATTGGAGACTCCGGTGTCGTCTCTGCAACATTCTCTGAGAGATGACAGAGGAACACCGAAGATACCAGCACAAGGTCGAAAACCCAATTCCATAATTGCATTTTGGAAGGTGGGTCTCGATCAGATCCAAGTTAAAGCGGAAAAATGTAGGCAGAATCTAGTTTTCAAGTGAAGTTGGGATCTGACAAGGGAAGCCCTGAGTGAGAAATTTTGAAAAATAATAATAATAAAATCAATATAGTAAGGTAACAGTAGGAAAAAGTACCACTCCCGACATGTGTTTATTCCATTCTTTCACGTAGACAGCAAGGTATAATGATGATAAGGATGGTAGAGAAGAATGAGAAGAAGCGAGTGAGAATGATGATTTTGTTGGAGAAGTGCATAGAAGAGTGAGGAATTTATAGTTGCAGAAGAGAAAAGCTTGAGTGAGAAAGGAAAGAGAATTTTTATAGAAGGCACCTGAGGAGGCTGAGAGTGTAAAGAAGTTCTCATGGAAATTTGTGGCCGTTTGATGAATCACGAGGATCCCTGAGAGTACTCGAACGTTGGAGCGCACTAGATTCAAATTTCCCTCACTCCCTCTGCTCCTCCACAAGTTTCATTCCAAGCAGTACTATTATACTATCATTTCTGCTTGTCTCTGCCCTCCAGTCCCAGATTTTGAATGCTTTTTCACATACTTGCATCTATCTCTGCTCATGGCTGAACCACAAGTTTTTCCCCTTCACTTTAACGTCATTTTCATGTCACACTTTCCAGTTGAATAGTGCCATTCTAGTACTAACTTCATTTTTTTGGGCGGATATTTGTGCAATTATTTTCTTGTTGGTGTTCTATTATTAATAATTTAATGTCTAAGGGACCGGATGAGTACAGAGATGAAACACAGTTCACTTAGTTTAACATTGGAAACTGAGATGGGTGTGATGTGATCGACTGCCTCATTGTCATTTACTATCTCTTAACAGTTTTTTGCCCTTTAATTAATATAGTTAAGAGCGCTACAAGCAAAATACAGTTACTAAATTTGTAAGTTATACAAGTGAGAATTAATCACTTACCCCCCCCCCTGAAGGAATAATGGTAATTGAAAAAAGAATTAAGAAGACGCATTGTTAGAGCAACACAATGGTAGATGTCAGGATAACATAACATTGAAGTTGTGGAATGTGCAATGGATTCATTGGATAGCAGGAAGCTTAAAGGAAAGCGAGAAGTTTGAGGTTGCTTGTGATTGACCTAAGGAGGAGCACCAAAATAACATTAATAACAGCAACAATCATGACACTAATATGTGGCTCTCATATTTATTATTCAATTTTTGTGAGAAAAGGAGAAGTTTTGGGCAGAATCTGGCTGGCTGGCTTTGACAACTGTTAGTGCGATTTATAAAGAAAAGGAAGGAAATGTGGGGATTATTGTTGCATTGCTTTTGAGTGACATGCAGCAAACAACTATCTCTGTCTCTCCACATTTCTTTTATTCTAAAGCCACAGTCTACTGTTCACTTTTCCTCCTCTTGCTAGTTTCTTAGGCATGCTCAGCCAGCTTGCTTCCCTACCCAAAAATGTGTATATTATTTTGAAAACAATTTAAAAGAATAATAAAAAAAATCTCTCTCTCCCTCCCAATCTTCCCTCTTACACTGACTTTTATGATCTTGTTCTTTGAGCACACAGAAAGTCGGAGGTAAAGTTAATATTTTGTGTATTTGTTTATTTCATGTATCATTTCTTAACATCATTTATATTGAATGAAATTTGTTTAATTTTAAGAATAATAGTAAAGTGGCTTATTAGCGTGTTTATCATTTTGGTATTACAACAGTCTTGTAGTTTAAATTTGGCAAAGAGTAAAAGTGAATTGCATCTCCGTCTGCTTTGGCTTTTGAACTGGAATGTCACACCAACAAGCCCATGTATGTTTCTCTTCTTAACTAAGTGACTTAGAAATGGGATTTGGAATAATTATTAATTAGTGGTGTTAAGTATGTATTTTATTTTCTCAAATTTTTTTCGAGCCATATGACAGAAAATATGTAGGCATCACGTATGTGAGAAATTAAAAATTTAAAATTCATGTGCACACAAAAAAAAAATTGACCAAACCTAATGTCATGTTTATTGAGGTCGCACATTGTTAAGTGTATGTGATTGGTTGGTAGAATAAAATAAGATAGTTCAATATAATCATAATTAATAGTAGCAGATTACAATAAATCATGTGATCCACATTAAATAACTTTAACTATGTAATCCAAATTTAAATCTGTTGTATGAATAAGGTGCGGATGATTATAGGATTTACATTCGGTGCTCATTAGTTTTGATGAGCATCCAATGCTCATCAGATCTGAACCGTCCAAATCTGATCTGGACAGTCCAGAGTTATTTTTATTTTTTCTTTTATTTTTTTTAAAAATAATTATTTTAGTAGTATAGGATAAAAAATAAAAATAATCTCTTAACTATCATTTTTTAAAAATATAATTTTTTCTATTTTAAAATAATTATTTAATAATATTAAATCTAGACCTTCCAGATCTAATCTGGACAGTCCAGATTGCTCATCAGGTGGTGAGCATTAGGTGCTCATCACCTGATGAGCACCGAATGGGGACCCATGATTATATCGTTCATAAATTGGCCTTTAGATATCTATGCCCTCCATTTTTATCTTGATGGAGTTAAAAAGATCATTTTATATTTATTTATTTTTTTAAACTGAAATATAAATTCATTCCATGAATTTTTTTTAATGGCGTGCCAAACAAATATTCTGTGGACTGTAATAATCATTTCATTATACCAAACTCCTTATGATTCTTTGAATCGGATGGGAAGTAATAGTCGTGTTCATATGCATATGCACTGAAACCATATAAACCATAAAGGTTCATGGGAATGAAAAAGGGATTATTTAAGAAGATAAGGTCATAAATTAAGGATGGATAGGCAGGAGGAAATATTTGAGCATGGCTTTTGTGATTGTTACATTTTTCTTTTCTTTTGATCTTTATGTATTAATTAATGTTCAAATCATCTTTTGGGAGATTTAACTAACCTTCTTGTCGGAGTCGGCAAAGCTTTTGATCATTTTGAAATTTTAACACCTTTTCCCCCAACGGGAAATTCTTAATTAATCTTACCCTATACCCAAATATGATCGCTTAATCTGGTAGCAATTCTCTTAATTTCAGCCTCACATCTTCATTCTTTCTTTCTTTGGAAATCCAACAGCATCAAAATTCTTACGGTAATTTATAAATAGAAAATAAAATAATGGTGAGTGAAAGATTTGGAGGGAGGAGTGGGAGCAGGTGGGATGTGGGTGGGGGCAGGCATTAGAAACTGGAAATGCAAATAATGAGGGCTCCTTAATCACAAATCCCTATTTGTCTTATCCCAACCAGTAATCACGAATCCTAATTAATGATTGCATTTCCTTTTTTAATTTAATTTTTGAATTGACCTAATTAATCATTTAATTAATGAACAACACAAAATCCCTACCCCAACCAATTTCTGTACTCCAACTCACTCACCCTGGCTTCCCTTTTCTCAGCCATTCCTCCTTTCTTCAACTCTCTTTTCTTCAATATAATTTCACCCGTTTATATACATATATTGCAGAGTCTTTTCCAACACGCTGTTCATATTTGTGTTTTTCAAATGGTTGTGAATATGATTGATTTATAGAAAATAATAATTATGTCTGCAAAGTAAATGAATTTACCATTTTTGAGTTCAAAATGCAGAAGAAACAATCCGACACATACATACATGTGACTCGCTCTTCGTACTTAAGGTCAAACTTTCTTTGTCTTTTCTTTTAGTCGTTGTATTGAAAATCTCAGTTTATTCTCTGACACCACCTAAATAAGCATGAGACCGATTTTTTTTTGCAACAACGGCCAAGACATTTTTTTTTCTTCCAAAAGTTAGATTTTCGGTAACGATCGGGAAAGTGTAACCAAAAGTCAACTTTTTAATTATTTCATTTTTAAATTGTCATCAAAAGTTCAATTAATTAATTCTTAAACTAAACATAAGTTACGGGGATTTGTCTCATCAGGATTTACTACTCTCACCTGGATCGGATGATGCTACACCGCAGGTTCTTTACTTTTTTTTTTTTTGGTTACGATTCTTAATGAAAAAAATTTGCCACTCTAAAGAAAATTTTAAAGTGAAAAAAAACAGACATGTAAAAATACTAGAATTAAGGTCGTTTTACTTAAAAAAAAAAAAGTTCATCCAAATGTTTGCATCGACTGCTTCTTGTGAGCTAAATCTCAATTTAAGTACCTCGAATTGAATCTACTAAACGAAAAGTTGTCACCTTGTTTGCATCATAATAGCATATCGTTCAGTTAACCCTGAAAAATACATATCATAATAGCATGTCGTTTATTAAACAAAAAAAATTTATTTATGTCAACAAATCAATTTTATTTAAGTAATTAACTAAAAAAATGCCACATAACGATCAGTAGATACTTATATTCGGACATTTTATTTGTTATAATTGTAGGAACATCCGATTTTAAGGATGCATATTTAATTTGAAATTTATTCTTAAGGTGCTTAAGGATGTTTGAAAATAAATAATTCAAAATAAAAAAAATTCATAGAATTTCATGAGGGAAAAAATCTATAGTTGTATAAAAATGACTGGTGGTCTTTGGGATGGAATTGAAAAGCAAGAAAGTTAACATGCACCAATTCTTTCCAACAACCTATTAACAAGTTGCATTATTTCTAGAATAAATGTTTGATACTATTTCACCCAAAAGAAATAAATGTTTGACAGTAAGGATAAAATACAAACATCACAAATGGTGCATATAGTATTAAATACCAAGCTCTAAGTATTTGATATGACAATTATATCAGTTTTTTTTAAAAATATCTTCAAATGTGCCAGGCAAAAGGCACATGGAGACATGTAACTTTCGGAAATTTAAAAAGTACTACCATCTTTTTGTTATGAGGCAAATTACAAGACTCATTGCTAAAGTTCATTGGTAAGCTAAATAATAATATGATCAATTATGGAGTGATCGATAGAGTAAAAAAAAAAAAAAGAAAGAGAATTGGTTAGAGGAGAACGCAAATCTAAATTTCAAAAAGTATACTTGTTGGTAGGATTTTTATTTTAAACACTCTTAATCTGACAGTAATTAGTCTTAAATTTAAAGTGATTTGGAATACTCTGATTTAAAAAAAAAATGAGTTTGTTATAACAATGAGATGTGAGGGTGATAATATAACGGTTATGCTTGTGAGTGTTTGGAATGGAGGGTTGAGCATATGATAAGGAAAGAAGAGATTCAAAATGGGAGAGTGAAGAGAATGCAGGGAGGGAAGGGGAGATTGGGTTGCGTTGATTGCGCAAGAAAGGACAGAAAGTCCATGTGGGATGATTGTCTGTGGGTTGAACTGAGATTTGGATTTTGTGGACTTTCCTTATTTTTAAGGGAGGAGATTGGAGCAAGGACATGCTGATATGGTCCCCCTGATTTCAGAAAAGCTCACATTACGGTCCAAACTGCTTCTTCCCCTTAATTAAAAGGGCCCTACCTATCCTCTCTCCCCCCGTCTTTCACACAAAAAGCTTCACCATGTGATCCCTTTTCTCCTCTGTAGCCTTTTTCTACCACAGACAGCCTGTAGTTTGAGAAATTTCAGCAAATTTGCAGGATTTTGTCAACCCAAGTTGCAGAACTATGATTCAATCTTCGACTGTTGCAAAAACAACCAATATCAACGTCAAATTTATAGCAAGTTGTCATTTACAAGTCATAAGCATTACAGTTCATTCTATCCAAATGCATCACTGCATCATGGCCATGAAAAAGTAATCTAATCTAGTTTGACCGTTGGGAAAGAAAGCCAGATATCATAAGATGAAGTTGGAAATTTTAGGTTTCTACGTATTCATTCACAGCCATCTGAAGGGATATTTTTAAACAAGTTGTTGCTGTATCAAGACAAACAATCACTGTTATTTATTCAAAAGAAAGCACTGATTTCAATTAGCAATAATGAAAATATCATCTCAAGGACTACTTTAAATCAAACAACTATCCTAATGGAGAAAGAGCTGTTATTGGCTATAATACCTTTTGATTCAGGCCCAGCAGTTTTTCATAATGACTTCCCAGATCTAACCTGTCATTTTAATAATAATTCAGCCGGATGAAACATTGCTCCAGGTCACCGGGAACTTAACACGACATCAACCAACCAAGAAAACCTAGGAACTAGATATGTTGCGGACCTAGTACTCTCTGACACAAACTAATAACAATACTATTCAGCTCTGCATTTTTATTATTATTGTTTACCAGAAGCAACGTTAACAACTGTGGTATGACCAAATTTCGCTGGTCAAGCAGTTGTTTAGGTACATCTCTTATATGGGCAGACTACCGAAGAGACAGCCTCATTTCTTTTGGGCCTTTCCTTGTCAGAGGCCACCAAGACCTGCAGCAACAGCAGCCCATTAGCCAAAATTTGCATTCTAATCAATATCATGGCAGGGAGCCAGCAAGCTCAGATTCTAAACGCAAATAATAACTATACTTTCAAAAACATATCCCAGATATCATCCCAACTCCGAAGAAAATTGTGATGGAGCAAATAAGCTTAATAATCTAGGTGTGAATATCAAAACCAAAACAAACCTTTAAATTCTTTATGTCTGGGTAACCAGCTTGCGAAGCATAAACAGAGAAATGAGTCATGGACCACTCTTTAATGAAGATGAAATCTTATATAGCCAGGCAAGACGGAGAGAAATGGAATGCAGTCCTGCATCTGAATACTGGAATACACTGCAAGGAATGAGTATATCATACAATACACATAGAACCCACTTCAAGCATGATTATTCAATTATTCCTAAGAAAGAAGTGAATGAGAAAGGAACGTAAAATAAAAATCATATTTTACTGATTTCCAAAAGCTGAAAGAAAACTCTACACCCAATAACCTTATATAAAGGAGACAATAATAGACATACTCAGACCAACAAGTGTTGGTCCAAGTGGAAAGGACTTGGATACCCTAAACATCATGTCCTGGGTTGATTTTTGGAGCGGTGTGTATGGAACAAATACTGTTGAGGGGTTCCCGCTACGGCGCTTGACAGTATCCCGAGAGATTAGTCTCTCACCGTTCGGGTGGGAGAATACTCTGGGCAACAAAAAAAAAATAGATATACTCAGAAAAAGAAAGGATATAACAGGAAGAAGAATCGCTCATGTTAATTTTGCTGGAGGGGCATGATTTTTATGCTATGTTTACCTCTGGCGTAGGTCTTCCATTCCTTATTTAGGAGCACCATCAACCTCATTCTTTAGCAATATCATTCTCTTCATAATAATATAAATTTTTGCTAACCAGTCAACAAGTCTTGAAATCCAATCCATAATCAAGAATTTGTTAATTCAGTCACGGTTCCTCTGTAACAGCTAGATGCATTAATTAAACAGGTTCGCATCGGTACTGCAAACCAAGATAATCTTAAAGTTTTCAGCGATGCATTCACTTTTCGTTAACTATCTAACCACATACTTCATGCCTAAGGACTGGTCTTAATGATCTTAATTTAAAACTCAAAACAGAGGGTCATTATAACGTTACTATTGTACAGTCCTCTTGCAGCCTGCACAGACTTCCGGAAGAAATTGGATATTTCAGTTCTCATTATCATCCCGTGATCTCAATAAACGGCGGCATCATGACTATGTAGCCTTAATAGTTTAATAGACTAAGCGGACTTAATTCCCAAAACCAAAGGCATCAACATTAACTAATTCCCACGTCGGCTAAAGCAATGTTAATCAGTTAGGCCAATCTTATAATTTGCAAATTGAATGGGTAAAATATTAGAAGAACCAGACTCGGAGATGATCATTAGTTCGTGATTATACTTAGCTCTTATTAGTGTGCACATGGTTTCATTCCACGTTGATTTTTCGATTCCAGAACTGCACTTGAACTGAACGATTGTAACTTAGAAGCTTGAGGGGTTGAGCACAGTTTGTATTGTTCCAATTTTATAGGATCTGCCCTAAGGGGGATCATGAAAAATGGGTGATAACAGCTGAGAAGTTTTAAATTAATTATATCAAAATTTAGAAGCTTATGCCAGTCATAATTGTATAGAGATTTCGTTACCATAATTCCCTTCATCTCATCCTTAGTTCCCGCAGCTTTAATACATCCTGGCGTCCTCATATCTTGTGCATCTCTGATATTTTCCTTGGTAATTATGAAGTACCGGACTTACTAATAATGATACGTTTCTCAAATCATCCTATAGATTTTGAAGAGTAAATTAATCGAAAAGAATTCTTGTAAAACTGTATTTATCGTCTCTGTCACCTCCTATGCATTTAAGTTTTCCGTATGTTTCCGAACGTTATTAGTAAGGATAAGAGGAAAATGAGTTGTGTAATGTCGACCATTAAAAATCCCAAACAGGCACGTCCAAGTGAAAGAAACAAATCAGCCGTCAAGTGTCAGATGTAAATTTTCCAGGCCTTACAGAAACCCAGAAATTCCAATTTTCCTCGAGCAATATGCAAGTGTTAATCATTTACATAAAAATAGTTATCCCTGAGAGGGATCTATTCCGTACAATAACGAGTGAAGTTTGCTGCAGGAATGATGCCTGCTTTTAGTTTCATTACCTGGCACCTGCAGTAGTCAAGACCATCAGGACAGGGAAAAAGCGAAAAGCAAAATACAAGACACTCTCTTACCCAAAAAAAAAAACTTGTGTGTGTGGTGAGAGGTTTTGGATTGACAGAAAACTGGGAACTAGTCGGAGCATGGGTAACGGAGTAAGGGCGGCGATGAGGTGGGAAGATGTTCCCAGTTTCCAATCCCCTGCAAAGATCCTGAGGTGAGGACCCGGAACACTGGCAAAAACAATTTAAAAAGGATCTAGGAAAAATCTTCAAAGCATGAAAGTGATAAGACGGCGGATTTCTCAATTTAATAACAGTCCTAAATTTCCAATTAATAAAAAAAATAGTATGACATGGCGAAGAATTTATAGTGCAATAACATTCAAAGTACAATTACCAGATCAAAGATCCTTGTCGCGCCACTTAATGAGTTGATGTTATCACTTCTTGAACCCTCTCCCCAGGGAAATGTAATATTCCTCTCATCTTTAATATAAGACTTATTTAACTAATTTAATTAAATTTAAAAAGTTAGGTTGGTTAGTTAATTATAAAAAACATGATATGTTTTTCCTAAAATAACATAATTATCTTTCTTAATATCCCTTCTCCTCTTCTATTTAATCATAGTTGAGGAAAAATCTATAGAGATAATTTAGAAAAAACCGATAAATATGATAAATAGATCTTATATTTATGACCAAAATCAACTCAATAATTAGGTCATATAGCAAGGACCCGAGGAGTACAACTAAATTTTAGCATCTTCTAGAAAGAAAATAATATTTGCACCTTGTACCTCCTATTTTTAATATAAGAGTTTGTTTAACTTTTGTTTTGACTTTAAATATAAGATCCCAATTCCTTTTATCTCTCATATATTTTTATTTATCTATTTTTTTCTCAAGTATTTAGTGTAATAATGGTATTTTCAACTAATACAATTAATTAGTAAATATATTTTAAGAAAGACAATACTTATTTATTATAAATAATAAACTTAACTAATTTACTTAAATTAGTCAACTAACTCTTATCTTGTTATCTTGAGGAGAGTTAGTATTATGCAGCATACGACAAGAATTAACGGGGTTAGAGAAAACATATCATCCAAGATTATCAGACTAAAATTAAGCGCCGATGAGAATTGAGAATTCAAGGATTTTGCCAACCTATGTTTGTTGACGGACGACATAAACCGGAAGGCAGCAAAAAACAGAGTTCGAGGTTTACAATTTTAAACTGGAATCCTTGAATGGATGCTATAATACCCATATTCGGAACTCAAACTCCGAATACACTTGAACTAATTATATCCCCTTCATCTAAACCATAAGCCAAAGTGGATAGGTAGATCAGATGGCGTCCGGAGAAGATGTAAGCAATGCCGTTGACTGAAGGCAGAGCGTCAAGGGTGGCCAGAAACGATTCTGAGAGGATCTGATTCCAAGAGGATACAGGGCAGTGAGGAGGCTTTGGCTCTGGCTCATCGCTATCAGCAATGAGGAGCCGGGGCGGGAAAGAAATTTATACGCTGCTCCTTTCTCGCCGACCCGCTTCAGTCTTCCCAGTTCCCAATATCCAAGAGCCCAAGAGGAACCGATTGTCGTTGGGTCGGGTCAGTTCGGGGTAAGCGGCGTCCCAAACTAACTACCCATCAAAATGATTAATTCATTAGCTTTGTATTTGGGAGGGGGGCGGGGGAAACAAAAGCAAGATTCATTAGCTCTGTGTATATAAATCATTTGTATTCACCCAAAAAAAAAATCATTTGTGATGCTTTTATTTCAGTTTTTCAAACTAATTTATAAAAATGATTTATTAGTTATTACTCATTTTGGTTTTTTTCCTCAAATGAATAACAGCGCGACCTTTTTTTTTCCAAAATGAAGTTTATTCCAAATCTAGCATATATATATTGCCATCAACGATGTTACTTTTTTATTCAGTTCATAAAAATTTATGAGTTAAGCCTAGAAGCTCACCAAGATCAAGATATATTTTTAGACTCAAAAAACATCTATAAATATATTTACAGATCACTCAACAAGACTCTCATATCAATAAAAAAATTTGAACTCATAGCCTTATAATTACGAGCCAACTCCCTGAATCAACTTTTTGTTGGCCAATGATGTTAACTTTTACAAAAGGCGCAGATGTGAAATTTTATACTTTATTTTATGAGCTGTGTGTTTGAGAGTTTTTTTTTTAAAAAAATAGCAGCAGAGACCTTTTTTAAAATACAAAACAGCGTTTTAAGATAACTTGGTAACGTAAACATTGAAAAATGAATATGTTAAATAAAAAATAAAAAAGCTTTTAAAAGGTTTGACAAAAATAATATAAAAGGTAAATACTTTTTAAAGAAATTATTGTATGAATTCCTCTATGTTAAATACGCTTTAAGTCTATAAATGATCCAATTTAGAGAAGCCAATATCCATCCATTTCTCTCAGGTCAGGTCTCATCCATCGGTTAGCTCGTGCAAGAACAGAGTTGAGTGTTCTTTACCTCTTCAACTTCTTTTTCCTTAGTCTGACTTTTAAAGTGTATCAAATTGACCCAAGGTAACATCTAGCTATGAGGCACGCCGGCTGCCGTAGATTGTGCAATAGCAGATTATATATTCACACAAACTCACACGTTGGGAGAATAAAATTCCATATGATTGTCCCGTGCATCCAATTCCAGACCCTTGCTACTACCCATGATTTGTTTCTTTTTTTCCTCTTCTTCTTCACCAATTTATTTCACCTGGACCCACTGCATCAAAACGCCATCCGTGGTGGATCCCTCTTCCGTGCTTGCTAAATGATGTTCAACCATGCATGATGATTCTTCACTTGGTGCAATATATTACTCGAATGACCCCACAACTGCTTGAGAAAATGTGCCTGAGAAAAGTCAAAAAGCAAAAGTCCCAAAAAGAGCAGACGGTTGGTAACCACAGCACCAGGAGAAACAACACAAGGAAAAGCTGAAATTTGAAATGTCTCTTGGGAGGCATATTGTCTTTGGCTTACACTCACTCTTTCCTTTATTACTTGTAGCAGCCGAAGCAGCAGCATGATGCCATCCATATATTTTCTAATTATTCAGTCCCCACACGTAATTCGAATAAATTTATTAACTTGAAAAAAAAAAAGAAGTCTAACACAGTTTCAGAATCCCAAGGAACATGATCCACTTTTTTTCTTTTTCTCTCCTTGCCCCTTGACTGAGTTTTACTATTATTGCTTCTGAAATACCCTATTTTTCTCTTTTCTTTTCTGCTTTAATCCGCAATTTGAATGCATAAATAGACCCAAGCCCATTTCTCATCACTGGTAGGCACATTGTCATACACTGTACCCCCAACTCCAAGATGAGTGAGCTCTTCCATGAATGTTCCCTAGGTTGGGATTATCAAAACCTTGGAGTTCTCAACACTGAAATGCCTTTAGGTACAACTTTTGTTCCCCTCTTTATGTCCTCCTGTTCTGGTCTCTATACACTATCATGCTTCTTGGGTAACGCGATATTAGTGCTTATATTATCATTACTATGATGACTGATGATACTCAATTTGCAGTTATGGCTGAGAATAATATTGCACCATGTTTCTCACCTCTAGAGTCTGATTTCTCATCTGGGTACTTGGAAGACGCTTTAATTGAGTTTACTTCCAAACGTCGCTGCTTGCTGCCTCATACAGATGGACAAAGCATGAATGTCGACATTGATCTTCAAAAGGTAGATCTCCTCCTCTCTCAACATTCTTTTTAGTTTGAATCTCTTCATTTCTTGATTGTTCTTGAAATGATATTGACATGTACAGTGTATTATCCCCAGAACTTTTGGAACTTCGAGCCCATATGGCACCAACCAGCAGAGAATTTCTATTGCATAAGCATGAGCCAGATAGAAAGCAACGTCAGGGAATTTTCAGGTTTCCATGTGTTTCCTCAAGCATATTCATGAACTGGTTTCAAAGCACAGCCATACGACTGCATTCAAAATATTCTAAAGTGCTTTTACTGTTGTAGATAATCATATTGAGGACCGAAAGCATAATAATTATAAGCAAAAGGAAAAGAATGAATGAAGAACATTGAACCATATTTGCCATTGCTATGATATCTCTTTTTGTTCGTTTTGCTGCTGCAGCTAAGCCACTTTGAGATGCTTAATTATTATTTCTGCTTATTTCTATAGATGAGCACGTAAGCATGTCCATGAGCAGAATCAAAGAGGAATCGAACATTCAAGCAATGACAAAAGGACAAGAAAAGACAACATTATCAACCTATGAATCCCCTGATTCATCCTCATCTTCCTACAAAATCCAAGTTAAATCCACAACCACGGATGAGGAGAACCTAGTCTGCACAGACCCCACAACTGCCTCCTCAGCAGGTATACACACACTTTCACTCCAATTATTGAGGTATTAATTGTTAACGTGAACAATGTTTTTTACGAAGGAAAAAAATTTTGATACAGAGAGAATCTGACAAAAATTTAATGAACTCTAGTCTAGCCATGACTACTGTATATGAATTTTTGTGTGATTTATGTAAAGGATGTAGCAGTGAGAAGAGGAGGAAGAGGGTGATATCAAGAGTGGTGTATCCATTTGCAATGGTCAAACCAGGAGGGATCAGGGAAGGGGAAGTGACTTTGAATGACATAAATAAGAGGATCCTAATGCCTCCAACGAGGCCAGTGAGGCACCCCGTCGGAGACTTTGCGAGCCGGCCATGCTTGTCAGCCACCGGGGCAGGCCTTTCAGGCAAAGCAGTGGTGGCCCTCACTAGGATTCACACTCAGGGAAGAAGAGGCACCATCACTATAATCAGAACCAAGGGTTGATCACAACAATTTCATGCGCCGGAATTGAAGCAGCTTTTTGGTTCACACACACACACACCGAGACATCGTGTGTATGTGTGTTTGTTTGGTTGTTTTTATTTAGACCTTCCAAGTTTCAATTGTATAGATATAGAGCAAGTCAGTTATAATTATGTGTGCCTTAATTAAGTATTAAAGCCGTTGTGGTGAGATTTATATTTGAGGACCAACAGAAAAAGTTGTCTGGGGTGAATTGATGATGAGAAGAAAGAAAAAGGTGAAAAGAAGAGGAAGGAAATGGTAAAAAAGATGGGTCTCTAGAGGATTGAGATTGTCTTTAATGTGTTAGGGCTTTTGGTGTTTATGACGAGGACAAAAGGAGAGATGGCAGGCACTCTTTGTTCCGCAAAAACCACCTTTTGTTTTTGGGTCGTCCTTCCTTTGGGAGGGCTTGTTTGATTCATTTTCATCTTGCTGAAACAGTTTTGTAGAATAATTTTTTAAAATTAGTTTTGAAAAAAAAAAGCTGTTTAAATAGTTATATTAAAATGTAAACGAAATAATGGATGAAAGAATGATTTATTGTATTTACATAATTGTTTTTAGTGGAAACATTTCCTTACCTAATACCTATTCTTTAATTTTGTCGACTAAAAGGTAATCAAATATAAAAAAAATTTCTTTTTTTTTTAATTCATTTCTTAGAAGACATGTACAATAGCATATTTTAAACAATCCTTTCTGTGTTTTTTTTTCAGAATTAAAACTGTTCTAAAAATAAGAAATCAAACAGATCGTAAACATCTGTTTTTTCCCCCTTTCCTTTCTCTGCCATTTCGAATAATCGATGGAGGGAAGAAATATACCATATTGTAATAATGAATGAAACAGAGAGACAATAAAATACATAGTTGGAAATCAAATTAAATTTTTGAAATAAATGACCATTTGGTAAATTGGCATATATAATTCAAGATATCACTTTTTGCTGCAGACAACATTTTAAATTAAAATTTCTAGTATTTATTTTTGTAGGCAATGAATATTACAACCGGTAATATGGGTTGACCCGTGGGTTCAACCTACAAAAAATAGTAGGTTAAGATTAGCTAAAAGTTAACTCGCTAGTAAACAACGCTTTTCAACCCGCACTGCTTTACCCACAACCCGCCGCAGGTTACCCCGACGGGCTAACCCGCATTTATTTTATTATTTGTTTTTTAAAATTTTATTAATCATTATGTATATTATTATATTATATATTCTATCTAAAAAATATTTAAAAATACATATATCATTTATTTATTTAGTATTTTTAATCAAGTATTTGAAGAAAAAATAAAAATTTCATTATATTTTTTATATTGTATAAGAAAAAATATTTTAAAAAATAAAAAAATTTAAAAAAAGTTCGTACGTTAGTAGGCCAACCTGTCAACTCATCATGACGTGTTAGGATTGATTAAAAGGCAACCTGCCACTATACAATACTTTTTTAGTCCACACCGCCTAATTGTAACCTGTTATGGGCCAACCCACAACTTACAGGTTGGCCCATATTATCACCTCTAATGAATATGTTTCATTATATGAACAGTAGATGTTATTATACTCCAGGCATGTTTTGGGTCCCAAATACTTGAAAGTTAACCTTATTTTGATTATGGTCTTTTGGTCATTGTTTTAGGAACTAAAATGGAATCAAGTTTCAAGGACTAAAATTATTAGTTTTAATTTTAAGGAGGTTAAATTCTAAAATCGTGTTATCCCTTTTCCCACACTAATAATCTAATACATAAAATTAAATTTTCAATAATAAATGGATAAATATATCATGCAATAGAAAGCTAACATACACACGCAGACATAAAATGTGAAGTTTATAACAAATCATGCTGCCTACGAATAATAAATATGAATAATTTATTATTCAAATTTTATACAGTTTAAAAACTGACAATTTAATATAAGTCTCGTCTCTTGTCAACAGGGTTTCTTGGTGGGCAAGACTGATTAATGATTTTTTTTAATAGCATTTTATATTAATATTAATTGGTCGGTAGTGAACTGGCAATGATGCTTTTTGTTTCGTTTATTGACTCGACTTCCCTCCTCTCCCTCGGTCCCTCCTCACCAGTCACCAAACCGTCAAGACGCTTCCAACAGGCCAGCAGTTTCCTTTTCTCAGATGCCCCCCTCGTGCTGTACGGTACTTTCGTTATTTGTTATTGTTATGATGTTATTTATAAATCATTTTTATCAAAATTAATAAAAAAATATAGAGTTTATTCTTATTTAATGTACATGAGAAAAAAAGGTACAATTATACTATATTTATGTAAAAAAATTAATGATATGATTTATAAATATAACAAAAGAAAACACTATATAATTCTACCTTATAATTAGGGACTAGATGAATATATGATTAATTATAATCACGAGTTTTTATTGTAGCATACAGGAATATTAGACATTTCGGTTTATGCTCAGTTGTAGCATCACTTTGTACGCGTACATTTATATTTGACTCTTTTATAAAAATCAACAAAAAAACAAAAAGGCATCTGCTTCCTTAATCCCAGCATTTTAGATTCAACTGGACCGTCGTTACATCTCATGCGATAATAATTAATAATCTTAATCTACGTTTATTTTGGAAACAGATATGCTTATTGTTGATGAAGGAAAAAACAGAGAGGTAGTGCTATAGCTGCGCGAGGCATCACATATATACATATTACATATACAAGGGATGTATGTGTATATATACACACACACACATACACACGCATTAGGTTGGTCATCATATCGCCGGTCAAATAAAAAAGGCGGGTCATCATATCATCTGCGACCAGACCATAGAGACCCCTTCCGAGGGAGAAGCTTAATTCAAAATCTTGCCGGGTGGGCCTTTTTATCATCCGACCCGCCACATTTTTGACTTGGCTAGCCTAAGTGTGCCACCATGCAATCTCCCGTCACTCAGGTCCTGTATGTTATGATGATTGAAATAATTTATAAACACGTTTTACATAAATAAAAATAAAACTTTTTTTTATATAATTATCTCATATTCTGTAAATCATAATTAAACAATTATTTATAAACTACTCTAAATGAGCCCTCAACTTTTACGTCTACAAAATCACTTTGTGCGACACGCGTTCCTTTTTTTTTCCTGTGTTTAATTAGTTTTCTTGACTCGGTCAACCATATTCATTCAATTCTTATCCCATCCCTTTTTAATTTATTTATTTTTTCCTCCGATCCATTTCTCAATACGTTTTTTCCCCCCCCCCCCCATTTCTCAATGCTACTACCATATTCATTCCCATACAACAAATACATATGAATAATGTTTGTCCTTTAATAGTGTCCTGCTTGTTGGTTCTTTGTTCCCTGTCATCATACGCGACAGTGTTTAATTGTATGGTAGTCCGGGAAATTAAATTTTTTTATATATATATGCATGCACATCCATCGCAATCATGAATATAATATATATTTAATCATCAGCTCATCACAGAGCTCATGATCATCAGATCATGACTGCGCTCGCCACGTGTGGCCACTATATTTGCAATCTACTGGCCCCATTCTCAAGAAACCAAACAATTTCCGTCGCTCCATTTTTTTTTTAAATTTTTAATTGCATTTAATAACTGGGGCCGATGATCGCCCTGCTCTGCCTCCTGAAGAGAAGCTGCCATGGATATGTTGCCATAAATCGCACCAAGCAGAAGAACATAAGAAATTAGTTCTCAAAAGCAATACCGCCAAACATTCAGGTATCCGCACAAGAATTAAATAAATTCATTCACAAGCTTAGCTTAAAGAAAGCGGGAGGGAAAAAAAAATCCAAATCGTCATCGATCAATGAGAAATCTGAATGGGCGATATTTCCTCCAGCTAGCCGTGAGTGAATCAAAACAGAGAAAGACAGCTATACCGTGTAAGCAATTAAGATGAGAAAACAAAAGAGCGATGGGGTACAGAAAAACGGAAGCTAAAGATGAGCTGAGAGCTAACAGCGGGACGTTGGGTTTATGAGCTTCTCGCGCGTTCTGGCTAGTTCCGGCTTCCGATGGATCCGTGGGAACAAAAATGTGAGGATGAGGGGGGTGGCGGGGCTGCTAAGCCGGGAAAACCGAAGAAGAAGAGGTCTTGCCTGAAGACGGAGGAAGATCGGAAGGAGGAGGAGAGCAGAGGGCACAAGAAACCATCATTTTGAGGATCCTACTGAGAACCTGACCTCGTTTGGGGATCAAACGCGGAGCGGACGCTGCGGTACGCGGCAGACGCGGAGGGAGGGGGAGGCGGCGGCCAGCGAAGTGAGCAATTCGGGAGGGATGAACATCCATGGCTGTGGGGGCGGTGAGATTATAGAGAGAGAGAGAGAGAGAGAGGAGAATGATGGAGGGATGGATGTGAGTCCGAGGGCGAGCAAGGGGCAGTAGTGCCGACGCAGAGCTTAAACGAGAGCGTGGAGACCGCGTAAGACGCGTGGGATAGAGAGGGAAGAGGGGTAATTTGGTTAATTTGGTGGGTCAAGGAGGACTGCTTCCAACTCACCGAGACGACGCAGAAGAGAAGCGCATGGGTTATTGAATTCTTCCCCAAGCACTGGCCATGCCCGTATGTACGTAGTCCTCTACCTATATTCATAACATCTCTTTATTAATTATCTCCTTATTTTATTTCTTCTTCTTTTTTTCCCAATCATTTGGAGATGTGCTGCTAATGTAATATGCTGCCTTAAGAATTCATGATTTTGTTATTTATTGGCTTCATGATGGTTATAATGTAATAAAAACTGTTACGCTGACTGACACATATCATATGTAATAAAACGCGCTTGCTTTTTTTTTTTTTTTTTAATAATTGAATTGAATTGAATGTGGCAAGTGGTGGTGGGTGGACTTCTCCAACTTTGAACCCGTCTTCACCACACACACACACACACAAAAGCACTTTTTGTTTTGACGAATGCCAACCAAAATTTTTTAACATAATTCCCCAGAGTTTAATAATAATTGGACGCAGACATGGATGAAAGGTTCTTGGTGCATATAGAGTTTGAGCAGATGTACTATGATACCATATGACCTGAGTCTTTCCGTATTTATGAAAAGTCTTCCCCTCTCACTGCCAACCACAGCAAAACGTTATATTCACAGTGGCGGGCTTTCCAACTTGGCATTTACTTCACAACTGCCAACATATTCCGTCACGTTAGTATCAGATCCATGAGTAGATATTATATTAGTTCAGGTCAACTTAAGTATTTCTTTTTCTTCTTAATATAAAACCTAGTTGACTAATTTAAAAAGATTAACAAAGTTAATTAAACCAGTTATTTGTAGTAAATATATATTGTCTTCCCTAAAATATATTTATTAATCATGTATGTTTGAATTATCAATTGACACTAATTTCTTAACATATGCAACTGCTGTAGGAATTAATTGAGGACAAAATAGATAAATATTGAAGACAAAGTGAACTGGGATATTATATTTAAGACCGGATTAAAAGTCAAACTAGATCTTATATTAAGGACCGGAGTTAGTATATTATATTAACTTATGATGAAATATGCTTCTTTAATTTAAGTCCAGTTTTCACGATTTTTTTCCGTTTATAATTATTATACAGAAGGTTGCAGATGGTTATCAAGTGTGTTGCGATGCACATAATTAATGGCCTTTGATCCCCACAATATAATCCATTTGTTTAATTGTGTCGGAATTCCCTTGGCTTTAGAAAGCGGGGTTTTAAGTGAGTCAGAGTATAACTGCGAGCTTAGCTAACTCGCCATGAGAAAGGAAAGGGAAGAGAGTATCCTTGCGTATGCTTGCTTACGAACTAAGAAAGTAAAATGAAATCAGAGGTGGGCTTGAACAAACACACAAATGATTCAGCTCAAAAAAAAAAAAACACACAAATGATTGCTATTAATTACTTCTATCGATTGAGAGTTGATGTTAGTCCTACATGTAAGACTTATTTAACATATTTATCAATTTTTTTTCAAATTAATCCTATTGATATTCCTCTAACAATAATCAAGTAGGAGAGGGAGGGAGGAAATTAAAAAAGATAACTGGGATATAGAAAAAATATATCATACTAACTAATTTAATTAACATCTTTAATCTATTCAAATTAGTTCATTATGTCTTACATTAGGGAGCAGAGGAGTAATATATAGCAAAGCAGCACGCAATCCTAAACAAATAATTTGCGCTTGCCAATATTTTTTTTTTTGGTGAAAGCTTGCTAATATTTTTACTTAAACATATATGTGTGTACATATGCAGAGAGAATACTGGCAAAAAAAAGTATATACTATTTCCGGTCTTGAATATAAGAGCTAGTTGACTGCTTTGAGTAGACTAAAAAAATGAGTTAAGTTAGTTATTTTTAATAAATAGGTGTTGTCTTTTCTAAGATATCCTTGCCAATCAAGTTTATTAGTTATAACTACCATTATTAGAAGGATTATCTTGTAAAAAAATAGATAAATATGAGAGATAAAGTGGATTGGGATCTTATATTTAGGATTAAAAAAAAAGTTAAATGAAGTGTTATATTAAAGACCGGAGGTAGTATATAGAGAAAAAGTCAGGCTATTTACATGTATTTTTTGTTGTTGCCAGAATACTATTATTAATTACTATATTTCATGTAATAAAAAAAAAAATCTAAATGCATATACACACATATTAATTAAATTAGTTTAAATATAAATGACAAAAGATGTATGTTAGTTTCTTTTGCCCCCACAAGGCCAGCTTATTTTTCTTTCAATCCTTAATACAAGATCAAATTAAAGAATTAATGTTAATCCTAAATATAAAACACGTTTCATATAATTATATATTTTTTAAAATTAACCCTATTATATGTCATTAACAATAATTAAGTAGGAGAAGGAGGCAGAGAATTAAAAAGATGCTTATGGTTTTCAAGAAAAAAATTATATTAACTAATTCAATTAACATCTTTAATATACTCAAATTAGTTAATCAGGTCTCATATTAAGGATCGAAAAAGTATTTTATTGCCAGGAAAAACATGCTCAAACTTTTTTGGTTAAGTGGTATTTTTAATCAATAAAGATTTTTATCCATACAACCAAAGCTTGAGAATTTTTAATGCACATTATTTTCTTATAATGTGTATTTTTTTTACAATTTTTTGTTATATATAAATATTTTTTTATTGGAAATAATTTTACTCAAAATGTTGTCGGGTTGTAATTTTTATAGCGGAGATATGAATCTTAGTTCTTATCTTACGAAGGCCTAGCCCCTTCCAATTCTTTCTTTTTTTTTGTTTTTTTTTTGGCGATTTTAAAGTTGGTCCGAAAGAAAAAAGCATCCACGGTAAAGCACCCAAGCTAGATATAAGATAACCCCCCAAAAAAACCAAACAAACAAACAAAGCCGAAGCCAGAATAACAAAAGGAGAAAACGAGGCAAACCAGCGGAACAGAAGTAAAAAATTATATATTATATATTTGCGCATTGACCTCAATCATCCACTGGTTCTCTTTGCTATCTGATCGCAGAGGAGAGGTGAGTGCATAACGATATGGGGAGGTCTTCTTCGATGCTTCTCGCTCTGGCGATTTTGATCTCTTGTTATGGAATCCATGTGAGATCCGACGCCTCTGATCATCGTTACAAGGATGGGGAATCTGTTCCTCTTTACGCCAACAAAGTCGGTCCATTCCACAACCCCAGGTAACTATCGAATTTTCCCTTCTTCCCGTAAGTTTCACATTCTGGTATTCTTGTTGCTTTCTTGGTTTTACGGATCTGGGTTTGGGTCTGATTCGCCGGGGTCTGATTGAGCAAGGCCTTGTTTAGATGCGCTCCTTCTATGGCGTGCTGTATACTGTGATAAGACCAGAGTAATTTGGGAGAAGGGTTATGTTTTCTGGGTGGTGGATCAAATCTGCACTTAAACGTGTTGCTGATATTGTTTAAAGTATCTGGTTGTTGCGGCTTCCATTGCTGTTTTTGGAAAGTTCTAGTTGGTAGGTTATGTTCACAATCTCTCTGTGCCTGTGTGTATGACTGTATTTTTTTCTAGAAGTCACATTGCATGTGCTAATTCCTTTGTTCTGCACATTTATAGAACGAAATATCGACATAACAAGTGAAGTGGGTTGTTATAATCCGTTTTTATAGTTTGACAGGAATAATGAAGCCAAGTATGATGCTATAATCGTGTTTTTTTTTGGTTTGATTCCAGTGAAACGTATCGATTTTTTGATCTGCCCTTCTGCTCAACAGGTCAGTATCTGAATGAAGCTTTGATCTCTGGCTATTCTGACCCGCAAAATACTCTCATTTACTCTATCGATATGTATTTCTCTGCTTCATGTATAAACTAATAACTTATACCTGAGCTTTGAAGAAAATTAGTTTGGGAATTAGGAATGGAGGGAATGCTTGACGGCTGGTTTTGGTACGTTGAGAGAAGCAAACTTTGCTTCTAATGCATGGAAAGTGATATATACAATATCTATTTATTTATTTATTATAACTCATTGCTAAATAGTGTCATGTTCTTTTCACTATTAATATTGTTATTTTTTAAAGCAACGCCAGGATGGTATTTTTTTTTCCTTCATTTACAACATCCTTTCAATTCTGTAACTAAATGGCCTGTTATCAACTCACATGTTGGTAAAGTTGTTTCACATAATATATTCAAACCTCTGGCTGCACTTTTTTCTGTTTTTGTGCAAGTCCTGTGTTTTGAACGGTCTCCACAAAGGAAATTATGCTTTATAGCTTTCTTAATTTTTTTTCATTAACATGTAAGGAGTTATAATTAATGGGTTCTCAATTCATTTGATTTCAAAATGAGTGAATACAACTACCTTTCAGGTCATGAGAGAGATAAAAAAGAAGCTCTTGGTGAGGTGTTGAATGGAGATCGTCTAGTGAGTGCGCCTTATAAACTTGATTTCAAAAGGGAGAAAGACTCTGAAGCTGTGTGCAAGAAGAAGCTTAAAACAGAGGAAGTTGCTCAATTCCGAGATGCTGTGAAAAAGGATTATTACTTTCAGATGTATTATGATGACTTGCCAATCTGGGGATTTATAGGAAAGGTTGATAAAGAAGGCAAAACTGACCCCAGCGAGTATAAATATTTCCTTTACAAGCACATACAGTTTGATGTTCTATACAACAAAGATCGTGTGATTGAAATCAGTGCTCGGATGGATCCTCATTCTGTGGTAGACCTGACTGAAGATAAGGAAGTTGATGCTGAGTTCATGTACACTGTAAAATGGAAGGAAACTGATACTCCTTTTGAGAAGAGAATGGAAAAGTACTCTCACTCTTCCTCCTTGCCACATCACTTGGAGATTCACTGGTTCTCAATCATAAACTCCTGTGTGACAGTTCTTCTTTTGACTGGTTTTCTAGCAACCATTCTTATGCGAGTCCTGAAGAATGATTTCATGAAGTAAGAGTTACTCGTGTATTTATCACCAGATGTTCATTGAGTTTACCTACAGCATTTCATGTAATAATTCTTAATTGCGGTGATTCTTCGCCAGATATGCTCAAGATGAGGAAGCAGTTGATGATCAAGAGGAGACAGGATGGAAGTACATTCATGGTGATGTTTTCCGGTTTCCAAAGAACAAATCTCTGTTTGCTGCAGCACTTGGCTCTGGCACTCAATTATTCACTCTGTAGGATATTCTTTTAAGTATTTTCTTTCTTTTTAAAATGAAATACCCTTCACTCTATGTCATCTTCTGATCTTGTTATCTTGTATGCTTGTACAGCACGGTCTTCATTTTTATTCTTGCACTGGTTGGTGTGTTTTATCCATATAACCGGGGGGCTTTGTTTACTGCACTGGTAGTCATATATGCTCTCACATCAGGCATTGCTGGCTATACTGCTACTTCATTCTATATTCAGCTCGAAGGGACAAATTGGGTATATATGGATTCCTTTCATTGATTATTTCTTAGAGTCTGGGAAGTGCTGGTGTAAAGTCATATAATGGCATGGTTTATTAACTTGTTTTCCTTTTTGATAGGTGAGAAACCTGCTGCTTACGGGATGCCTCTTTTGTGGGCCTCTGTTCCTCATGTTCTGCTTCCTTAACACTGTTGCCATAGCCTATAGTGCAACAGCAGCACTTCCTTTTGGCACAATTGTGGTGATTGTCCTCATATGGACATTGGTAACTTCACCATTACTTGTTCTAGGTGGCATTGCAGGTAAGAATAGTAAGGCTGAGTTCCAAGCACCTTGCCGCACTACTAAGTATCCCCGAGAGATTCCTCCTTTGCCTTGGTACAGGAGTACTCTTCCCCAGATGGCAATGGCTGGATTTCTCCCTTTCAGTGCCATTTACATAGAGCTGTACTACATTTTTGCTAGTGTATGGGGCCACAGGATTTATACTATTTACAGCATCCTTTTCATTGTCTTTATCATTCTGTTGATTGTCACTGCATTTATCACTGTGGCTTTGACTTACTTTCAACTTGCTGCTGAAGATCATGAATGGTGGTGGAGGTATGTATCATATTCTGTTTTGCTTTCTACTTTGGGAGAGTTTGTATCGTTTACTGTACAAATTTCATACATATAACATTGGATAGCGCTGAATTAGTAGTTCAAGTACCTGTTAGATGGGCTGCATTTTGGGTTAAATGAAGTAATTGAAAGCTAAATTGGTGGGATGGGGATTTAACTGGGAATGGTTTTCGATTATTAATTGAAACAAATATCTGGTTTCTTTTCTTGAAAGATTATTTTAAGTTCTGGCGGCAACAGTCATAATTTTTGTCCATTGTGTACATGGATTAGTGGGTTGACTCAACATTTTTCTTTTTACATTTACCTAGATTTTGATCACAAGTAGTGAGGATTTTTTTCCCTTTTCATTTCCTTTGAAACATTGACATTTAGAGTGCTAAAAAAAAAAAGAAAAAAAGAAACATTGACATATAGGACTTCACTAGCTTGAGATCTATTTTGACTCTTGAACAATAACACATGCTGCTAAAATTGTCTCTGAGTCAACCATGGCATTCGTTTTTTTTTTTTTTTTTTGGTTAACAATTTTGCCAATCAATTGAAATTTGAACCATCGTTAGTTTTTACTTCGGCACTTCCTTGCAATTATTATTATTATTATTTTTTACCTTATTTGCTACGAACCTTTTTAGGGGTACTTACCTTTAATACTCAACATTCTTATATTGATGCTGCTGTCTTTGGGTAGGTCTTTTCTTTGTGGTGGATCAACTGGCGTATTTATCTATGGATACTGCTTGTATTACTACTATGCACGATCAGATATGTCTGGTTTTATGCAAACTTCATTCTTCTTTGGCTACATGGGATGCATCTGTTATGGCTTCTTTCTCATGCTTGGGACTGTGGGCTTCCGTGCCTCCTTGCTCTTTGTGCGTCATATATACAAGTCCATCAAGTGTGAGTAGCTGCCTGGTCGAACTTTTCGGTTAACTGATCCTTTTTCTCTGTTTCTTCAAGAGAGAAAATGGGTGTAGGAGTTTTTTATTCTCTTGTAAGGTAGGTTAAATAGTGTAGCTGAAAACAGAAGAAGCATTGAGACTCCTTCCCTGTAATTGGTGTAATGTGACATCTGCGGTTCAATTGCGTGGCTTGGGGGAAGATTTTGTTAACTATGGGGATTTATTTAATCTTTTGATTTCTGTAGTTACTGAAATTTAATTCAAGTAGCTTGTATTAGTAATTTAACCTCTGCTGTTTTGCTTTCTGAGAATGATAACGTTTTTAATGTGAGAAGTTAGTGCCGACCCATCTAGATATCTTGATATTTTGTATTGTGTTTTGTTGGTGATAAAGGCATGCATTGTCTTGCCTTGCCAGAATGATTTGAAATTTGATAAAGGATTTAGAACAACAGAGATGTTTCAAAAGCAAGCAGACTAAAATTACAACTATTTATGATTATTTGATGTTCGTTTCTTTTATAAATGGGTTTTACTTAATATACATTACAACTATAGTTGTTTAATTTTTTAATATATCAGTACAGATTGGCCACAAGCAAAATGTATTGGGCATGTTTGGAACAGTTTATAATTAGTTTTTCAATCGTGATTTGCGGAAGACGAGGTAAGTATGTGAGATGAGTTATTTCAATTTATATGAAATATGCTTATAAATGATTTTTATTGTTATGCCAAACAAGCCCATTATTCTCAAATTCTAAATAGGAAATAATGCAGAAGAGTAGCCACACACACATACAGATATTGTCGTATTCCGTGAGCATGGGAGGACTACCGTGTTTAATTTAAAACACAATTCATTCCTTGGCTGGTAGACCACGTTGAAGAAAGGTAGCAAAAGAGATTAAACATAATAACGAAGGAGGTTCTAATCATTAAATCAAAATCAGAATAACAATGGTTGGCTCAAGTACTCGGTAGCCGTTACTTCGTGAAAACGAGAATAACGAGAATTGGTTCAAGTCTCAAGAATGAAGGAGCCAAGAGTCTAGACTTGAACTGCTTGTTCCACGGAATGAGGGGGCCCATGCACAAGCCTAGCGATGAATTCTTCGATGTGCTTATTAGAACTTCCTCCTTCGCTCACGGCCTCTTTGGCATCCTTCTTCAGCTGCATCAGATTCTTCTTCATATCCTTCCCTTTCTCTTCATACATCAATTCCCTCATACATCTCTCTATTTCTTCCTTACTGCACACCCCTTCTTCATTCTTCTTCGGATTCACACCCACTTTCCACACCTTCTCCACAAAATATGCATTGGGTATTTGATCAGCGAAACATAGGCATTGCCACCATTGGAACTCCAAACACTATGGCCTCCATAAGGGAATTTGCCCCACAGTGCGTCACAGTGTAGCCTACCGCAGGGTGAGACAACACCTGCACCTGAGGGCACCACGTCACAAACATCCCTTTCTCAAATGTTTCCTTTATGAAGTTTAATGGAAGGTTTGGCATTTCAGCTTCCTTCATCACCCATAGGAAATCGCAGCCAAGGTTTTTGAGTGCCATTGCTATTTCCTTCACCTCTTCTAATTTTATGGCAGCCATACTCCCAGACGCAACATGGACCACCGAGTTTCGTTCTTTTGTGTTGAGCCAGTCCAGACATGTACTGCTATCTAGTTTGTTCATGTTAAAACCGTAGTCTATGTTGTCTTCCACTCTATTGTCCAAGTACGCTGATGGTATCGTTGGACCTATTGCTGCGATTGTGGGGCAGATGTTCTTCATCCATTCCAATACCTGTATATTCACCAATGTTTAGTTAGTTAGTGAATATAAATTAGTACTTCAGAGTTATCAAACTAACCTCATGTTCCATCTTATCAAAAGTGTGGCAAAAGTACAAATCTGCCTTCCCAAAGGTATCAAACTTGCTTAATGTAGCTATGAGAAAAGGGGAAATCCTACCTAACCCCGGACCATCTACTACGTCTGAAAGTCCAGTGTCAGAGAAATCTGGCATGTCTAAAGGAGGCACATTCAACTTCTTACCGTGCACCTTCAGATTCAACATATAATAAGCCGCAGTAGAACCCAGTGTTTGAGTGAGAAATGCCGCACTTTGAACACCGCTCTGGTTTGCAATATCCAGTGGCCAACCAATATCAAAATCATAAACCAAGCATTTGACCTTTCTCCTCTCATCTGATTCTTGCAGGCTTTTCTGAATGAAATCGAACAAGATCTTCGTGGTGCTATTTTGGAACTTTTCGAGAAAGCTAAGACGCCCGGACCAGCCTTTGAGGCCGTCCTGTGTGACATCATCATAGGTGGGCAGGAGAGAGATCAAGTGATTCCCAGTTTGAATGGACTGCGTTGCAGAGAGTGAGGAAGCGAAGGTGACTCTGATGCCTTTGCATGCCAAGCGCCTCGCAAATTGTAGCAATGGACTTACATGACCATGCCAAGGAAAGCTCAGCACCAGTACATGTGCTCTGCCTACATTCTCTCCCATTCTCTTCACTTCTTTTCGGGCAAGTAGTCCTGCAGTTTCATTATCGGATACACACAACAAATAATTAACTCACTGTTGTGAGCGATCATCACCAGACAATTTCCAGGTGATGAAACAGGATGTTACATAATTAATATAGTAAAATTGAGGGGGGGGGGGGGAATACTTTTGGGACTTGCGAGAAAACAGCTGAACAGAACATACAATAAACACATGATTTTTTTTTTGCGCTAATATAATTATCACCATTATTACTTTTGCAGCACTAAGTTTCTCAGACTCGTTATTACTAAATTACTAAAGTCATATAATAGTAATGTGGTGCACACAACTTTGTTTTCGGTCCGCATACAATATACACAAACCGAAACTCGGACATAGATGAAATGATGAAGACGAGATTGAGAGCTTCACAGAAGGGGCTGCACTGCTGTAAAAGAGGGATCCCCTGTTTTTGTCTCATATAATAAGCTCATCGAATATCAAAATATTGAGCATAACCAATATCCTACATTGATCAATAAAAATAATGCTTTAACAGGTATAGCAGAATCACATAAACAAGAGTGTTTTGGAGTAAGTGGTGAAGAAACCCCATCCTTCAACTAATATTGCCACATATGAACACACACGCTTATAGAGAAAGCAGACATATTTCAGTAAGAAGCTAAGGGAGGCCCTAAATGATTTCATCAAACTAAGACACCACTCCCCAAGAATAATAGAATAATCAAATGACTAGATCATCATTATTGTAACAACTAAACAGCCGCGTAAGCAAACTCGGAAGGCGAACCAGGTATGATGAGAGAAGGCGGAGGAAGGAGGAAAACTGGAAGTGGGAGTGTTGAAACTGCCGCAACAGCGATGAAATGGAGTGTGAATTTATACAGCTTAATTTGGAGTGCTGGAATTGTCTCTATCCATCTCATCAGGTCGGCTGCGAAAAGAAAATCTAATCCAAATGAGTTCTCTGAATTTTCAAATCAGAAGGAAATTTTGCATGATTACTAAATTGATTAGAGTAGTCATGTCACGTGATTATGAGGTTAAATTGATTTTTTTTATTAGACCCGGGTATCCCCTATTGTTAAAGAGAATCCTAAGCATTGTTATGTGGGTTGAAAATTCTAACTTGCAGAAATTGGAGCGATGGAGTTGTTATGTGATCACACCCAGGAAAGCCCAGCATCATTACACGTCCTCTCTCTTTGTTCTTTCCCATTTTCTTAACTTCAATCTCATTACAATTATCAGATACACGTGACAAATAAATAATTGATTAGCTTTTGTAAGATTTGCTGATGCGAGAGATTTCTTAATATTGCATTCAGGAAGCTACATATATTCTTACGAACAATGATCATGACAAGTATACAAATGTAGTACCTTCACAGAATTAATTAGGAGACGACAAAGAATAAAGAAGCAAATGTAGACGATACAGCACATCACATCAAATGCACAGAGGAGTGCAAAATAAAGAATTCATGGGCAGAATGATACAGGATGGAGATCGGAGCAGGTTTTACGCACACGGAGTTAATACTCTCAAAAATTCCACTCGCCAAGTCCGAACATATTCTGGAAGCTCTGTATTTGTAGGACAGTAAGCTTGCTAATATGACATAAGTAGAATTTAACTACTGCTACTTCTTGTCTTTAATATAAGAATTAATTTGATTTTTATTTTGTTCCTAAATATAACATCTTGATTTACTTCATCTCTAATATTTATTGATTTTTTAAAAATAGTCCTTATAATAATGGTAGTTATAATCGATATATTTGATTAGCAAAAATATTTTAGAAAAGATAACACTTATTTGTTATGAATAATTAATTTAACTAATCTATTTAAATATCAATATTATTTTGATTTTTTTTTCCTCTTTGGAAACAATCTCAGGTCAATTCTAGAAGTGACGATTTCCGTCCCATTCTTTAAAATACTAAAAAAAGAAAAAACACCCCACGCGTCCCTGGAACCGCTGTGTATTTTTTTTTAATCATGACTTGTGAGCACCACGTTCCTCACGCCTCTCCCCTCTCTCCTCTGACGCAGCGTTTGGTTCACCCGCAGGGGAATAGCGGGGATAATTTTAAAAAGGAAAAACTAGGGCTTATAATTTTATCCATTTTTTTTTTGAGCACTGATAATTTTATCCAATTGTAAATTAGGTTCTTATAGGTTTTTTCTTTTTTATTAAATCCTTATTATTATAATTTATAACTAGTAAATAATGCAGCGGACTAGCCCCACACACACAGATATTGCCGTACGTATTCCGTGAGCGTGGGAGAACTACCATGTTTAATTTAAAACACAATTCGAAGGCCAAAAAAAAAATTTAAAACACAATTCATTCCTTGGCTGGTAGACCACGTTGAAGAAAGGCAGCAAAAGAGATTAAACATAACAACGAAGGAGTTGGTTCGAGTCTCAAGAATGAAGGAGCCAAGAGTCTAGACTTGAACTGCTTGTTCCACGGAATGAGGAGGCCCATGCACAAGCCTAGCGATGAATTCTTGGATGTGCTTATCAGAACTTCCTCCTTCGCTCACGGCCTCTTTGGCATCCTTCTTCAGCTGCATCAGATTCTTCTTTATATCCTTCCCTTTCTCTTCATACATCAATTCCCTCAAACATCTCTCTATTTCTTCCTTACTGCACACCCCTTCTTCGTTCTTCCTCGGATTCACACCCACTTTCCACACCTTCTCCACAAAATACGCATTTGGTATTTGATCAACGAACTTGGGCACTCCCACCATTGGAACTTCAAACACCATGGCCTCCATAAGGGAATTTGCCCCACAATGCGTCACCGTGTAGCCTACCGCAGGGTGAGACAACACCTGCACCTGAGGGCACCATGTCACAAACATCCCCTTCTCTGCCGTTTCCTCTATAAAGTTTAATGGGAGGTTTGGCATTTCAGTTTTCTTCATCACCCATAGGAAATTGCATCTCAAGTTCTTCAGTGCCGTCGCCATTTCCTTCATCTGCTGTGTGTTTATGTCAGTCATGCTCCCGAATGCAACATAAACGACAGAGTTCGGTTCTTTAGTGTTGAGCCATTCCAGACACGTATTGCTGTCTTGTTTGTTCATGTTGAAACCATAGTCTCTGTTGTCTTCCATTGTCTTGTCTAGATAAATTGATGGTACCATTGGACCTACTGTTGCGATGGTGGGGCAAATGTTCTTCATCCATTCCAATGCCTGTATATTCACCAATGTTTAGTTATATGTAGTGAGAATAAATTAATACTTTACCAAGAATCTACTTCATTAAATGGTAATAAACCTCAGGTTATCGAACTCACCCCGTGTTCCATCCTATCAAAAGTGTGACAAAAATACAAATCCGCTTTGCCGAAGTTATCAAACTTGCTTAATACAACTCTCAGAACTGGGGAAATCTTATCTAACCCCGGACCATCTACTACATGTGAAACTCCAGTGTCTGAGAAATCCGGTATGTCCAAAGCCGGCACTTTCAGCTTGTCACCGTGCACCTTCAGATTTAGCATGTAATAAGCTACAGTAGAACCCAATGTTTGAGCAAGAAACGTGGCACTGAGAAGACCCGTCTGCTTTGCAATATCCAATGCCCAATGAAGATCAGAATCATAAACTAAGCACTTGACCTTTGTCCTCTCATCACAGTCCTGCAGGCTCTTGTTGATGAAATCTAGTAAGATCTTAGTGGTTCTCTCCTTGAACATTTCAAGAAAGCCGAAAAGCCCGCCCGGACCTCTGAGGCCAGCCTGTGTGATATCATCGTAGGTGGGTAAGAGAGAGATCAAGTGATTCCCAGTTTGAATGGATTGTGTTGCAGAGAGTGAGCATGCAAAGGTGACTTTGATGCCTCTGCATGCCAAACGCCTCGCAAATTGGATCAATGGAGTTATATGACCATACCCTGGAAAGCCCAACATCAGCACATGTGCTCTCCCTTCATGCTCGCCCATTCTCTTCACTTCTTTCCTCCAAGTAGGCCTGCAGTTTCATTATCAGATACGTACAACAAATAATTACTGTGCTGTTGTCCGGAGCCAAGCGATGCAATCATCATGAGACTTTTTCAAGTAATGAATATAGCAGAACCAGATAAACTTAAAAGAGGGAAAAAAAAAAAAAGGGTTTTGGAGGAAGCTGTGAATAATGAGAGGCATTAGGAGAAAACCCCATTCTTCTACTGACAAGCAAACAGAAACACATTTGGTGCATATGAATACATTATATGATAGACTTGGTCATTATTATTGCAACAACAAAATAGCCGTGTAAGCAAAGTTACGAGACGAACCGGGTACAGAACAAGTATGATGAGAGAAAGTGGAAGAGAGAGGAGAGCTTGAAGTTGGAGTGTTGAAACTGCTGCAACAGCGATGGAATGAAGTGTGAATTTATGAAGACAATGTGGTTGTCCATCTAATTAATAATAAACCCCCGAGACCCTCGTGTCATCCTCATTCTATATATCCGCTTTTGTGGCATCGCGTGCCTCACGCCCCTCTGTCGATTATTTATCAGCTGTTCATATCTTTCACAAATGGGTTTTACTTGATTGGCGAAAAAAATGGGTTTTACTTCATATACATTACAACTAGAGTTGTTTATTTTAGTCATATCCCGAGGCGTTCATGGTGACTGGTTTGTGTGTTATATTAATCACTCACTCTCACGAGGGTGAAAGATAGTAGTTTACTTTGGATTCTTGATTTCTTGTTGCGTGCTTTAATTAAATTAATAAGAAAGGCACTTTGCTCCGGAGCCGACTCAGATAGCTTTTTCTTCTTTTGTGACTGCCACGTCCAGGTCTCTGTGTCACTCGCACCCCGTTGCTTTATATTTGCATTAACAAAAATGTATTCTAAACATGCATATAACGTAAGCATGATATTCCATGACTACATAATAAATCAAGAAGACAAAACAGGTTACAGCTGTATATATAGCACTTGTTCAACAAAGTTACAACGATTAATTTTCAGACTTCTTGAAACACACGTCCACACACACACACATTGCATCTTGACAGTTAATGCGTTTGACAACAACAAAGAATATTTCAGAACTACTCTTCCACTCAAAATATCAAAATCAAAAGCAAACAACTAAAGAACCAATGTCCTAGTAGTTGTCGATCGCTCTTTCTAGCAATATCTTAAATTATAGACAAGATTCAAGCAAAAATTTTCAAATATTTGTTACCATCCTCAAAACTAAACAAAAAACCAAAAACCCAAAAACAAAAAAAAAAGTGGAAAACTTTCCTTGTGATTCGCAGTCCTTTTGTTTGTTAAATGTATTTAGAGAGTGAAAGTGTGTAAAAGACTCACTTCTCTTCTTTCCCTTCCCCATCTGGTTTTTGACTGTTGGAAATCCAGATTGGGTTGGGAGGCCTAACAACGTAACGAGCACTCGAAAATTGTTTTGTCGTCAAGGTCATTGATCTCCTTCTCCTTCAGTGGTGGGGGAGGACATGCAGCTCATAATACACCACTCCCCAAGAATAATGAGAATAATAGTAAAATGACTAGATCATTATTATTGTAACAACTAAACAGCCGCGTAAGCAAACTCGCAAGGCGAACCAGGTATGATGAGAGAAGGCGGAGAAAGAGAGGAAAACTGGAAGTGGGAGTGTTGAAACTGCCGCAACAGCGATGAAATGGAGTGTGAATTTATACAGCTTAATTTGGAGTGCTGGAATTGTCTCTATCCATCTCATCAGGTCGGCTGCGAAAAGAAAATCTAATCCAAATGAGTTGTCTGAATTTTCAAATTAGAAGGAAATTTTGTATAAATAGAATAGTCATGTCAAGTGATTATGAGTTTGAATTGATTTTTTTTTTTTAATTAGACTCAGGTATCCTCCTGTTAAAAAGAATTCTAAGTATTGTTAGACTAGTGGAGCTGAAAATTCTAACTTACAGAAATTGGAGCGATGGTGCTGTTATATGATCACGCCCAGGAAAGCCCAGTATCATCACACGTCCTCCTTCTTTCCCATTTTCTTAACTTCAATCTCATTACAATTGCAGGCAGGCAATGTAATTTCATTATCAGATACATATTAACAAATAAGTAATTGATTAGCTTTTGTAAGATTTGCTGATGCGAGAGGTTTCTTGTAATACTATGTATGATGCAATCATCATCGTAAAAATGAAGAAATATTGCATTCAGGAGGCCGCATATATTCTTACGAACAATGATCATGACAAGTATATAGATGTAGTACCTTAACAGAATTAATTAGGAGATGACAAAGAATAAAGAAGCAAATATAGACGATACAGCACATCACATCGAATGCACGGAAGAGTACAAAATAAAGAATTCATAAGCAGAATGATACAGGATGAAGATCGGAACAAGTTTTACGCACACGGAGTTAATACCTTCAAAAATTCCACTAGCCAAGTCCGAACCATATTCAGGAAGCTTTGTATTTGTAGGACAGTAAACACAAGTAGAATTCAACTAATACTACCTCTACTCTTTAATATAAGAGCTGATTTGATTTTCATTTTGATTTTAAATATAACACATCAATCTATTTTATATTTTATATTTATTAATTTTTTTAAAAGTAATCTTAATAATAATAGTAGTTTTAGCTAATATATTTAATTAGTAAGAATGTTTTATGAAAAACAATATTTATTTATTACGAATAACTAACTTCATTAGTTTTTTTAATCTATTCAAATTGGTTAACTAATTTATATATTAAGTACCAAAAGTAGTACAACATTATTTCGATTTTTTCCGCCTTTTGAAACAATCCCAGGTCAATTCTAGAATTGACAATTTCGGTCCCAGTACTTAAAAGAGTAAAAAGCACCCTAGTCCCTCAAGCCATTCTGTATTTGTTTTATCATGAGCACCACGTTCCTCGCGCCTCTCCACTCTCTCCCCTGACGCAGCGTTTGGTTCACAGCCTCACAGGCGAGGAATAGCAGGGATAATTTTAAAAATAGCAAAAATGCATCTGTTAATCTTAATACTGTTGGTCTCAACTAAATTTTTTTTATAACCATAGTTGTTATATTAAGAATTAAACTTAATATATTAATATTTAAAATTATTTTGTGGACATTTTTTATTAATGCAGTTAGGATTATAAGACTGAAAAGATATTTTATAAAATTAAGAGATCAAAATAAAATTTGATACGTAATATTAAAAAAAATTAAAAAGTGCGGTTGTGTGAAGTATTTTTTATAAACAGTTTGGAAGGGGAGAGATTTTGATACTTCCTCCAATCTCCCACTGGAGGGGATGGTCAAGGGAAGGCGGAGAAATTCATTAAAATATTTTTTTTCCAAGATATAAGGGAATTAATTACTAATTAATAGGCTAAGAACCTTTTTTTTTTTAAGGTCTTGAAATTTTTTTGGCAAAACAAAAGACCGTTGAAATCTAGTATCTTATAAAAATAAAAAATAAAAAAATATTTTAATAAATTTTAAAGATGCAAACCGTTTAAAGTTGGTTGAACCGCGAACATAATAATAAAAATGGAAGATTTTATTCTAGTACCACTATAACTGATTAATATCAATCAACTTCTAAAATATTTCAAAATTTCAGCTAATCCTCTTACCAAAATAAAATTAAAATTTAAGAATAAAAATATAATACTATTCCTGTTTTTTATTTTTTTAAAAATAAATATTACTTATTGCCAGCCACCAAAGATCAGAAGTTGGCAACAACTAATATTTATGTTTTATTTCCTTTCCAGTATATCAAAAAAAAATATTTATGTTTTAAAAAAAATAAAAGGAGGGTTATTATTGTATTTTTATTCTTACATTTTAATTTTGATTTTGATCTAAGGGGTGACTGAAATTTTTAAATATTTTGGGGTTGACTGGTATGAATTAGTTACAATGGTCTTAAAATGAAAATTTTCCTACTAAAAAAGCAGAGGAAAATGGCTTTTCCTGTTTCAAATAAAAAAATAATTATTCATAGGTGATAGCCACGTTTGACATGCAAATAATGAGACCAAGAAAACAAGTAGTTTTTTTTTTTTTTTATGGAACTTGTTTATAATCATCCCTTTTTTCCTTTTCTTCAATGACGTTCTCATACGATCCCCCTACAGTAGAGGCTCTCTTCTTCTTTTTTCCCCCCAACCCTACCGTACAAGCCTTGAGATGAATTCCTTAGTGTGCTTATCAGAACTTCCTCCTTCGCTCACGGCCTCTTTGGCATCCTTCTTTAGCTGCATCAGATTCTTCTTTATATCCTTCCCTTTCTCCTCGTGCATCAACTCCCTTAAACATCTCTCTATTTCTTCCTTACTGCACACCCCTTCTTCGTTCTTCCTCGGATTCACACCCACTTTCCACGCCTTCTCCACAAAATGTGCATTTGGTATTTGATCAGCGAATCTAGGTATTGCCACCATTGGAACTCCAAACACTATGGCCTCCATAAGGGAATTTTCCCCACAGTGCGTCACTATGCAGCCTACCGCAGGGTGAGAGAGCACATGTACCTGAGGGCACCAGGTCACAAACATCCCTCTCTCAAGTGTTTCCTTTACGAAGTTTGATGGAGGGTTTGGCATTTCAGCTTCCTTCATCACCCACAGGAAATTGCAGCCTAGGTCCTTCAGTGCCATTTGCTATTTCGTTCACCTCTTCTAACTTTATGGCAGCCATACTCCCAGACGCAACATAGACCACCGAGTTTGGTTCTTTTGTGTTGAGCCATTCCAGACATGTACTGCTATCTAGTTTGTTGTTGAAACCGTAGTCTATGTTGTCTTCCATTCTGTTGTCCAGGTAGGCTGATGGTACTGTTGGACCTACTGTTGCAATGGCGGGGCAAATGTTCTTCATCCATTCCAACACCTGCATATTCACCAATGTTTAGTTAGCTATGCAGTGAGAATAAATTAATACTTCGAAGTTATCAAACTGACCTCGTGTTCCATCTTATCAAAAGTGTGGCAACAGTACAAATCCGCTTTGCCAAAGTTATCAAACTTGCTTAATACAGTTCTGAGAAAAGGGGAAATCCCATCCAACCCCCGACCATCTACTACATTTGAAAGTCCAGTATCAGAGAAATCTGGTATGTCTAAAGCAGGCTCATTCAACTTCTTACCATGCACCTTCAGATTCAACATATAATAAGCCGCAGTAGAACCCAGTGTTTGAGTGAGAAATGCCACACTCTGAACACCCCTCTGCTTTGCGATATCCAAAGCCCAATAACGATCACAATCATAGACCAAGCACTTGGTCCTTCTCTTCTCGTCTGATTCTTGCTGGCTCTTCTGAATGAAATCCAGTAAGATCTTCACGGTGCTATTTTGGAACTTTTCGAGAAAGTCAAAAAGCTTGGCCGGGTCTTTGTGGCCGCCCTGGGTGATATCGTCGTAGGTGGGTAAGAGAGAGATCAAGTGATTCCCAGTTCGAATGGATTGTGTTGCAGAGAGTGAGAAAGCGAAAGTGACTTTAATGCCTTTGCATGCCAAACGCCTTGCACATTGAAGCAATGGAGTTATATGACCAGACCAAGGAAGGCCCAGCATCAGCACATGTGCTCTCCCTTCATTCTCTCCCATTTGATCAACTTCAATCTCAAAATTTGAAACTGCTCGCTGCTCTCCCATTTTATCGGCTGTGGCTGATATTAAGCTGTTTGTAATGTGAGTGGACCATATATGTTGTAAGTTCTTGTGGTGAATTCAGCAATGACTGTCAAATCTACGGAAAGGATTCCATTCTAAACAGAATAAGCCATAGCAAAAGGGTTGGTGGGCCATAAGAGTTACGGACTCCAGACAGACGGACATGGCCCCCACCCCAGAAGCTACCTTCAAAATTTCTCTTCCACATATTCTCTGTTCCCACTCTGCTGAAGTTGAACTCTGTTTTTTTCCTCTTTCATGACACAAATTTGCCTTTGAGCAGCCCAGCAGAATCAACGGCAAAGCCCAATGGCAAAGCGGGCCTAGTAGCACGGAATTTTTTCGGTAAGTGGGAGTTGTCGATTCAATAGTTTCTGCTCCCATAGTTCAAAAAAAAAAAGATTAAGGCTCTGGCTAATTCCATCTTCCTAATTGCATTTAAAAAGGAAATCCAAGGCAGCAGCGTTTATGTTGGCTGGTTTATGTGTTGTATTAATCACTCACTCTCACGAGGGTGAAAGTTAGTAGTTCACTTTTGGATTCTTGGTTTCTTGTTGCGTGCTTTAAATTAATGAGAAAGGCACTTTGCTCCAGAGCCGACTCAGATAGCTTTTTCTTCTTTTGTGACTGCCATGTCACTCACGCTCCATTGCTTTATATTTACATTCTAAATGTGTTTATGGCGGTGAGGCTCTGCACTTCAACTCTGTGTGGCACTGAAAAACATGCTTTCTCATATTACTTATATAGGGCTATACATAAAACACCGCAAATTCGTATTCCAAAGAAAACGACCTTCTATACCTTTCTCCCTTTCCCTCTTTGTTTTTTCTTTTCAAGCCTGGTATCCAACTCTCAGTATTTGTGGTGACTGGTGAGCACGGCCATTTCTATCTATAAATGTACAAATTCAACTGCTCTTTCTTACTCTCCTCATATATATATATATATATATATATATATATCGTTGCAGGTTAATTTTACACATTCACTATCACTTTGATGTATTTAATTATGATATATATGCGTTATTGAAATATCTTGCCATTGCACAGGTTAACCTTGTGATTGCGGTCTCCATTCTATATATGAGAGTCTTTCTCAGTATTTTCTCATAAAGAAATTCAGCTGTCATCACTATCACAATTTAAAACATACCCTCCACTCTAAATATATGCTCAATTATTCGCAGCAAATCTTAAGTTTTTGGCCCACAGACACCTAATTTGCAATAGAATTACATTAGTTCCTCTGCAAGCGCGTGTGCGTTTAATATAAATTAGGAATCTAAGTCTAAATTAAAAGGTTTAGTAGCCATAATTACCACTATTCCTTTGAGTTCTTAATCACCATTTTAGCCAGGCATCTAATGGATCGTTGAAGAAACAAAATATCATAAAAGCTAAACAAAAGAACAAAAATGTATTCTAAACATGCATGTAGCATGAGCATGATATTCCATGACTACATAAGAAATCAAGAAGACAAAACAGGCCATTACAACTATAGTTCAACAAAGTCACAACGATTAATTTTCAGACTTGTAGAAACACACGTGCATATATATTGCATCTTGACAGTTAATGCGTTTGACAACAACAAAGAATATTTCAGAACTACTCTTCCAGTCAAAATATCAAAATCAAAAGCAAACAACTAAAGAACCAATTTCCTAGTAGTTATCGATCGTTCTTTCTAGCAATATCTTAAGTTATAGACAAGATTCAAGCAAAAATTTTCAAATATTTGTTACCATTCTCAAACTAAACCAAAACCAAAAAAAAAAAAGTGGAAAATTTTCCTTTTGATTCGTAGTGCTCTTGTCTGTTAAATGTATTTAGAGAGTGAAAGTGTGTAAAAGATTCACTTCTCTTCTTTCCCTTCCTCATCTGGTTTATGACTGTTGGAAATCCAGATTTGGTGGGGAGGCCTAACGACGTAACGAGCACTCGAAAATTGTTTTGTCGTTAAGGTCATTGATCTCCTTCTCCTTCAGTGGTGGGGGAGGACATGCAGCTCATAACAAGTGATGTCTCTTCTGACGAAACCCCAGCAATGGAGGATTGGAACTGTTGCTTACAAGCCTGACAAGTGATTTGCAGCAGAGTGGAACTCGTCTTCATCATGGCTTGCTTCTTCAAAGCCTCTGCTCTCTCTAGCTCATCCTGAGCTTCCTTCCTTATCTTCTTTGCTTTCCCAAACTCAATCTCAGCCATCTCTATCTCACGCTTAGCCTCTCTTCTAGCCTCTTCTGCATAAGCCTTCTCAGCCATAGCCAACTTGAGCTCTTCACTAGCACACTCTTTCAACCACCCCACTTCCCTTAGTCTCGGTGCTTCTTCTGCTTCTGCTTCGTTCGCAACATTCCTGTTGGTGTTAATATTGTGACTGCATGACCCTATTGAAAGCTTCAGATGGGTCTGATCAGTTTCGTGGTTGTTATCGTCCTCATGATCAGAACCTCGGTTTCCTCGAGCATCCGATGAAGAAGAACAACGTAGGAGCTGGAGTTCTTCCAGATTATTATGTCTCTGATGAGAAGTAGCGGTGTAGGGAGGCTTATTGTTTTGTAAGTCCGAGGTCAACAATGCAGGTGGTTTTGGCACAGCCAAGCCTTGCATTAATGGAACTAAATTGGCCTCACTCGATGGACTGGTGCTCGAAGCTGTTCGAACAGTACACGCGTCTTGATGTTCAATGAAACTCTCAACCCTGAAGCAGTGAAACAACTAAAAATAAATTACTTGTGAGAAAGAAAGCAGGAAACTTAAAGTTTCTAGAAGTTTATTAATTACTAAATTCTTTTTTTATTTAATCAAGTCAATATAACTTCCATAAGACAGTATCATAGCACCCAAGTCTTACTAAATATACTTGTAATTCGATAGTAAATTTTTTTTTACTGAGAATATTTGGGCATGTTGTTGTGTGGAGTAATCACAAAAACCAAAGTGGGGAATAAGGTACCATAACCGGGTCATTCAGGAAGACATGCCCAAGCTTGAAAACAAAGAAGGATTTTTTTTCAAAAAAATAATAATTACAATCAAGGATATCCAGTATAAGAGGATTATATATGTGGTTAAGTTCCAATTTAATATTTAATAGTATTTAAAAAAATGAGCCAATTAAGGAGATAGAATGGGGTCTCTACATACGTGCAGAGAATTATAGTACGCTCGCATGGCCTGTCTGGGGTGTTGATTATTTTAATTATAATCAAGTGCTATTATTCAAAGTGGGGGTATTAATTATATTGCGTCCTCTAAAGGTTCCCATAAGATAATGCTTCTGATTCTGAATTTGAAACTATTCAACGTATCCATCTGGTCAGATATCAGACGCAATTGATTTCTACCTGCATCTCTTTGTACCAAGTACCAACCTGGTAACAAAGAATTTAGGGTTTGGCTTTAATTTCCAGGGAATTTTTGTTTCCTTTATAGAACTGAACGAGTGTGAGAACTGGAGAAAGAGAGAGACAGAGATGGACATGGAAAATGAAAATATATCTTTCTCAAAAGCTAATTATACTGTTACAGAAACAAGACATGACTTGATATTCTTAAGTAGAAAAAATGGAATGTTTGTGTTGTGTGTTACCTGGAAAAGACCCGACCACAGTCGCAGGAATGGCCTCTGGTGCCGCAGGTTTTGAGGTGAGCTTTGTAATCAGACTGGACAGCATATCCTTTAGAACACTTCTCACAAACCCACTGCTTGTGATTACTATGCTTCCTCCTAAAATGCTTCTTGATGCCCACGAGATCTCCAAGAGCATGGCAAGGATTATGGTGCAAACAAGTAGGCTCAGGGCACACAAACACCTTCTTCTTCGCCTCTTGCGCACTGCTACTCTCCCTTTTCAGCAATTTCCAAGGCACCTTATGTCTTCTTCTGTGCATCTGAAGATTCTGGTCTCTTTGAAACCCTTGATTACAGATCTCACACACGTATCTGTCTGATTCCAACAAAGTCTTCGGTGACAAACACACGACCTCAGCATCTGGATCTGTATGAGGCGAAATACCCATGGTGAGAAAGATAAGGATAATTTGGTTACTGTTAATTAAGTGACTGTTAATTATATAGTCACCTGGTGTGCCCGGAGGTCTTCTTTTTCTTTTGGGAAGGATCACTCCATTATTTTCTGAGGAAGCCGCATCAGAAGAATTAGCACTACTGTCTAGCATGGTGAAATTTTATGTCAACTCTGATCTGATCAATACTCACAATTAACCAGTACTACTACAGGCTAAAGTTAAAGAAGTTGGGGAAATAGTGAACTGGAGAAGAGAGAGACAGAGATGGACATGGAAAATGAAAATATATCTTTCTCAAAAGCTAATTATACTGTTACAGAAACAAGACATGACTTGATATTCTTAAGTAGAAAAAATGGAATGTTTGTGTTGTGTGTTACCTGGAAAAGACCCGACCACAGTCGCAGGAATGGCCTCTGGTGCCGCAGGTTTTGAGGTGAGCTTTGTAATCAGACTGGACAGCATATCCTTTAGAACACTTCTCACAAACCCACTGCTTGTGATTACTATGCTTCCTCCTAAAATGCTTCTTGATGCCCACGAGATCTCCAAGAGCATGGCAAGGATTATGGTGCAAACAAGTAGGCTCAGGGCACACAAACACCTTCTTCTTCGCCTCTTGCGCACTGCTACTCTCCCTTTTCAGCAATTTCCAAGGCACCTTATGTCTTCTTCTGTGCATCTGAAGATTCTGGTCTCTTTGAAACCCTTGATTACAGATCTCACACACGTATCTGTCTGATTCCAACAAAGTCTTCGGTGACAAACACACGACCTCAGCATCTGGATCTGTATGAGGCGAAATACCCATGGTGAGAAAGATAAGGATAATTTGGTTACTGTTAATTAAGTGACTGTTAATTATATAGTCACCTGGTGTGCCCGGAGGTCTTCTTTTTCTTTTGGGAAGGATCACTCCATTATTTTCTGAGGAAGCCGCATCAGAAGAATTAGCACTACTGTCTAGCATGGTGAAATTTTATGTCAACTCTGATCTGATCAATACTCACAATTAACCAGTACTACTACAGGCTAAAGTTAAAGAAGTTGGGGAAATAGTGGGTTTCAGCTTTACTCAGAAACAAAGAAAGAGAGAAGGAAAAGAAAGTTTTGATTGAGAGAGAGAGAGAGAGAGAGAGGAAAAAGCGATTGTTGGCTTCTGAGATAGCTTTGTTGAAGGCTTTTTTAGCCTTTTTCCCCTTTCCCACACGAGCTTTCTTGCTCTTCTTTTGTTGCTGTTTCATTGACCCCTCTCACCTCACCTCGAGCAGGTAAGGTTGAAGCAAGTTTGTTCATAAAGCGACCCTCTACAGTGTCCATTCTTTCTATAATTTGCACATGTGCCCCATCATTCATTCTCAGACCAAGACTCATGGTCAAATCATGTCAAATAGTTTTGGGCTAGATTAATTAACCATTTATATATTGAATTGGACTATGTATTTAACTTCATCGAGGTCTGTAATCACCTTAAATCAAACTGATGAGCTCACGGGTAATTTGTTTTTAAAAGAAAATTCATTGTATGGTGACTTTTCCTTTCTTACTATCCATTTTATGATCAAGGGCCTTCCTAAAAGATATTTGAGGGAAATACTAACTTTCTCTTTATATATAATAAGTTTGACTAAGTTAAACTTGGTAGCGTTCCTTTAATTGTAAAAATTATACTTGACTTTCTCTTCAATTTGCCTTTTGTATCGATAAAGTTAGCTTTTCCATATTTATGTGCTGCTTTCACAATAAAATTGTTTAGTTTGTCTTTATTTTCATATCAGGAATATGATTATCATGTTATAGAGGTCAATTAACATCAACTTTAGTTGCTTTTGATTCTATATTAAGAACAAAATTTACTTTTTCGTATCGGGTAGAGGGTAAATTAAAAGGGAGCTTCTATTCAGAATATCATAGCAATCGAATATGATTTTTGACATGCGCAGCATATCACTGTGCACACATCACCTTAAAAGGACATTGGTTGGTGCTGACCCAATTAATATAATCAATCACATTTAATCTTTTGTCTGAGACTGGAAACCCCACACACTAAGAATAATCTGGACAAAGAAAATATCCTCCTTGCGTGGGAAAACAAATTAATTCTCATAGTTAATCAGCCAATTAAGCACAATCTTATCTACACATGACTAAAAGACAAGACTATGGCTAGGGAACTGGTTCTCATGACTCGGAATAATTTTTTTTGCAGGAGCACACAAATTAATTGGTATCGCTTGATTACAATATTGCTACTTTTGAGAGAGAGGAGGGAAATACATGAGATAATGTATGGGTGGCTTGCACCAAAAGAAGAAAGGAAAAGTAGGCAGATAAACTGATAAAGAGAGTGGTTTTTGAGGGAGGTAATTAAGTTTGGAGTGTAGTGTGAGAGTGATGAGAACATGGGCATGTGTGATTGTTCAGAAAGAAGTAGTAAAGCAAATTAAAAAGCAAAGCCAGGAATATTTGTCTGTGGCTGTCCCCAATCTCCACTTTCCCATCTCTCTCGTTCAATTCCTTCTTCCCTTTCCTTTCTCTCTCTCTCTATTAATCCTTTTTGGCCTCCCTTTATTTTTCTTTTCCATTTCAATTCCTAAATTACTTTTTCCATATCCAATTTATACCATGCATCAGGTTTTCTTCTCACTTCCATACCTTCCATTTCCTTCTCCTCTCATATGTGCGTGTGTATATTATAACTAGTATAAATTTCATCTTGATTTCCGTCCCAATTAGATGTCACGTTATTACATGTCCAAATCCAGCCCAAACCCTCAAGTCAACTTCGTATATTAATATATAGAATCAATCCTTTTTTCAAAAAAATTAAAGAATCTAAATAAGCACCATGCATGCAGACACGTACACGAGTTAAAGTTAAAGGTCTACTACACGTGTACATTAATCTCGACTAAAGCTTAAAGATAAGAATTCGGCGCTGGACGGGATAATAAGTAGATATAGATTATCAGGAAAATATTTCATCAATTAGTTACTTGATAGACAACATATATATAATTAAATTCTGAATTATCACGCGCTAATTAGCCTAATAAAAGCACTGAACCAGTATTTCAAAATAACAGGATATAGACCCAGTTTTTGTTATCTGCTCTATTTATTTTCCTCCCCAAGTGTATCCAAACATCTACCTACTTATATCCAATGTTTTACTTTTAAAGAGTAGAAATTATTGTATACTAAATGATTGGGCAACGCTCGTGGTTTTTTGGGAATCATCCAGAGCCTTATCCCTGAATAAATTACATATATCTATGTACGTAGGGAGGGCCTACGAGGAAGAATACTTGGAATGGAAACAAAGACCAAAATCAATTGGTTCCAATAGACGATAGTAACCAACAAACAAACAACCGATAGAAAAACAAAGCCAAATCAAGCCATCGAAATTGTACGCTTTTTTCAAAAGTGAACCCTTACATGTTTGGAGGGTGCTTCACCTTGGTGGTCTCAGATATGAATTTTTAATTTGTGTGGTCCACCACCACACCCATCGATTGATTCTTCAAACCTAATTTTCACTACATTTAAAATGGGTCTTTTTCCAGCGGTGAAACATTTATTAGATGCCAAATTGCTCAAAATTAGAGGCTCACAGCTTCGGATACCAACAAAACCCAAGCCGACAAAATCCCTGTGAATCTCTTTATTATTGCAATGAACACATGGGGCCATTCCTCTCTGCAACTGCAAATAGGCACCATCATCACATTATTGAACTTATGCCTAACGTAACACTTTTACCCTTCAATCAATCCTCCACGTTTATCTCTGATGATCTCTCTTATATCTATCCATCTAACAGCTTGCACAGGATTATACAATTTCAACCCTAATCTCAGATAACGACGTCACATCCATAAGTTATGTTGTGTGTGTGTGTGTGTGCGCCTTTCAATCCCCGCCGTGATGTGAGATATATATATATATATATATATATAGTGCGTGTGTGTTAAATATAGATGTATATAGTTGTAGTCAGTCGAAGTACGTAATCTTCAGAATTTTCTGGTTGCTTCTGCTGTGACTTCCTCCTAAACGAAGAGCTTCCATCACTGTCGGGTGCATACGGGAGCTTACATCATATCGTATAATGAGGTTCCCTTTCACATGTTGACAATGCATGAGAGACAAGCATCTACGACATTTTCACAATGCTCATCAGGCATTTCTTATACTGCATCCACATATGCCATACATCTCCAAAACATAAAGAAATTAAAGTAAATCAATATAATCACCATTTTTTCTGGCCATTATATGCATTCACTTTTCACCTTCTCTATAGAAGAAAATGCATGTTTTTGTTTAGTTCATATATTGATGTCCACTCTGTTAAATTAAGTCTCGTTAGTTCGGATTTTTGTCCTGCAACGAACTGCTTAATTACATCTCACATTCTGCATCATGGTACATGAAGAAATTAAGCAACTGGATAAATTCAACAAGTAAAGTAAACTGCTTCATATTGATGCTGCAGGGACAAAGGGACAGGGTTCTATTAATTAGGATTAGACGTGGCTAAAGTTGCTGTTGCAGAGTGCGGGCACCAGAAAGATTTATCATATCAATGTATGTAAAGAGTTGCAGAGGGGAATAATGGCAAGCTTTAATTTGGGATAGTTCTTTTTTTTTTTTTTTGGCTGCATATGAGTTTTACACAGTGCTTTTGCTTTAAATGAAGAACTGCTTATCTTTTAAAAAGCAAAGCTGGGGGGGCCATGTTAATCAAAATCAAGTGTCTCGTAAATTATTTCTGCCAACTCAGTCAACGGAAATTCAGCGAACAAACTGCGAAGTCATCATCTCTTTTTAACTACCAGATTAGTTAATTAATACTTGTTTAGATTTCGAATCCTAGACTTTGGCATCGGAAAGAAATGATGACTACCTGCTCTATGTACTTTTTTGGTTGGTGTTACGAATGTGTTTTGAGATGTCCATGTGCCCTATCATCTTTTACCTCATGTCCTACTCAAAAGGATTAATTAAAGAATCTTTCCCTGTCACAGTAATTAAATAATTATCCAATATAAAAAAACCTCCTCATCAACCGTAATCATTGTTCAAAACGTGTCAATTAAAGAAATCTCGTTTGGTTGAAGTTCCATTTTTTATATTGCATGAAAGAGTTGGGATAACAATTAAACGTTAAAATGAGCAAATACAAAAATTAAATTAAAGAAATTTGAGACCATGCATGACTGTACGAACAAGCCTGGGTTGAGATGGATGCTACATGACAAATAATACACACAAGGACGTCCAGACTTTAATGTTCGATGATAGTAGTAATTATTATTGTTTATTTTTTGATGAAGTCGGTCAATTATCTATTAAGCGATGTTTTGTTGTTCATTGGACGCAAAAGGCCCAATCTAAGCGGGCTCGCTCTTCCATAGAGCTGACAGTCGAAGCCCAACCTGCACCCGACCCCTGTCTCTGCAGAGGGTGTGGATGAATTGAGCCCAGCTTCCTTGTGTTTTCTCCTTTCCGTATGTTTTATTTCTGAGTATTTTAGTTTTTATCACCTATGTTTCTTAGATTGTGTTTGAAGAGCACTGTGTCGCTGTTGCTTAAATATATTTGGGTATTTCTAGACTTAATTGGATATTTATTTCTTTAAACTGTGCTTAAGTTAATCTCCAGTCATAGTTTCAGAGTAGCCAAATATGCCCATATCATTTTGCTGCAGGGAGAGACACACCCCCCCCCTCCCCGGGGGGTGGATGCTGTCCAGGAGCTAGGCAATCAGCCATTAACTGTGCCTGAGAGATAGATGTGTCCTGAACTTGACTTTCAACTTGCATCTAACGCCGCTGCTTCTTCTTCACCACCAGTCCACGAGTACAAGAAGTCCTCGTCATAGATATGACTAAGTTGTCTCCAGATTTCCACAAGCTTGATTGTGCCGCAAACAACGGGGCTTCTTTCAGGTTTGCCATCTTCTCCTCCAGTTTCTTTCAGTTTAGCTTTCTCAGGTATTGATATAATGAGTCTATCTTAGATGTAAGCACGTGAAGTATACTTTACTATTTACCATTAGTTTGGTCTCAATTCTTATTGCGAATCGTATAAACTTAAAATATTTCTTTATAAACCAAAAAATTAAAAGAGTAGTGTGAGAGATGAGAGTTATTTGAAGAAGGATGACAATCAGTAAGGTTGAATTATTATCCTGCATATCCACGACCGGAGAAGGTGATTGGCTCCAACCCTCACTTTGATGCTAGTGCCCTCACAATACTCCTTCAAATCAATGAAATGGACGGCCTTCAAATGAAAAAGGATCCTACTTGGGTTCCGATCAACGCTCTCCTACGTGCCTTCATTGTCAACCTTGGAGATGATTTTGAGGTAATTAAGTAACAGTCAGTGAAAAAACCGATTGAATATTATATGTGAGCTTAAATAATTAGTTGATTAGTTAATCAATGATGTGATAGATTGTGAGTAATGGGATATACAAGAGCATAGAGCATAGAGCGACAGTGAACTCAAAGAAGGAGAGGATGTGGGTGGCTACTTTGTTTGGTGCTTGATTGGACAGGATGATTACTTGAATGGATCCCCAAACCTCGCTACAGGGGAAATCGAACCTTGATTCCCTTAGAACCCAAAATGAGACTCATGAAAGCGCATAGAAGCTGGTATGTGTGTTTGTGCACCATGCTTCTGTAATTTTTTTCATTGCAATAACAATCGGAATGGCAGGCACACCATGCTTCTGTGATTTTTTTTTCATTGCAATAACAAGAGTTCAAGGGGAAATCATTTGTGTGATAAAATGTCCCTTGTGGACCGAAATAATAAAAAAATCCAATGAAGATTCCATTAATCATGCATTCGTTGGTGTGGATGATTTTACCTTTAAGAACTGCGATGGGTTAAAACTTAAAAATCTAGTTCAATATAGAATTCAAAAAAGAAAGATAAGGGCCCAAGCCAATTTGGTTTGGCGAATCCACGTATTTACTTGGACAATTTTCTGCAGGGTTTGTTTTCACTCGTCTCATCTGACAAAACTTATCATTCATTTCGTTTTGCTTCTTTTTCTACTCTCTTAACCATTGAAGGGCCCGAAAGAACATGTGGAATTCTATTACTTGAACTGGTGAAGAAGCTTTTTCTGCACAAAGAAGTGTGCACACAGACATAGAGAGAGAGGAAGGGAGAGTACATATATCCATGGAAGCTGTGGAGGCAAAACTGAGTGATCGGGATGGATGCTGTATTGATGTGCCAGCACCACTTGTCCAGGAGCTAGTGAAGCAACCATTAAACAATGTACCAGAGAGATATGTGCTTCCTGAACTTGAGATTCACTTTGCATCTAGCACTTCTTCACCACTACAACAAGCCCCTGCTATAGTTATGACTAAGTTGTTTTCCCCAGATTTCCATGTTTCTGAGCTCCACAAGCTTGATCTTGCTTGCAAACACTGGGGTTTCTTTCAGGTTTGTCATCTTCTCCTCCAATCTCATATAGACAAATGAAAAAAGTATGTGTGAAATATACTTTTTTATTTGCCATTAGAGTAACCTAAATATTGAATAAAACAGGTGATTAATCATGGAGTGAGGCCTTCATTAGTGGAAAATGTGAAGAAAGGAGTGGAAGAGTTTTTCAATCTTCCAATGGAAGAGAAAACCAAGTTCCAGAAGAAAGTAGGAGAAAGGGAAGGATACGGTCAGCTATTTGTTGTGTCTGAAGAACAGAAGCTTGATTGGGCTGATATGTTATACTTCACCACTCTTCCACTAGAAGAAAGGAAATCCCATTTATTCCCTAACCTCCCCCTTCCTTTCAGGTACTCTTCACACATACATGCGTGCATGTACAAAAGCAGCGGCGCACTCTTGTATATTCATCCTCACACACACACATTTACAAGCGATCTGATTAATCAACACGCATGCAGGGATAACTTAGACGCCTATTGCATGGAACTGGCAAATCTTGCAATTGAGCTGATTCGACTGATGGGAGAAGCTCTAAATATAGAAGCCAAAGGGCTGAGAGAGTTATTTGAGGGAGCATTGCAATCAGTGAGGATGAATTACTATCCTGCATGTCCACAGCCAGAGAAGGTGATTGGCCTCTACCCTCACTCTGATGCTACTGCCCTCACGATACTCCTCCAAGTCAATGAAATGGACGGCTTTCAAGTGAAAAGGGATGGATCTTGGGTGCCTATCAAGCCTCTCCCTCACACCTTTGTCGTCAACCTGGGAGACACTTTCGAGGTTACTAATTGATAAGTATATTTAGCGACAAATTATTATATCATACGTGTGGGTTTACTATTATTGTTAGTGCTTAATTAATGATGGCAATGCAGATTGTGAGCAATGGGATATACAAGAGCGTAGAGCATAGAGCGATAGTGAACTCGAAGAAGGAGAGGATGTCGGTGGCCACATTCTTTGGTGCTAGATTGGATGGAGTGATAGGGCCATCGCCAAACATCGTGAGTCCAGAAAGGCCTCCACTGTTCAAGACCATCTCTATGTCTGATTTTTGGAGTGCACTTTTCAAACACCATCACCGTGGGAAGTCCTACCTTGATTACCTTAGGATCCCAAATCACACTCATGAAACCACATAGAAGCTCCTGTCTGTGTCTGTGTGTGACATATTTGTACAATAATTTTAGATTGCAGTAACAATCGTGACTGCGGAACTGGATGGGAGATGATTGTATGGACGTATTCAAGTGTGTTGTTATTGTATCATGTTTCTGAAATAATTTCTTTATTACAATAACAATCAGAATGGCCGGCAGAGCAGGCTCCATATATACTAACATCTCCATGGGAAATCTTATGTATAATAATAGAACACCTCATCTTTGTTGGTCCTTTAGGCTGCACGTAATTAGCTAGCCTGCAGGTATTTATTTTGACTATTCTTTCATTGAACAATTATAAAGCTACTATCTCTCTCACGCATGAGCCTAGTAGATTTGTTATTTTAAATCTAGATATTACTCTCTAGAAGAGGAATATAATAATGCATGAGACATGCCGTGCTCTTGCCAAATGTTTATTTTGGAATTTATCCCTTAGATTCAGGTGATGTGGAGGACTGGAGGCGTAATAATTCTGCCTCAGTGTGCGTGTGTGAATACTAAGAGTTCAACGGGAAGTTATGTGTACAATAAGAGGTCGCTTATGAACGCAAAAAACATAAACCCAACGAACATTCCCTCAAGATTGGCACCCTTTTTGTCCTGATGCATAAGATTGGCAGCGTTTGGTTGCCGTATGTGTTTGGATTTTTATGTTGGCTGAACATATGGTGTCTGACACTCGGATAATGTGAAATTAAACCAATTCTTGAGATCATAACCGAAGTTAATTATCTTGAATCAGGAAATTGAATGCACAAAATAGTCAAACAAATCAATTGAAATAAAGGGAAATTTTACTAAATCTGAAATGCAGATTAGACTAGCTATATCAAGGTGCAAAATACCCCATTCAAACTAAGCAATTAAATCAACAATTACTCCTATCTTTTTTACAACTAATTCGACCTAAACACTATATTTAGCAACCTGGATTGAACTTGAAATGCAATGGATTATCACAGCAAAATTCTTCAAACAATCACCTAGAGTTTTGGCTACGAAAAGATTAATTAAACAATTGGAAAAAAAAAGGTCTATTGGCTAGAAATGGCCAAATGGGGGAAGAAAGAAACGAAGAGAAAAAATTAGGTCGCTCAGTGCTAAAAGATATAAGTGAAAAAGATGGAGTCTGGCGGCAGAGAAAGAAACCGGGCCTCCTTTTTTTTCTTATAGAAAAAATAGATGACCTTTGAAAACCTTAAACAGAAACTTATTCCAGTATTTCCAAAGCTAATAAAATTCCTATGAAGTGCCTTTTTCTCCCGTTCAAGATTATATTGTCCAGCTTCACTTGTAATTTTGTCTTCAAATAATCTTCATATAATCAGCATAAAATAACATTAAAAAATTGGGTTATCTTAGTGTAAAAAGAAAATATAAAATTGAAAATTAAACTTTAAAAGTTTTTAGTAAAGCAATTGATGAGTGTAAATTAATTAAGGTGAATAATTATATAATAATATATGTATGAGGGTATTAAATATACTTCTCCAGTCATAAATATAAAACTCATTTTGTAGTGTAAATTATATTATAAATAAATCTTATATTTAGGGTCGGAGGAGTATAAAAATGCATGTTATCAAATGTTACTATTGAACAATATATATTAACGTTTATTGTATAAAAAAATTCAAAGGAAAAGGAAGCATTGCATGTTTTTTTGTTAATGTAAAGGTTGAACTTTCTTACCTTAACTAGGTGTTCATATAAACAAACAAAAAAGTGATAATAAAACAGCAGATATCCTACTCGATAACTTTGGACATATCTCTGCTGTTTTCAATATGAAACATGTTTCTACATTAATTATAAAGATGTTGATGTTGATGGGTAAAAAGTCCAGCTAAAAATCGAATTTAGAAAACAAGGACACAAGCCAATTTGACACGGCGAATCCACGTATTCACATAACCATTTTCTGAAGGGGTTGTTTTCACTCTTCTTATATCAGACAAAAGAGCTTATCATTCATTTTGTTTTACTTTTTTTTCTGCCCTCTTAACTAGTGGAGAGCTCGAAAGAACATGTGGAATGTTTATTAATCGAACTTTTTCTCCGTGAAGAAGTGTACAGAGAGAGAGAGAGAGAGAGAGTACATATACATCCATGGAAGCTATGAAAGCAAAACTGAGTGATCAGAGTGGAGACTGTATTAATGTTCCAGTACCACTTGTCCAGGAGCTTGCCAAACAGCCTTTAACCATTGTACCAGAGAGATACGTGCGTCCTGAGCTTGAGCTTCAACTTAAGTCTAACACTTCAGCTCTACCACAAGCCCCAGTCATAGATCTGACTAAGTTGTTGTCCCCAGAGTTCCATGTTTCTGAGCTCCACAAGCTTGATTATGCCTGCAAACATTGGGGTTTCTTTCAGGTTTGCCATCTTCTCCTCCAACTTCTATACACAAATTCTCAGGTACTCACTGTATAAACAGTAAATACATGAGGCTTTTGTTACAAACGAAACACGCAAGTGTGTGAAATGTACTTTACTATTCTCCATTAGAGGAACCTAAATATTGAAAAACGCAGTTGATCAATCACGGAGTGAGCCCTTCATTAGTGGAAAGTGTGAAGAAAGGAGTGGAAGAGTTTTTCAATCTCCCAATCGAAGAGAAAACCAAGTTCCAGAACAAAGCAGGAGAAAGAGAAGGATATGGGCAGCTGTTTGTTGTGTCTGAAGAACAAGAGCTTGACTGGGCTGATATGTTGTTCTTAACAACTCTTCCTCGAGAAGCAAGGAAACCCCACTTATTCCCTAACCTCCCCCTTCCTTTCAGGTACTCTTCACACTACACTCTTAGACACACCACATGGAAAGTATTCGATATATATATATATATGATCTGATTCATCACCATGCAGGGATAACTTGGACACCTATTGTATAGAACTCAGAAAGCTTGTGATGGAACTGATTATACTGATGGGTGAAGCTTTAAACATGGAAGTCAAAGAGGTGAGAGAGTTATTTGAAGGAGGTTTGCAAACAGTGAGGATGAATTACTATCCCGCATGTCCTCAACCAGAGAAGGCGATTGGCCTCTACCCACACTCTGATGGTAGTGCCCTCACAATGCTGCTTCAAGTCAATGAAGTGGACGGGCTTGAGATAAAAAAGGATGGAACTTGGATCCCCATCAACCCTGTCCCTGACGCCTTCGTCGTCAACATCGGAGACACTTTCGAGGTTAGTGTATATGTGTGTGTGTGAATTTACTATCGTTGTTAATAATATAATTAGTTAACTAGCTAGTTATGATGTGGACAGATTGTGAGTAATGGGATATACAAGAGCGTAGAGCATAGAGCGACAGTGAACTCGAAGAAGGAGAGGATGTCAACGGCCACTTTCTTTGGTGCTAGATTGGATGGCATGCTTGGTCCATCGCCAAACCTTGTAACTCCAGAAAGGCCCCCACAGTTCAAGACCATCTCTGTGTCTGATTACTGGAAGGCATATTTCTCACGCCAGCTCCATGGAAAATCCCACCTCGATTCCCTTAGGATCGCAAATCAAACTCATGAAACAACATAGAATTAGCAGCTCTCTTCCATATATCTATGTGTGTGATGTTTAATTTGTACAATAACTTTCTGTTATTGCAGTAACAATCGGAAATGTATGTAGAACAGGATGCGAAATCATAAAGTGTGTATTTAAGTGATGATGAGCCCAGTGGCCAGTGGGAAATTAGACCCCGTGTTCTGCTGCTCCCTTTGGCTGCACATATACACGGCGTCATTATTGAGTAGTATGTATTTATTGTATCCAATAAATCTAAAAGGAGCACTGCATGCATGCATGTTTCTGTGATTTTTCAATTAAGTCTAGATCATTGTACGGGATCTATCGTAGTAATAAATGCCATGGTATCCCTGGATCGTATGCCTAGGGGGGTTCTGTTTTATTAATCCAATTAATTAATAACTAAGGAGATCGCAATAAAATTAGTTATTTAAAGAAAATAGATTGAAAATAAAAATAAAGGCAGAAGATAATTAATTATATGAAGAAACCAATCACTTGAAGCATACATTAGGGCTCAGGATTCACTATATAATAAGTAGCTAGTTTCTGTCTTTTGGATTTACTCTTTATTCTATTACGGTGATAACTATTTCTAAAATGTCTTTATATTATCTTGAATTATTAGTCCTTTTTTAATTAGTGCTAACTCTCACCACCAACAACTCATTGAATCATAAAGCTATAGTTTTGAATAATACAAGCCAACCTGCAACCATGACCGGATGAACCCATATGAGTTGGGTTAAAAAAGCTTGTTTGAAGGCAAATTGGCTGAAACCCGCCAAGGTGGGTTGGTGGGTTGCTCGCCAACTAGCCATCATTTATTTATTTATTTTGAAATTTTTTTACTTTTTAATATTTTTTCTTATACAATATCTAAAAAAATATAATAAAATTTTTGTTTCTTAAAATATTTGATTGAGAGTACCAAATAAATTATATAAGTATTTTTTAAAATTTTTTAGATAGGATATAATATATAATGATATAATTATAATAATTTAAATTTTTTAAAAAAAATGCGGGTTGGCAAGCTAACCCGAAGAGGATTGCTGGCCTAGTGGTGTGGGTTAAAAATGCTTGTTTACTGGCGGGTTGGCTAACTCTCCATTTTTCACGAGTTGGCAAGTTAGATTCACAAGTCCAACTCTTATTACCAACTCTAGTCTTAACGTCTTTTGTCATCATGCTTCCCCAACCTCTTTATACTCCTTTGGTCTCGAAGCAAACTACAGCCAAGTATCCCATCCCTTTAGGATCCCTCATCTGCAAAATATAAAATATATAAAAAAATATGAGGATATTTTTGTGGAGAAATATCTTTTTTAACCTAAAAATTAAATTGAGGGGTAAAATATATAAACTAAATTAAATAGGTACGAATATTTGTAAATTCAGTCTAATATCTTTTAAGTTTGCATCATTTAATTATAAATTATAAATTATGCACTTATTAACAAACTTCTAAATAAAATTATATTGCCCGTTTTGTAATAAACTATATGATATAATACTCTCTTAGCTGGATAAGAGATTTATTTTAGTCTTAAATATAAAAAACTTCAATTCATTTTATTTACTAACTTTTTAATTTTTGTCTAAAAATGTTTTTATTAATTGTATATACTAAGTGGATTTCAATAAAGATAGCTTTAAATATATTATTAAAGAGGATATTTTAAAAAAATTAACACACATTTTATTATAAATAATTAATTTATCTAACTTTTAATATTTTAAAATTAGTTAACTAATTAAGATGCTAATATAAATTAAATCTTGATATTTTGACTTTTAACTATGGGTAAAAAAAAAAAACTTTTACATATTTAATACAGAAAATTAAGAAAGACGCGTAGGGACGCAAGCCGGAATGGTTTGGCAAATCCACCTTTCTTTCCTTTTTTTCTTTTTTGGTGCAAGCAAACCCACATATTAAATTAGCCAACCATCACTTTCCAAAGAGGTTTCCAAAGAGGTTGGCTTTCGCCAATCTTATCTGAAAACAGAACTTATCCTTGGTTTTGTTTCATCTCTTTTTCGATCTTAACCATTAATTAAAGAGCTGCAAAAGAATTCATGGAAGCAAAACTGAGTGATCAGGCTGGACTCGGTATTGAGGTCCCAGTACCTCTTGTACAGGATCTAGCCAAGCAGCCATTAACCAATATCCCAGAGAGGTATGTGCGTCCTGAGCTTGAGCTTCAACTTGTTTCCGAAGCTGCTTCTTTTTCTTCACCACCACCACAAGCCCCTGTGATAGATATGACAAAGCTCTTGTCTCCAGACTCCCATGCTTCTGAGCTCCACAAGCTTGATCATGCCTGCAAATATTGGGGTTTCTTTCAGGTTTGTCACTTTATGAACAATAAGTAGATGAATTCATCATCACGTATATGCGCGCATACAGACACAATTATGTGAGGTATACTTTTTCATATACCATTAATTTGGCCTAAATGTGCTGGATCTGAATTGGATATACTTCAATATCTTTCTTTGTAACCCAATAAAAGAGCATTATTGGTCCATGATGGATCACGCACTTAGCTTGTAAGCATTTATTAGTTTGGTTTTTATTGAATTTTGTTTGGTTATTCTGTCGTTGAACAATTTTAAAGATGCCATTTCTCACACATGTACATCAGCGTAGCTTAGTTAGTGGATTTATTATTTTGAATCTAAAGTATTCTCTGGACGAGGGAATGCATATGAGAGATCAGGTACCGTCGCTCTTAGCAACTCACTATTGATGATCTGGATTTTATCTTTAGATCTATAGATGTTTATGTGAAGGCATTATAATAGCGCGCGAGTGTGTAAATATATCTTGCAGTAACTCAAATACTGAATAAATTAAAACAGTTGATCAATCATGGAGTGAGCGCCTCATTAGTAGAAAATGTGAAGAAAGGAGTGGAACAGTTTTTCAATCTTCCCATGGAAGAGAAAACCAAGTTCCAGAAGAAAGGAGGAGAAAGGGAAGGATATGGTCAGCTGTTTGTTGTGTCTGAAGAACAAAAGCTCGACTGGGCTGATATGCTGTTCTTCACCACTCTTCCAACAGAAGCAAGGAAACCCCACTTGTTCCCTAACCTCCCCCTTCCTTTCAGGTATAACCTTTTTACACACACACACACCCTTCTGAAACAGGAAAAATCAAGAATCTGATTTGTTCCCATGCAGGGACAACTTGAATGACTATTGTGCAGAACTAAGAAAACTTGCAATGGAACTGATTATGCTGATGGGTGAAGCTTTAAACGTGGAAGCCAACCAGATGAGAGAGTTATTCGCAGGAGGATTGCAATCAGTGAGGATGAATTACTACCCAACATGTCCTCAACCAGAGAAGGTGATTGGCCTCTACCCACACTCTGATGGTAGTGCCCTCATAATACTGCTTCAAGTCAATGAAGTGGACGGGCTTGAGATAAAAAAGGATGGAACTTGGATCCCCATCAACCCTGTCCCTGACGCCTTCGTCGTCAACATCGGAGACACTTTCGAGGTTAGTGTATATGTGTGTGTGTGAGTTTACTATCGTTGTTAATAATATAATTAGTTAACTAGCTAGTTATGATGTGGACAGATTGTGAGTAATGGGATATACAAGAGCGTAGAGCATAGAGCGACAGTGAACTCGAAGAAGGAGAGGATGTCAATGGCCACTTTCTTTGGTGCTAGATTGGATGGGATGCTTGGTCCGTCGCCAAACCTTGTAACTTCAGGAAGGCCCCCACAGTTCAAGACCACCTCTGTGTCTAATTACTGGAAGGCATTTTATACGCGCCAGCTCCATAGCAAATCCAACATTGATTCCTTGAGGATCCCAAATCAAACTCATGAAACCTCGTAGAATTCTGTGCGTGTATATGATGTTTGTACAATAAATTTTTTTTTTTTTATCAGTAACAATCGGAAATAGGATGCGAAATCATATGTGCGTATTCAAGTGATGAGTAGTGCTGCGTCATGTTTCCATAATAATTTTCGATTACAGTAACAATCAGAATGCATGGCAGAGCAGGCTCCATATATACCAAGAGCTCAATCATGGCCAATGGGAAATCATATAGATAATAATAAAACACCTGAGCTCTGCTGGGCGCACACACATACGGGGTCATTATATTGAATATAGTATTATATTTAAATTTTATTGTATTAAATAAATCTAAAAGTAGCGCTACACACATGTTACTTTGATTTTTCAATTAAAGTCTAGATCATTGTACGCGTATGGAGATTCATAAAGTTCAACAAAACTGAGTAAAAATATTTTCAAATTAGAGGGTTTGGATTTTTATATACATATCTCAACTTGACCATGGCCTAAAGCATGCAGATAAATCATGAGAACCTTTAATACAGATATTTTGAAAAAAAAGTTGTAAATTTGGGAGATAAAATAAATTAAAATCTTATATCTAATATCAAATTTAATCCAATAGATTTTAATTCTTATACTGAGGACCAGGACTAGTATATGATTTTGATTATATAGATCTTGATGTTTTAACTATTAACTGTTCCAAAAAAATCTAGTTTAATTTGCATAATAGAGGAAAGAAAGACATGACGCAAGTCGGATTGGTTTGGCAAATCCGCCATTTTTTATCTTTTCCGCTTTGATCGTGCAAGCAAATCCACATATGAGTTTGTCCCAAACAAAAAATCCTAGCCAACCATTTTCCGAAGAGGTTGTTTTCACCAATCTTATCTGCCAACAAAACTTATCCTTCGTTTTGCTTCATTTCTTTTTCCTTTACGATCCTAACCATTAATTAAAGAGCTGCACAGAACTCATGCAATATTCAATAATTGAATTGAGGTGAACGCAGAAGCTCCAAAGAAACTTTGTTTTCTGAAGAAGCTTTTGCTGCACGAAGGAGCGTGCGCAGAGAGAGAATAAAACATCCATGGAAGCTATTGGAGCAAAACTGAGTGATCTGCAGACCGGATGCGATACTGAGGTATCAGTACCTCTTGTGCAGGAGCTAGCCAAGAAGCCATTAACCAGTATCCCAGAGAGATATGTGCGTCCTGAGCTTGAGCTTCAACTTGTAGCCGAACCTGCTTCTTCTTCTTCACCGCCACCACAAGCCCCTGTGATAGATATGGCTAAGCTCTTGTCTCCAGACTCTCATGCTTCTGAGCTCCAAAAGCTTGATTATGCCTGCAAATATTGGGGTTTCTTTCAGGTTTGTCACTTTATGGACAATAAGTGGATGAAATCATCATTACATATATGCCTCCGTTCGCACAGAAAAAAGGATGGGAGGTATATACGTTTCCTTGTACATTAATTTGGTCTAAATAGTTGTTCTGATAAATTGGATATACTTCACTATCTTTATTTATAACCCAATAAATTCAAAGAGTAGTCTTGGTCCGTGATCACGCACTTGTAAGCATTTAGTAATTTGGTTTTTATATGAGTTTTGTTTGGGTTAATTATCCTGTCTACATTGAACAATAAGATACCACCTCTCACACATCAGTTTATTAGTAGATTTATCATTTTGAATCCAAATCGCTCTGTAGACGAGAAATAATATGCACATGACAGGTCAGATGCTGTTGCTCTTATCAACTGACTATTGATGATCTGGATTTCTTTAGATAGAGACGTTTACGTGAAGGCATCATAATTGTGCCTGTGTGTGTAAATTTATATTAAGAGTAGACTAAATGTTGAATAACACAGTTAGTTAATCATGGAGTGAGCCCTTCACTAGTGGAAAATGTGAAGAAAGGAATAGAAGAGTTTTTCAATCTTCCAATGGAAGAGAAAACTAAGTTCCAGAAGAAAGCAGGAGAAAGGGAGGGATATGGGCAGCTGTTTGTTGTATCAGAAGAACAGAAGCTTGATTGGGCTGATTTGTTATATTTCACCACTCTCCCACAAGAAGCAAGGATACCCCACTTATTCCCTAAACTCCCCCTCCCTTTCAGGTATATCCTTCCTTCACACACACACACACACTCTTCTGGAAAAGAAACGAATCTGATCGATTCCATCCCATGCAGGGATAACTTAAATAACTACTGTACAGAACTAGGAAAACTTGCAATGGAACTGATTATGCTGATGGGTGAAGCTCTAAACCTGGAAGCCAAAGAGCTGAGAGAGTTATTTGAAGAAGGATGGCAAACAGTGAGGATGAGTTACTATCCAACATGTCCTCAACCAGACAAGGTGATTGGCCTCAACCCTCACTCTGACGCTGGTGCCCTCACAATTCTCCTCCAAGTCAATGAAGTGGATGGCCTTCAAATCAAAAAGGATGCAATTTGGGTCCCCATCAACCCTCTTCCTCAAGCCTTCGTCGTCAACGTTGGAGACACTTTCGAGGTTATTAATTTTATCGGTATTTTTAATCTTGTTATAAAACTAATGAATGTGTTGCTACTTGACGATGATAATGATATAAGAGAATTTCCAGAGTGGGAGAAATGGGAAAGATCACCCCCCTTATTCACTTCAGGGTTACAAGTATTTGATGCATGTCATTTATTTATAAGCCTGCCTTCAATCTTAAAAAGACTAACTCAACAACAACATTACATTGGAAGGCCTTCTATTTCGATTGAACATGGGATAGAATCATAATCAAAAGCCTTATCATTAGATATTATAGACACTACAGCACAGTATATAACACTCCCATTTGATAATTAACAAGCCAGTAATGATGTGACAGATTGTGAGCAACGGGATATACAGGAGCATAGAGCACAGGGTGACAGTGAACTCGGAGAAGGAGAGGATGTCGATAGCCGCATTCTATAATGCCAGATTTTATGGGATGATAGGGCCATCGCCAAACCTCGTAACTCCAGAAAGGCCTCCAATGTTCAAGACCATCTCTATGTCTGATTACTGGAACGCATTCTTCACACGCCAGCTCCGTGGCAAGTCCAACCTTGATTCCCTTGGGATTCCAATTCATACTCATGAAACCACATAGAATATGTAGAACCTCTAGTCTGCATCTCTAAGCGTGTTTTTATCATGTTTCTACAATAATGTCCCGCTGCAATTATAATCGGAATTATATTACTGCACAAATGCAGGTTGGGAAATCATGTGTACATACAACTAGTACGTATATATAAATTTTAGATTACGCATGGGATCATATATATATTCGTGCATACGTAGCTGTGTAATATATTCCTCGATCCTTAATGTAAAACCTAATTAACTATTTTAAATAAATTAATGATATTAGTTAAATTAATTAATATGATTTTTTTAAAATACTTTAAGTATCTTCCTTTAATTCCTTTCCTCCCTCTCCTACTTGAATATTCTTGGAAGAATATCGATAGGATTAATTTGAGAAAATTCTGATAAATATATGAAATAGGTCTTACTTATAGAACTAACATCAACTCTCCAGTTAAATCCTACATTAAGGAGTGTAGGAGTATAAGATTTAGGCTGAAAAAAAAAACGACATTATCTGTTAAATAATTAAATCCCATGGACATTCCTGCAAGATTGACAATCCCACAGTTATCATACTCTGCCGATTTAATTTTCATAGCCGCGTGTGGGGTCACAGTTTATTATTTTCTTCCCCCTAACCTGAGAATTTTGGGTCATTGTTGAATAGGGTGTGCGTGTGTGTTTGAAGTTTGTTTCTGAAACAACTCTCCATGTTCTTTTTAAGTCTGGATAAGCCTGAAACGTTGCAATTTGCAAATTTAGAAAGTTGGGACAATCGTCTTTAGATTAAGCCTATTAATGGACATGACATATGGAGCAGTTGAATTCTTAGTTGCCATTAAAAAGGGTGATAATACATAGAGCATTATAGGACATGGAAGTGGCTACTAAACCTATTGATATTTATGGACACCGACCTATATCGTTTGATTATTGACTCGTAATGTGTTTGAATGACAATTAAGGGTGGTCGCGTGCTTAACCTATTTAGGTACAATTAAATATCCTTTATGTCCTGGGATATATATAAGGGAAAGATGAAATTATACATAAAATTTAGTTATCTTTTTCATATGGAAGGAATATATATAATTACATAAATCATAATAAAATGTTTAATAGATCGAAACAGAACAAGATTATGAAATTTATAACGAAAATAAAAAAATCACATTTCAATTTAATTTTATTTTTTAACATTATAATTGGAGTGTTGGTTCGGATTAGATTCTAAAGATCAGTTGATTTAAACTCTCTCTAGCTAAAGATCAGCTTTACAAAACTAGTCCCAAAATGAGTAGAAAGTTCTGAGAAATTGGCCCATAAGAGTGATGGGCCAACTCTTAAATCCAACTCTATTATAACACTTAAATAATTAATTTATAAATACGAATAATAGTTAAAATTAGTTTAAAATAATAAATATGTTAAAAATATACTTTTATTTTCAAATATACCTTTATAATAAAGAATAATAAAAAAAATTGATGGTAAATGTGATAGAAGAAATAATTAAGAATAACAGTAGAAAAAATACATTAAATACATAAATTTAGTTATCTTTTTCATATGGAAGGAATATATATAATTACATAAATCATAATAAAATGTTTAATAGATCGAAACAGAACAAGATTATGAAATTTATAACGAAAAAAAAAAATCACATTTCAATTTAATTTTATTTTTTAACATTATAATTGGAGTGTTGGTTCGGATTAGATTCTAAAGATCAGTTGATTTAAACTCTCTCTAGCTAAAGATCAGCTTTACAAAACTAGTCCCAAAATGAGTAGAAAGTTCTGAGAAATTGGCCCATAAGAGTGATGGGCCAACTCTTAAATCCAACTCTATTATAACACTTAAATAATTAATTTATAAATAACGAATAATTAGTTAAAATTAGTTTAAAATAATAAATATGTTAAAAATATACTTTCAAATATACCTTTATAATAAAGAATAATAAATAAAATTGATGGTAAATGTGATAAAGAAAAATAATTAAGAATAACAGTAGAAAAAATACATTAAATGTTAAGATAAATTCAAATTAAAACTTATAAAATGGATCATATTCCTTCCTAAATTTAAAACCCATAAATAAAACTAGGAGGAAGTATTTTGTTTTTGAAAAAAAAAAAACTAGTTAAGAGACCTGAGAGAGTGGGGAGGTATTGAGCTTCAATCTTCAATGATCTTGCATCTTGCCCTAAGTGCTCTATTATTTTCCACCTAACTGGAATTAATTATTGAGTAATGCGGTAAGTGAATTTTTGTTTACTGAATTAATTTTAGTTTTTAAAGAAAACTAAACAAATTAGGCACGGAGAAGGAAAGGAGGTGGAGACAAAATGGGCTTGAAAGGGGGGGAGGTCGGCCTTGTTTGGTTTGTGATATTAAAATGCAGAGTCTCCATATAGAAAAAGGTGCTTGGAGTTGGACCCTCCCTTGTCTGTGTCTCCACTCTCCACAGCGCTCATTTATTTTATAATAATAAATCATTTTTTCCCATATATATCCCCACCGCGCTCTCTCTCTCTCTCTATCTCTCTCAAATGGATTGATATCCTTCGGTTTCCTATTAATTTTTAATTTTGAATCTGGCGATTTGGCAAGGCGTAAATAGATAGATTGATATGGAGATACCTTCCCTCTTCTCTCTTTCTCTCTCACTTTGACATCGTTGGGTGCCTTCTCTCTCCTCTCTCCTCCCCCTCCTCTCTCTCTCTCTTTCTCTTTCTCTCTCTCTTTCAGGTCTCTCTCTCCTCTCTCCAGAAGGGCAAAACCCTAAAGAGCCGTTTACACCCACCCAAGTAAGTTTTCTCTCTCCTCTCTCATCCCTTTCTCTCCCCCCTCTTTCTCTCTCATTAAAATTTTGAATAGATGGGTCCTTCTACCGTTAGACCTTTTATTTGGATCCTTATATATTTTCTGTTTCATAGATTTGTTTTTCGTTCCCATTATGACTCAGATCTGCTATTACGGTTCTGAGATTTTGAATCCCCTTCCTTGCCTGTTTGCTTCTCGCTTAATGGGGTTTTTCGATCTGTATGCGCCGCTTTCCTTTTGTTCCTTGTCTGTTTGGCTGATGGGAAAATGTAGGAATCATGACGAATTTCAGATCGTGAACTTTCCGCTTTTTGCTGATTAAATCGAGGGACTTTCGTTTTTGTGCCGTGAGAATGGTAAATCTTGAGCGGTTTGACCCGGTATTGCTTGGATGAATTTCTGGCCTTTTCTTTGGGAATCTGAGCTTATTGGATCTGCTGGATTTTGTAGATCTTGTGTTTCCCGTTATTTTCTCAGCATCCAGTCGCATGTTTTGATATTTCGTTGAACTCTGACTTTCTGTACGGCCTGTTAATTTTTGGTGTCCTTCGACGTCTTCTTTCTTGAGTTTTTAAGGCCTTGCATCGTTTTGAAAGATGGGAACTGGAATAAAAATAACAAAGTTTCAATCTTTATTTGTTGTGTAGTTCTCATGGACGATGATGCCTTGAACATGCGCAATTGGGGTTATTATGAACCCTTCAAGGGGGGGCATCTGGGTCTCCAGCTCATGTCTAGTATGACAGAACGAGACACCAAGCCATTTATGCCAGGCCGTGATCCTACCATGCTAGTCAATCCAAATGGAAGCTTCCACCCTCGGGACTGTGTTGTTTCAGAAGCCTCAATTCCAATTAACTATGTTAGAGACAGTTGGATCAGCCAGAGAGACAGGTTTCTCAATATGCTGCCCACAAATCCTAATTATGCCGTTCTTCCGGAAACATCAGGAGCTCCTTCTTTGCAAATTATACAGCCACCTGAGACATCAAGAGATGATAGGGTGAACCAAGTTGAAGAGCCTCCTGTTAAAAAGGAAGTCGGCCAATTGAAGAAAAGGCAGAATGGGGGTGCTCCAAAGACTCCAAAAGCGAAAAAACCAAGGAAGCCAAAGGATAATAGCAATGCTTTGGTTCAACGTGAGAAGCCAGCAAGGAAGGCTATGGAGGTTGTGATAAATGGAATCGATATGGACATTTCTGGTCTACCCATTCCTGTTTGCTCGTGTACTGGGGCTCCTCAGCAGTGTTATCGATGGGGCTGTGGTGGTTGGCAATCAGCTTGTTGTACCACAAATGTGTCAATGTATCCCTTGCCAATGAGCACTAAAAGGCGCGGTGCAAGGATAGCTGGACGGAAAATGAGTCAAGGTGCTTTTAAGAAGGTTTTGGAAAAACTTGCAGCTGAAGGATATAATTTTGCTAATCCCATTGATCTGAGGACTCACTGGGCTAGGCATGGCACCAACAAGTTTGTCACTATCAGATGAAGAGGTGCTGCTGGGACACATCACACAAGGCATTTGCTCTGTTTCAGTTGTACATACACTTGTGTGACCTTTCACACAGATGTTGAGTACTTCGGTATCCGTGAATTTTCATTTGCCGTCCTTCTACCTTAAATTTGGACATGGGTTCTTTTGTTCCTTTCTTCTCTCGGCTTATGTGATAAGGGATGCCAGGGTCATATGGCACTGGGATTTATGTGGATGAGTTACTACTAGATAGACTATTTTTTGGATGATGCTCATTCACCTTTTAATTTAATTTTGTCAAGATGTTGCAATGCAATGATCTTTTATTCATTTTTTGCTTCTAATGATAAGCAATTTTCTCTTCATCTATTCTCTTGCTTAAAGCTTCATCAGTTAGTGGTATAATGTGATCATTTGGTTGAATAGGGTTAGTTCTCTCATGCTATCTTCTAAGTCTATATGTGGCAAAAGAAATACTAGATTCTGTTATTTATCATTTGCTTGGGGTTTGGAACTACTCTGAATTTTTAAAATGCCAACCAGGCTATCTTAGGAAATGCTAATAATGCATATGCATTATATGTATACATGTATATTTCGGTGTGAGACAGACAAGTCTAGCTGCTGTGATCTCTAGCTGCATTTATACTTCAGGGCCGCTTCATTTGGAAACAATGTATTTGCCTTTTGAATTGCTCATGCCAAAACAGTTTAGATTGAAACCTGAGTTATTTAATGTGAACCTCTCTAGCCAACAACATTGATTTTTTTTCTTTCCGTAAAGAATGGATGGGATAAAATATGCATAATTAGTGTTCTCATGATTGAGCAATTGGATACTGTTTAGTTGAGCAATTTGATCATTGCATGCATTTGGATGAATCATTATGATGGTCCCATCAGTGGATGTGTGGTTATTGTTTGAGTGTGTGCTTCATTAGGTTTTCTTCATTTTTCAGTTGCTAGCAGACCATTAGCTGTACCATGATTTCTTTTCAAGCCTACGAGACGTGACATTATGGCGATTGGCCCATCTCCTTCCTTCCTCCCATCCAATCCAGTCCCTCTTCGACTCCAACTCTTGCCCTCCTAGATAGATACCCTGTCATTTCCTAGGATTTCCTCAAGTGGATTCGCCATCGAAAATTTGATTTCTTTACGATGTCTTATATCTATCTACCTTTGTGCAAATGATCTGAGTAATTGCTAGGTACTTGTTTGCATTATGTATCTTCATGATTGTATTCAATGTTTCCATCATCTTTCTTAAAAAAGTCATCTACCGTGCAATGGTCTGATTTGATTGATTCGATTCAGCTGGAAGATAGACATAACATTTAGTTGATAATTATCTGTATGAATTATCAATTTATCAATACACCATATTAATATACCAATGGGAAGACATTCATATGGTTGAATTGGGACCATGGTCGAGGCATGATCAAGAATACTTGATTGAACAATGGTTCCCTCCTCCCCCGGGAAACTTGAAAGATCAGACGAGAAACTGGCTGAGTTACATTTTATTTTGACACAAGGAAAGGTCAAGCATAATCCTTAGTCAGCCTGTCAATTGTCTGTTAAATGGTTAGGCGTGTTGTGTACCCAGTGTATGCAGCATGAGGTCCTAGCGAACTTTTATCATGAATTGAAATTTTTAGTTCTTCACTATTTTCTGGTGGATTCAGCTGTGCATGAAAGGATGTTAGTTAAAGAGATGGCTAGACTGGTTAAGTGTATATAGATCTCATATACACAGGATTATGAGGCTAAGTAACGTCAAACGTTTTCTTTGGTATTGAACTGCACATTTTAACTGTAGGAATGATCTGGACTCTGGAGCTGCTTTGGTCTTGGCATCTTAATTTTGCCTGGCAAATAATTTTTGTCAAGGGTCAGGCCGGCGTTGTCTCCAGATCGTTTTAAAAGTGGTTGAATATGAAAGGGTGCAATTTTCTATTTAAAAGTTAGTAGGGTAATAAATGAAGAATAATTGGATCATTTCCACTTTCACTGGATTGGATAAGATAACTCCCAAATTGACTCATTGGTGCACTAATACGATGGTCGGATGGAGATTGTTATTGTTATTGCTGTTGTGACGGGTGGGATTCAATTAAACAATAGTATGTTCAAGATCCAGTTTACTGAAAATGAAAAGTGACGCTACGGGGCCTACGCTTTTTCTTTTCTTTTTCAGTTCAGCTGCCAAGGTTTAGCACTTTTTAAACTTTGCTTTGAATGGATGTGGATGAACGTGGGGGATTCCAATCTTGACGTCGAGTGCACTGCTCAGTACAAGCATTAAATTAAATAAAATACAAAAAAGGCATCCATATCTTTTCTTGGCTTATAGATTATCGTCACTTTGGGGGAAAGCTTGCATAGCGCTTGGTTCACTTCTGAGGTGAAATGAGTAATAAATTGGGTCATTTTGGCATTTTCAGCTTCATTCTTTTTCAATTCTCTCTTTTTATAAATAATATTGTCTCTTATTGTGCATACAATACATCAATCTCTTATTGTGCATACAATACATCAATTACTTTTTTTAATTATGTTTACTTTTCAAATTTTTTAATTTTTGATTTTTTTACCTGAATTATATTCCCTCGAGTTATTCTTCATTGCTGCATCATATCCGAAACAAATCTACTAGTAGTTGTTGGTGTTATTATTATTATTAATTTCGTCTTCGTGTCAATAATATTCTCCTATCAGTAGAGGTTTTAACTTTCATGTATCAATACGGTAATACTAATATGAGTATATGATATAACAATATAAAACTGATAATAAATTATACTATATATAAATTATAACAATACTTTTAAGCATGGCAATTCTTAAAATCTCAAGCAAATGCCTCCTTGTTTGACCTAACAACACCATTTAGCCGGTATGCTGAGTTATGTGCTTTAACTAAGACCTCAAGCGCAGAGGGATTTAACATGGAGATGAGTGCTGGAAACTGATAAACAAATGCACAAGTTTTCGCTTAAAACAGTCGAACTTTTGAAGAGAAATAGTTAGGAATTCAACCAATAACTGTCGCACCCCCTCTCCACCTTAAAAGTTTGGCTGGGCACGAAAAATTCTTGTTGGCTAATAACCTTGTAGTTAATAGCATGAAAAGTTTCTCCGCAAGTGGAAAATTACTGTTCGATCTAATGTGTCCAATTCAAAAAAAAACAGAAAAGGAAAAAGGCACTCTCTATCGCAGGCTTAGATTTGGGCCCTACGTATCGTGGTCAATACTTCCATTTAGGCTTCTAGAGCCCATCCATTGGATGATGCCGATGCAAGGCAGCATAAGAATTTCTCATTTGTCTCGTACAATCTGGCTCCCTCTTATGTCATGCTTTAATTGGATCTTTTGTAGCGGCTGCATTGGAGAGAAACAGGGGGAAAACTGAAACTGAAACTTCACTTATAATGTTCGATTTTGTTGCAGCCAAGCATGAATTTTCCAAGTGATCTGATACAATGAGAAGATCTAGAGCCGAAATCCAATCACACACATCACTAAAATTATTCACCGCATTTTGCAGAAAACCAGAATAATGAAACATTGTTTGCTCTTCTTCACATAACGTGCCTTCCAAAATTTTGAAAATAGGACAATGTGCTGGGAGGACCAAAAATTTTATTATACATCTAATCATAGTTTAACTCAACCGGTCACAACAGAGCTTACATGCTGGGAAACCCCGAACATTGGCGGAGGAAAACAATAACAGAAAGGACTCGCTATACTCCGCCATAGACAATAAATTGTAAGTCAGATGACGGACCCTTTTGGTTTATGCTTTTCTGTATCTCTCCTTTAAGCAAATGAAAAATAGATACTAGTATAGTCAAACCCTCTGAGACAAGCATGGGATGGCATCATGTGCTAAAAAATGATTAAATCCGGAAGAACTTGGTTATGAACTGCTTGGTAGGGTACGATGCGATATGATTCTTCAAAAGGGTTGGTTGAGAAAGCTGTTTTCTCTCGGTCATCAAGCGCCATCTCATCATCAAAAACCTCCCACTTTTCTGTAATTACCGTCTTCATACCATCTGATCCCTTGTGTTCATCCTTGCAGGCAATGGCATTAATGTAGGACGCAATGGCCTTGTCTTCATCATCACCCTTAAACCTTCCCTTCTCATCAGCCCCATTGAAGATTCTCTCCAGATCTTTGATACACCCATCAGGGAATCGCTCCATTTGGGGGCATTGAGAAGCGTTGAGGACGCCAATTTCCCTACAGAAATCAAAGTATGCAGAAAGGTGGCCGCTTTGGGTTGCTGCTTTCTGAAGAACCGTGAGCCCAGCACCAGCCTCCATCTTCCCACCAATATCGTATATCCTCAAGAGAGCTCGAGCAATCCCTTTGCAAAATTTACCATACACGTCGAAAAGCTCCACAATAACGCAATCCATAGCTTCCAGAATAAGACCATTATGCGAACTCGCATAGTCAGGTTTAACCTGAAGCAGCATGTCAATCAAATCCTGCATCGCCTGCAATTTCTCCAATTCTTCCATCAATGTGTCCTCTGATTTCTTGCCCCGTTTGCTCTTTTTCTGGAATTCCATGGATATAAAGGCGGATTTCTGGTCCAAATACGCAAAATACGAACGAACAAAGGCGTTATAAGCCCAAGCCTTATCTTGGCTGACATGCTCGTCCCTGAAATTGGTGAGATCGAACGGCAATCGATCCATCTTTTGAACAATGGCAAGATCACAACAATAAATGCCGTGCATGAGCATCAAGCCCTTGAGAGCGACGACCCAGCTTCGAGTCTTTTGCATTCTCATGGCGAGAGACCATACGAGGGGCTTGAGGTATAGAGGAGAGGTGCGAACCCATTGGAAGACACGTTGAACGTTCTTGCAATCAATGCGATGCTGATCGTGGCTGGTGGCCTTGATGACGGCGGCTTCCAGATCGGGGTTGCGGAAGGAGGTGCGGCGAGACAGCCGAGCCACCCAGACGCTGTTCCCGTCTTTCAGAGCTCCGGCGAGTCTCTGCCAGAGCCTCATTTCCTCCTCTGCCACGCCAACCTCCTCTTCTTGGCCGATCTAATTCCAGTCACACAACAACGCACTGCTCCGATTATTTCATTCTTGGCCCCTCACATCATAATATCGTCCTCTTGATTTGAGATGAAATTAAATTAATTATTTTTTAACGAAAAACCTATTTTTAGTAAGATGTTTGTATATGATTACGCTTAACAATCCTATGATAGGAAGGACTACGTAAATATGAAATAAGATGAACAGCCTTCACCATCGGGCAATATGCTGTGTCCAGAATCAACAAGGTCAGCCATCTTTGACTTCAATTTTTTTTCCAGTCTTAACTCTGAAAGTCAATTTTGCGAAAATTTTAGAGTGATTTGGACTTTTTCTGGGTTATAATACACATGGACGTGACTGGTTTTAGGGGAAGGGTGAATTCTGAGTCTGGATCTGGTAATGAGTTGCGTCAACCAACCATATTTGGTCCCCCCCAGAAAAAAAAAAAAAAAACACATTTGCTACTCAGTGTTTTGGCAAAAAAAAAAAAGAAAAAAAAAAAAAAAAAGACCAATTCAGTGTATTATAATTATAATTATATTAAATTGTCATTTTTAAAGGGGCCTGGGACACAAGTCCATATCAATATGTGTAGTGGGCTTCCATGACTTTGACCCGCTTGTGGAACATTGGCTGTCGGAGGATTATTATACCCAAAAAAACATTACTTCCTTCCATTCCGATCTCTCATATAAAGTTAATTGGAGAATGAAATTTAATTTTAAATATAATATTTTAATTCATTTTATCACTTTTATTTCTTATTTTTTTAAAACTAATTTACTTGATTTATAAACTGATACGTAATGTCATATTATATAAGTGTATTTTAAAGAGATTATGTTATATTTATAATTAATCTACTTATTTGATTTTCTCAATCGAAGTTAGTTTAGTATTTAGAGGAAGTGTATGCTAAGGTTAATATGCCATAAGAAGGAGGAATTTGTTGTTTTTTCTTGTGATGTGAAATGTGAGAAGAAATTGAAAATGAGTGTATTTATGTGAAATATTAATATTTAAAATGTCAACACTTATAGTTATACTCAAAAGGTGTGGCAGCACATTTATTTTTGAATTGAACTCACATGCATCCGTTCATAAGTGATTTTGTGGCTTTTGACCCTTGCATATATAAATTTTTATTTTCAATACATTTAAGATTTTGAAGAGACTTTGGTTAACAGTAACACAAGCAAAGGGAACAAGTCCTTATTATTTAATATATATATATATATATTTATATATTCATCTGATGGAGTCCGAGAATGTCACTAATAGAAATGGTTGCAATGATTAGCTTCTACATTTGAAAGAAGGAAAAGAAAAAAGAATGATTCACCGGCCGTTAAATTTCCTTACAGTTACTTGAATGAATAAGCTTCTAAAAGCAGGCCCTCCCCAATCCCCACCAGTTCCTTCCCTTCAAGTTTGGGCCTACCCGATAGAGTCAATAATTTGAGTTGGTAAAATACTAATAAGACGCATATTTTTTTATTTCGCACTAACTGATCCACGGGCCAACGTGTTTCTAACCCTATCATCCAACACCTAATAAGCACAAAATGAAGCCTATATTTGTATGTATACGGCAAATCCTTGGGTATGATGTCTAACCCACATAGGCTATTTGACGAAGATATCAAATCAGGTTGAAGATTAGATTACAGGTGTGGGTGATGAGTGATGATGCGAAACAAATTGAATTGGTTGAGCAACATATAATATAATATAAATGTCGTTGTCATTGAAGTAGATGATGAACCTTACAATTATACGTTCAAACGCAAGTGCGTACATTGTGTGTAAACTGTGTAGTGTGGCTGGTCCCTACTTTACGAACCTTCCCTCGAAAGAAGCGAACGGCTACTTCAAAAGCACCAGGACTAAAGTCCTTCCATGACGCTATACGCTTTGCCTTTCGGCTTATTTTGCTTTCCTCATTTCTTTCTAGTTTTTCCCAACAATTTATCATATTATGTGATCCGCGTGGGCCACATGTTCCTGTATTTTTCGCACGGTCTTGTATTGTCGGGCACAATGCTGTCGTTCTGCCGAATCGAACAACCATGAAATGAAGCAGAAGAAAAGGCGTGGCATGAAATGAAATATGAATACTTTAACAACAGAGAGCAGGGTATGTGATGTGCGTTAGATGCAACAAAATATTTATTAGGGATTAAGAATGCAGGTTGAAAAGGGGGGGAAGGCAGATTTGTGAGCCCCAGAAGTACAGTGGAGGCGTTTTGAAAAGCAGAGAAAAGGGAGGGTGTGATTGGGCGAGGAAGGGAGGAGAGGGACAAGGACCCATTCAAAAAGAAAGCGAAAGGTTGAAAATTGAAAGCACTCGAACGAAAACAAAATCCCAATGGGAATCTTTCTCCTTCTTCTTCCTATTCCGCTGTGCAAGCCATCCCACCTCGCCACCTCCCTTCTTTTTATGCTCTCTTTCTCTTTTCCTAGCTTTTCACCCCCCCCCCCTTCTCTTTCTCTATCTCTCTTTCTCCCTCCCTCTCTGTGTCTTCTTCCTCACCACACACACATACACAGACCGATCAGCGTTCTCTCTGCTTCCTGCTTGGTTTGTTCATGGGATTTTCATGCGAGGATGTTTTAGTAAGTATTCTCCATTTATCTCATTATATCGCTCATTTTCTCTCTCAAAAAATCATTCATTTTCACAGAATGGGTGGTTGGAGAGTGTTACAATGGCGAAGAATTCTTCTGTTCTGGTTTTATGCTTAATGGTGAGAGAGATTTTGTGATGCATGTTTAGCTCATTTTGTAGGAGGAGGAACAGAATGAAATTCACTTGACAGATGAGACGATAGCGACCCAACAGAGGAGTCTGGCTCTCATGGAAGTGCATCGCCATCATCATCAACACCCACAACAACAACAACAAGCGGCTGAAAACGAAGCCGATTTCTGGCCAGTAGAACACCCTCTGGAGCCAAGAGATGAAGACCGTCCTGTGAAATGCCCAATGCCTCAATCTTCTGTCATCAACGTAAGCCTATGCTTTAGCTTTCAGTTTCATCATCTTCAGTATCTTCATATGGATCTCTTCATTCGACATTAGCTTTGATTTTCTTATCAAGAACAGTGGCATTCATGAAATCATGTTATGCGATTGGAGATAAACCCATTTATAAGTGCTCGGAATCTGTTTACTGAACAATTGACGTATCTTGCCGCTTGCTAAATAATAATAGTAATAATTAACACGTTTGAGGAACCCATTGGGACTTTTGGGTGATGGACTTCTGCATCTTAAACTATAGTCATGGAGGGAGATTTTTCGGGGTCCTCTAGCAGAAAAGAATCACACAGAACAAGAACGATATCTTATAAAGAATAGGAAGTACTATGCCTTGAAACAGAAAAAAAGAATATCAAGTACAAAAGAAATGTGCTATACATCCAATAGACTTCATATAGGTTTGGCCCTCAAGGATTCCCATATTCTGGTTCCTTCTGAAAAAGCCAGGTCTTACCAGCAGCCACTCGGTACAGTAGATTCTTGGAAATAGATAAAGGATTAGGATTAAATGAAATTGATTAGTTTGCTATCAAATCATTATGTAATTATAGACACATGACATGCAAAAAGATGTAATTATACGTGCTGTCGAATCATATTAAAAACATACCAACTTATCATAATCAGAACTCAATCACTTCAAATATGTTTACATTGAGGAGGATGGAGGAAAACAAGAATACAACATTATTTTTTCTTTGATTTAAATTTAATGACTTTTTCCCCTTTCTATACATTTTGACTAAACAAAACAAATGAGAAGGAAAAAATATTGATCCAAATTTATTGAAGAAAACAGAACAAATGAGAAGGAAAAAAATATTGATATAAATTTATTGAAGAAAATGTCCAAATTAGATTTTACGCTCTTGCATTTTTTCGTTAACAATTTCCTCGTGCTGTTGTCTAGTTCAGTCAAAAGTGTGGACATGGAAACTGAAAACAAATATGGGTTGTGCAGGATGGAGGGATGCATGAAAAAAGGTTTGCAGAAAGCATAAGGAAGAGAGCAGAGGCATCTGCAGAAATGGCAGAAAGAGAAGGGGAAGGAGCAAGAAGAACAGGCATGGAAGCGGATCCTCCAGATCCGGCTCGAGCCGTTCGAAAGCGGCATCACACCCTCACACAAGGTGGAGACCTTGAGATCACTCCCTTCATTAGAACACCACCACTCCCTCCATTACCCTCCCAGAACGTCACCGTCTTTCAAATGCTTCAGCAGGTCGACAAGTTTGACTCTTAGAATCAACAAATCAAACGAGTGAATCACTGGGATCGCTGGATAGCCTCAGTAAAAGATATGATCGACATACAAGTAGTTAGAACGAGTACTTTTCCATCACTGTATACGTCTTTGATGTTTTCTGTTAAAATCAGACATTGTTACACTTTAAAAAAGCTATCAGACATGTTGAGACTGCTCAATTGATTCATTAGCCGTTCCCACACAGGTTCGAGAGTAGACCGCTCAACAGTTTAAAGGTGCGAAAAGTTAATGCAACAAGGTGGGGTCATTAACACATTATTTTTTAAAACCTTGTATCACACCCACCAATCGGAAGCAAGCAAATATAAATTAAGAATTTCTCTTCAGACGCCTATTAAATAATTGGTCGACCCCCCAATTCAAAGACAATCTGTATCGACTGAAAATTATGGGGATAAACAACATTTGTCCAATTCCATTGCAGCCTCAGTCAGCCCCACTAGAGATAGATGCCTAGCGAGCAATGACAATCAAAGACTCAATCTTAACATCTCTTTCCTTTGAGGCAAAAGAAAGCTTTACAGCTCTCTCCATCAGAATTCAGAAAGAAACAACTTGACTGTTATTACAGCTGAAAAGGGTGAAAATACCGCAACATACACAATCGAACAAATGGCTAACAAACGACTGTAAAGAGAGCATTTACTGTGCACGTTTACTTTCTAGTGGGGAGTAAGGAATCATTCCGAGTTTAAGCCTGACCATTCCGCTTTCCCTATCGCTTTCTCCCCCGTTCCCCCTTTAGGTCTTTCTGGGTCCACCGCTTCGCTGTAAGTAAGAATACATGTCCTATACCGATTTCGAACAATTTGTTTTATTTCGAACAATTTGTTTTATACATGGGATTCCTAGGGGAGCACGCCTCCGTTCATTCTACAAGGGAAATAGCAAGGGCAACGGCCATGCCCAGTGTCAATGAAATTATATGGATTGTCGTACTTCTCAATGTTGTTTTCTCACTGCTGTTCATCTCAGCCAGCACTCCCGCAATTGCAATATATATAAATCCTCCAGCAGTAAAACCCTGTCAAGAGGGCAGATTTTTCATCGAAAAAATCAACATTAACCACAACCAAAAGATTCCCAAGAGAACAATCCTCACCTCAATTAGAGATGACTGTCCAGGATCTTTCCCCCAAAGCAGAGCCTGTAACAAAAACAGCAATTTGCTCTCATTTTATTTTCACGTTTGGATATACTAAAAGAAAATGAACATTAGCTAAGGTTAGTGTTTGCATGAAAAAATTCAGGATAAAAGCCTTGTTGAAGGTTTGAAACTTTGGAATGATGATGATCCATCTGTTGGTCTTTCTCACTTTTGCATTACTATGATTTGAACATGTGAAAGCCGATTCCGTTTTCCTTTTTCCTGCTGTCATTTACACGATATGCTCTTCTAACAATCACAATCGCTATTATTATATATAATATCTAAGTGTTTTAACTACAAAGTAGTGTGTTCAAATATTCAAACTCTGCTTTTGTTTGTATGAAATGCGTGCATACCTACTGTTCGTGGATACACTAAAGTGAACATTCAATGAAGACGCCACTTACCAAAGCAGTTCCCACAAGTGCCACTAGCGCTGATAGAAAGTTAAAGAACAGAGCTTTTGATGTACTGAAACCAGACCGTATCAGAATGCCAAAATCACCAATCTGTGTATGGAACAAGCAAAAGGTGTGAAATTGTTGGAAAAATGGAAGTTCTATCTCATAATTAATGCACTACATGAGTACCATTGACCAAAACAAATTAAGATAATTAGCAAAAGTAACAAAATACTAAGAGCAAATGGCAATGTATAAGCACCAATTACATATAGTGGAAAAGCCAAATGAAGGGATGGTGGTTACTATTCAGAAGGGAATTTTCAAATAAAAAGGAATTCCTCTGAAGTCCTCTTCTGAAAAATGACAAGGAAGCAGACGAATCGGGAACTGAAAGATTAGCAAACATGACATTAAAAGTAACAGCTCTGATGGCATGATATGATTAAAAAGACGGACAAGGACTATGCCTCCATGACAAAGAGGCAAGACAAATTCCAAAACAGTATAACAGTAGTTTCTAACAAATTATATCTTCTTCAAGGAGTTTCAAAGTCCTTTTTTTCACCCCACATTAATTATATATGACAATAAATATTACAGTTTCCTCAACCAAATCACAAGTTTCAAGGCTTTCCTGACACTAACATCTTGCATTGTTTCACTAATTAGTGCCAACATTCCCAAATCCCAGATCGGAAGTCAATAAATCTTTGCATTTTTTTATGTTGAGCTCAAACTTCAAGAAGGAAAGCAGCAAAAATAAGTTGCTCTCCTTTACGGTATTGCGTTAGGGATGCATAGAATCTGGAATATATAGCTCAGAAAAGATGGCATATAGTAGTAAAAGTATTACACATTGCTACATGGTATGACGTATTCAAACAAACATATTTCTGGCCTTCTAGTCAAATCATATAGAACAATTTGAATCAGGAATGAATAAATGGGTTTGTGCAATGAAATGTTTGATGTTCTAAATATAAGCACACCATAAAATCCATGCAAAATGGAAAGGGATGAATTTGAACCTCCTGTGGAAGCTCATGTGCAAGTAGAAACAGGGTCCTCGACCAGCCCCCCACAGATCCATAGACCAAGAATGCACTTCCTAGTGCCATTCCATCAGTGAAATTGTGCTGCAATATTAAAACTTTGCATGATTACATGGACGTCCCCATTTCATTCAACCCGAACTTCAAAAAATATTTTTGTCAATCTAAATGGACAAAATATATTAGAAGAGTAGCCCCATTTTGGGCTCGGCAATACCCAAATATAGCTTAATGGTACAATATACTAGATAGGTTTTTTATTTATTAAAAAAAAAGAACTGTCAATGTTACTTACAACACCATCAGAGAAAAGATTGAGATAACCGAACACAAGATTTGATGATTGAACTGATTCCCTCTCATTCGAGGATTTCATATCATCCGCAGAGCTAGCCTTTTTGCCATTGATCCTCTGTAAGGAAGCATCAAATATTAGATGATATTTTTAATTACAGAAGACTAATCAGATAAATTCTACAATCAATTATAATATTCAATTCGGTATAATTTAATTCTCATTAAGAAAATATGCTGTTCAGATTGTGGTTCCATAATGCAAATATGTTGAAGTTCTGAATAGTTTATATTCAATTAAATTTAATCTAATGTCTAATCAAATTCTATTGTTTGTTTCCAATATCTGCATTGTATAACCAGTGGAAACACTTCATGGTAGATGTAGCCATCAATAAGAAATGCAACAAGCCTCCCATATAAACTTAATTAGATGTCTTGCCCGCCTTTAGCACTGGATGCCAAGCCCAAGTTCTCCTGAACAATATCTACTACTAAAATATGCAACCAAAATTTGACATCAACCCTGGTTCAAATGGACTCAATGCATGGTGACAACAAATATATAGCAGTGGTTCCAAACTAATTAACAAGCACAGTGTTTGCCATACCTTTCTAAGCAAGGGTCCAGATTGAGTTGCATCATTGCCCTTTGAAGAATCACGTGGTACCACATCCGGATGTCTTTCCTCGTCAAGCAATTTACCATCTTTCGCATCATCTTTCACTTTTTTCTTTTTGCTGTGGTGATGGTGGTGGTGGTGTCCATTTGTCCATGAATTAGCTCCTTGAGAGTTTTCTTCAACATACCTAACCACCTTCTCTACAAGAAGAAAGAGTACAATTCCAGCTGCAAGAACCCAAAAAAAAAAAAAAAAGTAATAATTATGGCTACGTGATCTGATCTGAATAAGAAAAAAGATTATCATGAATGGGGCCAGAGATGACTGGAAACGAATTTAAGATCTAACAATTAACAGACTAAATTTATGAAAAGGAATTTTAAGATATAATAATTTAAGCCATTGATGTACATTTTTATCAATGAAAAGTCTGAAGGGGAGTTATCACAAAGTCCAACTAATAACCACCATTTCCATTAGTTCAGAATAAATTCTTTACATTCCAATTTATAGTTAGTAGTAAACAAAAGTTTCAGATTAAATGTGGAATAACAAATCCATTTTCATTTGCCATGCAAAATCCGGCCATTCATTGATAGAATTGTCTGACTAAATAATAGTCATGCAGACAGCACGCAGGCATTTAAAATTCCTGGTGCCTAGGTTAGTATACAAGTTAATTAACTTAAAACTAAGATGGCAAAAACTTCCAAGAAATTGATCATCAGAAGAAATAGAAGCCAAAAGTCCAACATGTAAAGTATTTCAAAGGTTAATAATGTTAGTGAGACACTACCATAGCATCGCCACTAACCAAGGATCGATATTCCTGTAGAAAGATCTGCTAAAGAATGAGAATGCTGATGTCCGATACGAGCATCATGGTCATGGTCCACATGATTGCCATGTGAATGGGAATGCTCACCACCTGCATGGAAAAAAAAAAAAATCACGTTTCTTCTCGCAAAATTTTACATAACCTTCATTCAAGGACTGACAACATTTTTTGAGGTCGCAAGACTTTGGATTTTCAACACTTTCAAAGCATCAAACATAAATGTAAGCCCTTCCAAGTTTAATACTAATAAAAGACAAAGCACAAACACAAAAAACACAGTTGCATTAGCCCCATATTTGACTGCTCGTGAAACATGGAACTCCCATTTAATCTGACCCCTCTCCTTACTATAATCAGCACGATTTTGGGGTACGCTCTCCCCTTCACCCTCAAGTATCAAAGCCCAATCAGTTCAACTCACAATGTAGATGAGCCTCTTTGTCCAATAAGATGGGGTTGACGAAGGGATAGAAGTGCCACATGGGATGGGACTGAGACATGGAAATCAGGCTCTCCCTCACAGTGAGAGAAAGTGGGGGGGGGGGTGGTGGCGCTTTTCTTTTACATCAACACGTCTCATATAAGAGGAAACAGGGCAGAAAGGGAGAGCTGAATTCCTCCAATTGATGCGTGAAGCACAAGAAATTGATGGTGGCCATACATCATGAGAATTTTCAAACCAACATAGCCAAAATAAGAGGGATCAGATTGCACTGAGTCTATGACTCTGCACTGTGAAGCTATTTATTTTTATTAAAAAAGAAACGAGGCATGAACCATTCATAAGAGAAAAGAAACTAATCGACAATTGCATCCAAAATGAAGAAGGGTTGCATCTCATACCAAAAGCATGAGGTAATTGGTGAAGGAAAGCATCCCCCAACATAGCACCCGCCTGCAGAAGGCATATTTGATGAGAATTAAACAAAAAACGTGATACAGCAACCAATAAAAAACAAATAAAAGATGATGATATAGCTGTCATTTCCTGAAACTCTGTAAGAAGATTCACTAGTTAGCAACATGCTGGAATCTCTGACTCATCATAGAGTGTATGATACAGTCAACAGAAACTTTAAAGGCCATAACTTTTCTTGGTAATTTCAAATATTACACGAATAATCTTTAGCTAGCAGCAGATTGATCTACATCATTATTTTATAGTACACCTTCATACAGTTTAGTATATCTAGTCATTTTGAACTAAAATTATGATAGTAAAAATTGAAGTTACATGAAAAAGGATAAGTCAACTTGCACAAGCTGTGGAAGTTAATTTGAGTGTACATAATGTAAATTGTTGCTAAAACATTAAGAGTATTCATTATTAAGCTATAATTTTGAAAGCACTTCATCACATTTAATTATGTGAATTTGTAAAATTACACTTCAAATGATTCCTCCAATGTGTGCATGTCTAGAGGTAAAGAATTATAGAATCTTAATTGTGGAAGAACAATCATTTTAACTACCACCCGTGGTCCATGCATTGAAGACATTTCGAACTTTGACCTTCTAAGGATCCAGCAAGTAGGAAATACCAATGCTTTTTCTGTTTTAGCAAAATATCCGCAGAAAGAAAGATAATAATTTAAGATGATATAGCTTAAGAAAGATAAAAAAACAGAAGAAGACCAAGATTGAGGTCATGAAAATAGAAGGTAGAAACCAGACATGGAACTAGTGGAAGCCAGATTTCTCAACACATAACTTATGGGCATTTCATAAACAAAAGCGAACATGTAATACGAAAGCATAGTGAAACCATAGCAATCAAAAATAAATAAGTAAATAAATAAAAAATAAACCCAAACAACGGGTAATAAAGGAATTAAAAGGAAACCTGACCCCAAATAAAGCCAATGAATCAACAACTGTCTTTGATGGTTTTCCCTGTACTGCAAGTGAATAACTTTCAACATTCAGTTCTGCAAACTACGAATAGATATTGCAAACAGAATGACTTCTGGAGAAATCGAATGCAATGAAAAGCACATTACTTACCAAAAATCAGAGGCAAGATAATCAGACAAATAAGGGAAGCCATGCTAACCAAAAATGAACATCCCAATGCATTCAGCCAAAGCCCTAAATTTACATTAATAAGAAAATGAGTAAAATTGAATTAACCAAACAATAAATAAAGTATCACATCTTATGATATTATATGCCATCACTTGATACAAAGCAATAAGCATGTATCACACATGATGCCCGCTCAACTGTTTTACAGAAAGTCTACAAGCTCAGTGGGGTACAAGAGCATGTAAATTGAAGAAGAGTTGGGGGAAAAAAGTATATCTTAAAGTTGTATCACACTGGATATGACTCTGTTGGACATGAAAACCCTCCCGCATCATCTTCCGCTAAAAAGACTAGAATTAAACATGCAAGATCTTTGCGTATCCTGAAACTCCGCGTAATATGAGGTAAACAGTATCACCATCTCACATTGCAAAATTGTCCCTCTAATCCACCCAGCATGAAAGCTTTCCGTGGTGATCCAAGTTTCACTCACAGCCATATTTACTTGACAGTCTAATACAAGTCGCACGGCATAAATAATTAATCGGGCATTCCTGAAGTCGCAACACTCTTCGACTCATTAAACCACAGAAAAATAGAGTTCTACGAGTTTGCTTCCCAGATTTGAACTCATGATATCTTAGAATCAAGTTGTTATCGCTTTATAATATTTTCAGTGAACAGTTGAATGCCTCAAGTCAGCATACACTGCCCATTGTCCAGCGCAAAAACACCCGCACCAGAATGCCAAACCACGAAAATGATCAATCAAATCGCATCGGAAGGAATCGGTAAATACCTAAACCCGATATTTCAGAGCCACCACTGCGCTGATGACCGCGGTGGTCATGGTCGTGCTCGTGGTCATATGCGAACCCGAATCCATATAGTTTCATATCCTCCTCCTCCGCTAATTCCTCCGGAAGCCTAGTTCCAGATACCAGTTTCTCCTCTTGATGATGCTGGTGGTGATGACTATGCCCACACTGGGGGTGACTATGATGATGATCGTGGGAATCATGGACCTGCGATGTGCAGGACCCGGAATGATGACCGTCGTGCCCAAGTCCCAGATCCAAGCAAAACCCGAGAACCAAAACCGTAAGCAATGCCTGCTGAATCAGCTTTCTACTCAGTGCCATGAAATCAGTGCGCCCCTACAGAACCCAACTGGATTCCGAGGGGAAAAAAGAGTGCTTGAACCGAAGGAAATCTTGGCTACGGAAGTCAAACTAGGAGGTGAACTAAGAACGATTTTTGCAAGTGCCTTGGATGGTGATGTAGCAGACTGATAGAAAGAAGAGAATGATAATGGCGACTATGATTCCGAAGGCTACGACGTCCATATTTAGTAGAGCTGGGATATTTTGAAGAAATTAGTTATTTTTTTAATTCTAATGCGAAAATTTTCCATTTACAAGTGCCTTTCTTTCATCGAAGCCGAAGGGAGAGAACCAGAACTGCCTCAAAAACCCGATTAACTTATCATCACTGCTCATGTCAAGAGGAGGAAAACCCAAAAAAAAAAAACAAAAACACTTGTCATCATCGATCATTCGTCAGTGTTTCCTTCACCGTCCACCCTCCATGTCCACTCCCACTTACCAACTATCCAATAATAATTATTTCACTTTCCAAACAACTTTGGGAATTCGGATCCTTGGATCCTGCTTTTCTCTGGTTATTTTCAAACACTTTTCTTCGTTAATTAAACAAACGATATACGGCATGATTTCCCTGTAAATATTCATTGTATAATTTTTAACATACAACACTGTTTATCAGTTATAAATATTACAGTGCATTTTTCAGATCATGTGGACCACACGAATCATGTTTACTTGGATGAAATTTGTGTATGCCAATACCCACAATTCACCAACACACATTGATTTTCCGGTAAAAAAAAAAAAACCACACCTATTGGTTTCTAAATTTTAGAAATATACCCCACGGACGTAGAGAAGGAGGGTAGAATCGGCCTCAAACCAACAAGTTGTTGGTTGAGGTGGTAGGACCTCACTCTTTTAAAAAAAAAAGAATATAAATTCGAATTTCGAAAAACATTTTTGTTAGAAAAGTTATTCCTAAACCGGTTAGATCCGAAAGAGATTAGTCTTAAGTCTAATATGACTTAGAGATACTTTTGTTTCATCTAAAAAAAATTAGTATCAAGCCCTGGCCAACGAAATTCAAAGAAATTTCTTTTACGGCAAAAATTGAAAAATCATCTTTATATGTATGTATAACGTATTATTTTTAAAGCTAATTACTTCTTTTTTTTAATATAAATTCCAGTTAACTATTAGTTCTTTTTTTTGGTAAACTCTCAAATTTATTCTTAATAAAAATAAGTTTAGTTAAATAATTAAAAAAATTTATAATTAATTAAGAATATTAGGTGAAGAATAATATTTTAAACAAAAAATGTTAAAGTTTTATGATAAAGTTTGTGGAAATACTCAATAAATAATATATCCAACTATCCATGTATTTTCAGAAAAGAATGACTTTGATCCGTCTCCCGTACTGAGTTGGGGACCCTCCTCATGCTTTGGATGAGCATAAGAGCCACGTATGATTTTGTTGGATCCTCCTTGGTAGGTAAGCCCTTGTAGTAATGGGCCAGGCTCTCCGTCTTGAACAATGCGGGCTTTTCTGGGCTTACCAGGCTTGCTGCTGGGCCTATATACCCTCTCCTTCCAGCCCCATGAACTGTGGCGATCGATATTCTCTACATTTTTAGTTTTTTGGAGTGAAAGATAGTCTCTACATTTTCGGGTTTACAGGTTGCTTAATGTTCCACACTTTTGTACGCCCATTCGTTATGGTCTGCTCCGTCAATTCTTTTTTTTTTTTTTGAATTTTTTGCTTGATATGTTGTATAAAAGCATTAAATATTTTTTTTCATAAAATGATCAAATATATTGAAAAAACATAACAGGCTACGTAAATACTACTTTAGTTTTTAATATAAGAACTCGTTTGATTTTTATTTTGGTTATAAATATAAGGACTTAATTCACTTTGTCTCTCATTTGTTTTTTTTTTTCAAAATAGTCATTGTAATAGTAATAGTTCTAGCAAGTACACTTCATTAGTAAGGATATTCTAGAAAAGACAATATCTATTTACTATAAATAACTAACTTAACTAATTTTCTTAATCTACTCAAATTAGTCAACTAACTCTCATATTAACAACTGGAAATAATATGACACACATACATAAGACGGATTCACACGCTAGACAAGAGCTAGAGAGTAAATTAGACAAGATTGAACCTAGCTAGAAGGCTCAACTATTACAACAGCTCTAACTAACAATCTAATTAAAATGAAACACCAGTTGTCAAATCAGTAAGATGAAAATCATGTTGAGCAACAAACACAGTATTGCTGATCCATCCACAAGACATGAACACGGAGAATATATTCTGAAAACTCCTCATATTAACAAATCGCATAAAGAAAGATTTGTCGACAAGAATGAAGAAACTTATGCCACTAATTTTTCTCTTGAAAGAGTAAAGAGGGACATCCCAAAAAAAAAAAACACTAAACATGGTTATGTAAAAAAAAAAAACACGTGATGACATTTACCCATTGATTTAGTGCGTTAAATGGTTGGCAAAAAAATACGTTAAATTGGAATTGGCAACGCCATGTGTTAAGTCTATCAGGTATCTCCTCCTTTTTAAAAAAAAAACCAGACATCAGGTACACCATTTGATATTATCACTCGGTTAATCCGATTCGAGGTTCGTGACTTCCCTCTGTTTCATTTGAAACTCAAACTTGAGATTCAAAGGAATCTAGCTAGGTCTTATATTGCTAAACCAACTCTTTGTTGATAAAAGTACACCATTTTGCTTACAAGTAGAAATGTGGAATGCGTGTATCTAAAAAAAAAAAAAAAGATATGCAATGTGTTCAAGCATGAGACTAATGACTTATTTAGAATAGCTTATAAGTAGTTTTTTAGTTATGATTTATAAAATCAGAAGTAAATATATTAAAAGAATTTTATCTCGATTTATATAAAAGTTAAAACATGTTTATAAGTAATTTTTAAAGCCATGCCAAACAACCCTTAATTAAACTTTTAGGTTATCTGTCAGCCCACATGCCTTCCCTTTACTAATTGGAATTAACACCTGTACCCATATTGATACATTAGGGAAGTGAATAATGATAAACATTTTTTTTCCTGAAAAGTCTAACTTCTGAATTTAATCCAAAACCGCATCCAATTTGGATGAACTAAAATTAAAATTTTGCTAAATAAGTTTCATTGATCAAATTAGACCAGTACATATATTTAAATAACTAAACTATTAATTTAATCCTATATAACTAGGCGGAGCTACTGTATCGTGAACTGTATTGTTTCCATAAAAAACTGTCGCTTCAACATTTTTTTCGCATCCTTGTGTTTTGCTAAAATGCTTGATATAAGTTACTGTCTAGACAGAAGTCAGCTCACTGAAAATTTCTCACAGGGATATGTCAGTTACCAATTGGAGTGTTCTTTTTTCATTTTATTTATGAGTGAATTACACATATATTAAGTTCTTCTTCAGTTGGCCAAAAAAACTTTGTCTTTAAATCGAAAATTCAAACATGTCACTAATAATTAAGCAATTAAATATGTGACTATTTTAAAAAACAATTTATGATTGCTTGCCTAAATTTTTTACTAAAACATAGATACTTTCTTATTAGAGGCAATCCTATTCGAAGAACTGTCGGGTACTAAATGTGGACATCTCTTTCAGTAGAGATTCGAATTTTGGTTCGTCACATTGTGAGAGACTAACCTCTTCCACTAAACACAACTCCCATTGGTTGCTTGCCTAAATTCTAGATTAAGCATTGTGAGTATCAATGAAGGGCACACAAAGCCGCAGAGTACAGTAACAGTGTTGGGGCCGTTTGACCCAACTCAAATTAAAGTTCGAACATTTCGTGATGAGACTGCGTTTGACTTTATGGGAGTGGATTTCTTTCACTTGAAACAAATAGTGATGATGATGAAGAATTCAAAACTGGGAGAGTGATGATAGAGAAAATGAAGGAAGAATCAATGGAGGAGGTGCCAAAATAAGACAAAAGAATTAAGGAAAGAGGTGTACATGGAGAACATCGCCGACGTTGACAGCGAAGGAGTGAGAAAGAGAAGGAAGAAGAAGCCAGACGCCATCGTGCTTGATCGGCGCCAATGCTCACACCGACGCCGTCGCTAGCCGGAAGAAACACGTACAGTGAGGGGCGTGGCGTCGGTGTGAGCATTGACGCCGATCACATCCCGCGGCCGAGGAGACGGAGGATAATAATTCATCCTCCTCCATGGATTATAGTTATAAACAGGCACAAATTTGAAGCTGCTACGTTGTATTTTTATGTATTGCTGGGCCTACGACTGTCTGGTAGTAACAATAAAATGGGGCTCCTGATGACCACCTGATGCATTGCTGTAATATTTTATGGTCTCATCCTAATCCTAATTATGTAAATTTTAAAACACATCTTTATCAATTGTGGAGCCACCATCAAACTACGACACACAGGAGAAGAAGACAGGCAGCAGGAAATAACCTTGAAAAAAAAAAGCAGAGATAAATAAAGGATACTAAAACCAGGTGTTGAAAAGCGAGTAAGCAATAAGTACTGGTGATCAGTTTACAATATTGAGTGGGGAATCCTCCTCGTGGTGGATGCGCATGAGATCCAGGTATGATTTTGTGGGACCCTCCTTGGAAAGGAAACCCTTGTAGTAGTCGGCCACGCTTACCGTCTTGAACAACGCGGGCTTTTCTGGGCCCAGAAGGCTCGCTGCCGGCCTATGTACCCTTCCCTTCCCGGCCCATAAAACGTTGCGATCGAAATTCTCTCCATTTTGGAGTTAATGATGGCTCGGTGTTCCACACTTGTGTACGCCCCATTTGTTATTATCTGTTCCATTCATCCATACGCGCGGCATGCACCCATCAGTCAGTGAAATAAAATACAGAAATATGAAACGTCATTTTGAAAACAGATGCACGTGACAACATTTACTCCTTGAATGGGAAAACTATAAATTTCAACGGCAACATAAAGTACACCGTTTCGTGATTAGGCATCCATGGAGAGTGTGTTTAGGCATAACACCGATTGAAATAATCAAAGCAATATTGGCTACAAAAAGCTAACCAATATAGCTTAAGGTTTGAATTACATATTCGATGCATTCGTTAATTGGAACTAATAATGATGATAAACGTTTTAAAAAATTGAACTTTTGAATTTATTCCAAGACTGCGGTGAAACTTAATGATCTAAAACTAAACTTTTGCCAAATGAGTTTGATTCGTGAAACATTAAATCAGCAAAATATATTTAAAGAGCTAATTAGAAGTGTTAATTTAACCTTATTAACTAGGCGGGGCAACTGAATTGTGTTGTTTTCATGAAAAAATTAGCACTTTAGCATTTCTTGCACATCCCAAACTAATCATTAAATAATTTAAGTTATTCGGATATTTTTCTAGAATGCCTGATATAAATTACTCCTTAAATAAAAGTCAACTCATCGAACAATATGCTCACATGCATATTTTGTTGCGTTGATGAAGTACTTCTTCTGATCGATTTATAAAATAATTTTAAATAAATTACGCTTCTTAATAAATGGGGTCGAAGTGCACGTTAAAGCGCTGATTACTTTAGAAACTACAACGTTGGCAAAAAAAAAAAAAAAGAAATTACAACAATGTTGGAAAATTACTGTTAATTAAAAATTTTAATTTTTAAAACAATTTATAAATGTTTTGCTAAATTTTATAATAATAATGAGTGACATGAGAGCGCCTAAATTCAAAAGTCAAAACTGAGAGAGGGGTGAGGGGGCGAACCTGGAGAACATCGCCGATGTTGACGACGAAGGAGTGAGGAAGAGGAAGAACCGGAACCCAGACGCCGTCGTGCTTGATCTGGAGGCCCACCACGTCGTTGACCTGCAGAAGCACCGTGAGGGCAGTGCCGTCCGTGTGAGCATTGATGCCGATCACATCTTGTGGCTGAGGACACGGCGGATAATAATTGATCCTCATCGATTGCCCACCTTCTCCGAACGATTCCTTCATCTCCTCCTTCTTCATTCCCAGTGCTTCTGCCATTCCTCCCAGAATCTTCCTCGCCACTTCTCTCACTTCCACACTGTATTCCTCCAAATCCTCTCTGCACCATTCTTCGCGTGTATCAGATATTCCTGCTAACTTCTTCAAATATCTTCTTTTATAGTTTTAATTTGCTGATGGTACGTACCTGAAAGGTAGGGGGATATTAGGGAAGAGGCGGGTATTCCTCAAGTGCGATGGAAGTGTGAAGACGTAGAAGACATCCACCCAGTTCAGTTTCTGCTGCTCGGACACCTCAAACATCTGACCAAATCCCTCCATCTCTCCTGCTTTCTGCCACAACTTGTTCTTCTCTTCCATCGGAAGATCGAACAGTTCTTTCACTCCTTTCTTCATCTTCTCCACCAAGTCCTCCCTCACTCCATGATTAATCACCTGTACGAGTCTAAAATAGAATTAGGAGGAAGCTAAAGGATCCAGGATGAAAGGTGTCTGATAGTATAATAATAATTACCTGGAAGAAGCCCCATTGCTGAGAAGCAAGATGTAATTTATGCACCTCGGCTTCTTTCACATGATGGTCACAAGATAACAAGTTAGAGAGGTCAATTACAGGAATCTGAGGTGAAGAGGGTGAGTTGCAGACAATAGGATCGATATCCACGGCATGAATATATCTATCCGGGACTCTGCTTAACGCCTCTTTTGCTAGGTCTTTCACACAAGGCACCCTCATCACCTTGTTGCCCTCTTCTGCCTCCATGGGCCTTTTACTTATTCTCTTTCAGCTGACACCCAAACTTTTATATGCTTGTGTCTGTGTACTAATTCTATGTGTATGTGCGGTGTAATGGAGTGAGGAGGAAGGATTTGAATTTGAGGCACTATTGGAATCCGTTGACAAAGAGATTATTAAAACTACATAAATGCATTGTGAAGATCCCGAGAACATGTGGCTGAGCTGGGGTCTGCTGCTTAATTTCTTATTCCTCACATCAAATTTTCTTACTCCTACATTTCTCTTTTATAAAAAGAAAATTGTTTCATAGTAGCAGTATTACATTTCAATTTCAATTTCAAATCAACGTTTAATATTAGTTTTTTAATGATTTGTTGAATAAAATAATGTTTTTAAAGGCATTAGATACTTCTAATAATAAATGAGCTGAGGGACGAATTTGATTAAACATATCATACTTTTACATATTTATTAAATTTTTTTAATCCATGTGCTGTAATTTTAAGGGACAAATATAATGAAACAGTGAAGCTATTTTCATTGAATTCCGGTTGGGTACCTCCAAACCTGCTGCCGTGTCTTAAGGGGATTATTTATTTCATTGTTATCAATTTTGGCTGTCGTCTTGTTATGGGTTGTTTCCTTGTGCACCATTACGAAATGGAAAATAAATAAATAAATAGGAGTATAAAAATCTGTGGAGTCTCTTTCTTATCAGAATTTTTAATTTAAATACAACACTATCATAATAAATATTAAATAATGATGCCAGAAAATTACATCAGTCTTTTAAATGGAATTATACTTTATTTTAGGGGAATAAGGCGCGCGGAACGGGGCTGCCGATGACGACCTTATGTATATCTATATTACTAATATTTTATATTTCCATTCAATTAACTGTATACTCCTTGTGTCAAGGTAATTGACTACCACATCTAGACCAAAAAAGAAGTTAAAAAAATAAATTATATTATTAAGTATGTGAAATTTTGGGGAAAAATTATGTGAAAATTTTGTAAAAATTTCCAAATATATGCTTGTCAAAAGTTAATACTACATTTGCTATGTAAAAAAAAAGTTTAATACCATATTACTTATAAATTAAAGTAAAATTTAATTGTATAAAAGGGTAAAATGGGAGAAAACAGAGTGGGCCAAGGCTAATTGAGAGAAAAAGACTTGGGCAGTAGTAGTAATTAATAAATGTGGGCATGGAGACCCTCTCCTTTCTTAGGTGGCTGTTACTCTACGCTGACTCAGAGAAGCATATGTTACTCCTCCGGTCCTAATTTAAGACCCAATTGACTTATTTGAGGAGATTAAGGAAGTAAGTTAAGTTGGTTATTTATAATAAATAAGTGTTGTTATTCCTAAATATCCTTGCTAATTAAGTATATTGGCTAAAACTATCATTATTAGAAGGATTATCTTGGAAAAAAATACATAAATATAAGAGAGAAAAAGATTGGGTCTTATATTAGGACCAAATAAAAAGTCAAATTGGGTCTTATAATAAGGACCGGAGGAGTATAACAGTACTCAATCTTAATGGCTAACCCAGAACTGTGATTTGCTTTGGGTCCATTTTAAGGGCGCCGATCCATGAAGGTCAAAGGTTTAAGTAATTCTCACAATAGGCGTCCACGAACTGTGCCCGCATTATATACATCTCAACAGCTATTTCTCAACTTGTTCTTTACGATGACTGCAGCTTTATATCCCTTGAAATTACCTTTCCTAGACCGAGATAAATCTCACTGGCTCGATTTTATATACTCCCTGCTCCGTCCCTTATTTTAACTAAATTATATAGTTTAAGAAAACAATTAATATGTAACAAATGTAATTTTTTTAAAATATACCCTTATATATAAATTGGTAAATGTGAGAGAGTAATAATAAGATAAATAAAGAAGAAAAATATATTAAATACATTAAATTAGGAATAAAATAGGTAATAATATATTAAATACTCAGACAAACTTAAAGACGATCTTATAAAAAGAAAAAGACCCATTTAAAAAATTAAATCTTATAATAAGAAGAGATGAAAGAGTATATGTTTTGCGTTCTGTGTGTGTGTGTGTGTGTGTATTAGTTCAGACGCCAGAAAAATGGAGGAGAATATGGGCGTAATTGGAAGAAAGCTCCATTCTCTTTTGACGTCCAGAAAGCTCCATTCCAAGCAAAGCAGAGTCAAGCTTCTGAAGCCCAAATCCATATTGACATGGGCAGACTGCTTGCTTGTTTGCAATATAACCAAGTGTTTTTTTTAAAAATAGTGTTTTGGCCAACGGAAGATGATAAGTTTGGTGCAACAGGGTGTGTTTGGATTAGCGGTGAAAGAAGTAACTTTTTTTCAATCTGACTTTTACAAAAATCAGATTGGGTAAAAGTCAGATAGGATAATATGATTTATGTTTGGTTTGGATTTTGTAAAAAAGTCAGTTTGAGAAATGTAAACTTGTTTGGATGACTAATAAAAAAGTTAGTTTATATGTAAAATGAACAAAAAGGATATGAATTTTATTAAGTAATACTACCTCAGTCCTTAGTACAAGAGCTAGTTTTGATATTAAATTTGATTCTAAATATAAAACAATAACTATTTATTATAAATAACTAATTTAACTAACTTTTCTAGTCTCCCCAAATTAATTAACTAGCTCTTATATTAAGGATCAGAGGTAGTACATATTACTATTAAATGTAATAATGTGACAATTGTAAAAAAATATTCAAAATAAAATTAAAATAAAAAATTAATTTATTATCAAAAGAAATTAAAAAATGCTACCTTTCCACGGCACTGTTACTTTCCACCGGTAAAAAGCAGGATTGAAGAGCTTTTCCATAAGTCCATTTGAGATCTAAAAGTCAGATTATATAAACGCTGTGCCAAACACTACATTTTCTGAAAAAGCACCGTTTGGTGTCCAAACGTGAATGCAAACACACCCATAAATGTCAAGATGTGGACGTAAATAGTTTGTTTTTTATTAATCAAATAGTTTTCATGAGATTACATGTGTATGTATGAACACTACTGAAATATTGAAAAGAAACAAAAAAAAAGCACAGATACACGTACATGCTCATGGTGTTTATTAAGCAATACATTGTACATGAATCTAAGCGGCAGGCACGATCCTCTATAGCGGATTATTATTTTGGATCCTGATGGTATCGAGATAAGATTTTCCAATGAGTTCACGTGAGAGATAGCCTTTGAAAAATTCAGCCACACCAGTTCTTCTAAATAAAGGTGGTCTTTCTGCAGTAACTAAGCTGGCTGCTGGACTTAAATCTCCCTCTAACTTTGGACTGTAGAATGTGGCTATCGACATCCTCTCTTCCTTTGAGTTTACTGTTGCTCTGTGTTCTACGCTCTTGTAAATTCCGTTCGTCACAACCTGCATTGCAAAATCATATAATCTCATCATCAATATCTGTGCTTAATTAGCCTGTGTATATACACTAGGAGGAAAAAGAAAAATATAATGTAATATACCTCCAACTATCTCCAATTACGAAAATTCGAAAAAATTAGCGAAAGAAGGAAACCAGGTGATCGATCTCAAGACAACAGGGTCGTCGCGTTTCGTTTGATCCAAATTCGGTTTCAGACTTGGAGGAGGATGGTGAGACCGATTCCATCAGAATGAGGACTAAGCCCATTACGAGTCTGGCTCAGGGCATGGCGGATAATAGTTCATCCTCATTGCCTGCCATCCTTTTCGAATAATTCTCTCATTTCCTTTTCCTCCATTCCAAGTGCTTCCACCATTGCCTCCAGTATCTTTAGCGATAACTTTCTCATTTCTCCGCTATATGCCTCCAAATCATCTCTGCAATTATTGCCACTCTCCATATCATTCATTATCGGTTTCTTTATTAATATCAATCATTGTTTGACTTGTATATCATGCATGATAATATAATTAATATCATATCACTATTCCTATTCCAATATAATCACGTTCGTGTCATTCAAAAGTTCAAAACTGGTAGGCCAGCATGAAATTATTAATTCCTGTCACTTCCATGCTAACAATTATTGGTTTTAACCGTGGCCCCCATTTGTGCCGAAAAAGACAAAGACAGGAAAACGGTGGCCCTCATGATATAAGTTATAATTCTTCTTAGTTCGTACATTCTTGATTAAGTAAGAGTTGAAAGATAATTAATTATCGACAAAATATCATTTCATTACTTCATTATTTGATAATTTTCATGTATTTGTCTAATATGAGCTACGAATATATAGAGATAATGATGCATATGTCACTTGCACCAAAACGAGTTGCTGTAGCTTAATATAAAATCAAAACTGCAGCCAAAACATAGTTTATACTATCTTAAATGAATCAAAAACCATGTTTAGATTGTGGTGGGTTTAGATTTTCTTCAGTGGTTTGAGCGACTTGCAGGAATTATTCCCTTTGTGGTGGCGTGATTTTATGTATCTAGAGGCATTAAAGGTGACATAACAAATAAGTAAGTAATGAGGTGGAGGTAATAATGAAAGATCAGAGTTGTAAAGGTACTTGAAAGGAAGGGAGATTGGGAAAGAGGTGGGGCTTTCTGAGAGAGGAGGATGATGACCATGTAGAACATGTCAGCCCAGTCCAGCTTCTGCTCCTCACTGACCACAAAGCCCTGACCAAACCCTTCCACATCTTCACCTGTCTGCCAATATTTCTCCTTTCCTCCATCGGCAGATTGAAGATTCTCGGATTCCCCTCTTCACTCTCTCCACCAGTGACTCTTCCACTCCATGATTTATAACCTGCATCACATATATTTCAATGACGCATGTCCGATCTACTGGAAAGAGATATATGTACACACACACACGTGTGTGCGTCTGTACGGGTAATAAGAGACTGGAAGAAACCCCAGTGTTGGCACGCGGAATGGAACTTGTGGAGCTCAGAGGCCTGAAATCGGGAGAAGATAAATGAGACAAGTTGATTATGGGAACTTGTGGTCGTGATGAGAATGGCTCTGCTTCTGCATCTCTGTGTTGTAGTAGTTCATCATGAGGACGCACATATCTTGGAGGAACTCTGCTTGAGGACTT